CAAGCAAAAAGTCGATTCATGACGGATTTGGCCAACACTCCAGGAATTTTGCTAAAAATGAACGCATTTTTTTCACTGGTGATTTACACATGTATTTTGTTTATAAAGTACTAAAAAGCATACAAGTTTTACAAGAAAACTTTGAATAACCAAACTCTCTTGTCTCTACACAATTTATTTCACTTCACGTAAGTCCTTGAAGTATAACGCCATGGATTCTAAAAGATAAACAAATAAAATATATCTCACAAAATGAGCCTTAATATCTTAAGACTAATATTTTTAACTGTATATTTTTCGTAAGTAGTCAAACCATGGATGAAGGAATAAAACTGTCAACATAGGAACATTGCCCTTTGGAAGGAATATTGTGTAAGACATTCTCGTGACTATGAAAATGAAATAACAATCAACATATGTTATACTATATGACAAGTAAAGTGTTACGGACAGGTTGTTTCTCACTGAAATGTTCTACACATTGTCTACTGTCAATCTATGGAATTATTTATAGACAAGTTCGTCTAGAACTTAAAGCAGGACTGTTCTTATCAGAACTAAAACTACTTAGCGAAAGTTGATAATAAGCAGGACAAGTTCTTTTCAAAACTAAATATCTACTGAGCGACAGTAGTTATTACCACATGGTGTTACCGCAAACCGAAACGATACTGTACTCCACCATGCAAAGCCTCAAATCTTAAATTAGTTACTTGCTCTTTTTTTTTTTAAATAAACGATATTTAAAAAAAAGGAAAATTTTTCCTCTAATAGAAGATCTGCAACCTCTTCCATTTTAATTGCACCCTATAATATGAAGATTGTGCTTCGTTATTATTTTACATCATTACTTAAAAAAATACAAAAAAAATGACTCAATGATGGTTTTTCAGTCAAACTAAACTGAGGGCGGAGCATTTCATGCAAATTTTTGTGGCAATATAAAAAAAAGACACCGTCATTTAAAAATTAACCATACAAAAATATATTTCAGTTCTCTATATAGAAAAAGAACAATTTCTTTTTAAAGGTCGTTAATTAATTAACATTTTAAAGTACTCTTGTACATGTATATATTAATAATAATACTGGAGTCATATAGCACATGTAGCTACCAACAGTTACGTACTCAAGGCATTGGTAATGTCTATTTTTAAAGACAGGTAAATGAAGTTATATATGAGCTTAATATTAAAATAAATTTTCCCTCTTAAAGGGAATGAACAACATCTGCTTTTGCTGCAATTTTCAGAAATAAATGGATTTGGAGGATTAGTATGTTATAGCAAATATTGTTCAACTGACTTGTTTCACGTTTTGGGCTTGAAGATGCTGGAAAAACCAAGAAAACCAATCATGTTTTTGTAGTCTGGTTCCCTGACTCCACTTAAGATGAAAGGGAGCAATTTATAGACTTTGGGGAATTGTAAGTTTAGAGAATCAGTCTAGCTGGCTTGTACTCCTTCACAGGTGTGTAATCAAATGCAAAGAAAATGCTGAATAAGTAAATCTAAAAAAATAGGAGCAGTTTTTGAAAAAAAAACAGTTTTCTCCAACGCTGGTCGGTCGACCAGCGTTGGAAAAATACAGTTTTTCTTGAAAATGTCAGCACACCGGGAGCCACAATTTTACAGGATGCTTTAGACTGTCAATCCCTAACAATTCAGTAAGGTATTTCGTGATTATTTGATCATTTCGTTTTTTTGATGTTTGCAAATGTTGTATCTTCCCTTTAATAGCTCTGTCTGGACGTACACGTAGATGGGTTTGTTGTGAATTTAGGAAGTGAAGTTTTTCATTGTATGTTTTTGGAAGTGAACTATTTACTCTCTCTTAGGGTCAAGTGTAAAGAATAATCCCGTCACCAAAGCACACTGTTTAGTTTGTCAAGCGTATCCTAGCCGGCCCAAATACACCCGTATAATTCAGTTTACTTCTGGGAACCTGGTACCATTTTCCAAAATAGGGGGCGCTCTTCAAAACCGGCCATTATGCAAACTATTATGTGCCCATTTTCTGGGCGCGTTGTAAGGGTTTTGGGGCTTGGTTTTCATATTCCTCGTTCATATCAGAACTCTCTATACCATTTTGGGAAATGGTTATTGAAAACAAATAATCCGAAACTTTAGGGTCGGTTTTGTTTTCATCATGAGGGGGCACATTTATGCTCGAGGGGACACATTCATGTCTGCAAGAGGGGCACTTGGGTAAATCTGGGGGGTGGGGGAGGGGGGCAAGTGCCCCCCCCCCCCCAGTTCTGCCGCCCCTGGTGATATTGGTGCAGAAATTCTTGAAAGATGACAAATCTTTTCATTAGCACAGTATGCGTTTTCACCCGTTGCTACGTGTTACTCATTTAGCACTCCAGACTCAAGAATCAATGACTTATAAACACATCCATCTGGGTGCTAGATAAGCCAATTTAAAGAATCCCAAGGTGGTCGCGCCACCTATTGCTGAAAAATATAAAAATCGCCATTTCAAAAAAAAATACATATTTTGGAGTGAAACTCAACAAAACAGCACACAGACAGTTAATCTTTCTGTTGACTAGGCCCGTGCGACTAATGCGACTAGTCGACTAGTCACCGATACTAAAAAGTATTGGTACTCGCGACTATCAATTTCTGACTAATCGCGTGCCGTCACTAGTTGCGACTACTGAAATTAGTCATGACTTGAAATTCACTAGTCACCCACACCTGAAAATTAGTGATAATAATTAAAAAATGGCCCAACATGCCCAATAAAGATATTAAAAGGAAGAAAGGATTTAATAGTATTAGTAACAATGACAGAACATCTGTGATGCGATCAAGCTAAATGAATCGTTTGTCGGGAATTTGTATGTGGAGATACAGGCCAAAATAGGACCACTTCATCACATCACTACATCACATCTCTTGGTGTTCCGACTTCCATAATTTTTGAATTAAAGATGGTATCAGCATGCGGTTTTCACAGCAGAAATGCTGGGAGTGTGTGGCCTAGTGGTTAGGGTTCGTGACTCATGATCAGAGGGTCCGGGGTTCGAATCCAGCCGCTGGTCATATATTGTGTCCTTGGGCAAGGCACTTCACCCCCACTTGCCCCTCTCCACCCAGGAGTATAAATGGGTACCGGCATTAGCTGGGGAGTAACTTGCAATGGACTAGCATCCCATCCAGGGGGAGTAGAAATATTCTCAGTCGTTTCATGCTACTGAAACCGGAGATAAACGCCGGCCTGATGAGCCACATTGGCTCGGGACAGACTTTATTTTACTTTTTAATGCTGAGATTGTGCTCTTTTGAAATCTGTAATAAATTATTTTTATTTTGACCAGGGTCGACAAACGATTCCTGTAGCTTGATCGCATCACATCTTTACATAAGTTCATCTGGATTGTTGGTAAAACAAGAGTTAGAAGATTTGTTTTTCCAATCCAAAAACGTGCAGATGTTACTCACGCTTTTTTAGTAGTTACATTAGGCAGTTGAGCATTGGACATGGTTGCCAGTCAGAAAGGCTCCTAGTTTAGGAGTGAAACGTAACTACTAAAAAATCGTGAGTAACATCTTCACGTTTTTTGATTGGAAAAAAACGAATCTTCTAACTCTCAATGACAGAACATGAATGCCATTTTCAGAGGTAGTGACATCATATTTTTTAATGTGAACACTCAAAACTGAGAAAATTGGGGTAATGATGATGTACTTTACATGATATGTAATTATAACAATCAATTCTGTTAAAATACCCCTAAACAATATGGAACCGCCTGATCACAACAAACTGGCTTCCTTGTTGTTTTTTCTGCCTCATATGATCACTGCACATGCGCAGACCCGTGTGTTTAGATTTATTGCTCCACTGATTAGAGGTATTACTTGGTAAATAAATAATGTGTTACTAGTCGCAACTAGTCCACTAGTCGTGACTATTTATTGCAACTAGTATACAAATATTGACTGCTTCGAGTGGTGAAGTAAAACCAGCCTCCTGAGGTGATCCATGGAGCATTCTATTTTCCCGAGGCCAAGCCGAGGGAAAATAGAATGCTCCATAGATCACCGAGGGAGGATAGTTTTACTACGCCACGAGATAAAGCAGTCAATATTTGTTTTATAACACCTCTCCCACAGATTCCGCTTGATTTTAAGCGATAACTGATTAATTTAATCTGAAAACAATAAAATTGACTTCTATTTGAATATGAAATTAGTTGAAAATTAACTTGCACTTTTTCAAACTACCCCTTCACGAAATGTTTGAACCCAGCTATGTAGCGCTCGCGCTTGGAAACAAGACGCGCAACGTACCCCTATGCATTTTGCACACAGTGCATATAGTACTTTGGATGCTACGGGTATAGTACTTTGGTTGCTATGGGTATAGTACTTTTGGCCTTGCACTGAAAGATAGCAAAAATAGAAAATATTATAACACCTCACCCGCAGATTCTGTTCCTTGATTGGCCGAGAGCCAGTCACATGATACTTTCTATTTTTGCTATCTTTCTGTGCACGGTCAAAAGTACTATACCCGTAGCAACCAAAGTACTATACCATTAGCAACCAAAGTACTATACCATTAGCAACCAAAGTACTATTTCCACGGCGCAGCATTTGTGTGCAAATGCATGCTGGTGTGCGCGTTGCACGCAGCGCGTTGCACGCAGCGCGTTTTGTTCCAAAGAGAGTGCGCCACAGAGTTGGGTTCAAATATTTCGCGAAGGGGTAGTTTGGAAGAGAGAAATACATTTTCCACCAATTTTGTATTGAAATTGAACTTTATTTCAACTATGTTCAGATGTAAATAATTTAAAATATTATAACCAAGCAGATTCTGTGGGTGAAGTGTTATAAAACAAATATTAAATGCTTTATCGCGTGGTGAAGTAAAACTAGCCTCCCTCGGTGATCCATGGAGCATTCTATTTTCCCTCGGCTTCCCCTCAGGAAAATAGAATGTCCATGGATGTCCTCGGGAGGCTAGTTTTACTACACCACTCGAAGCATTCAATATTTGTATACCATGTGACTCGCTTTTGGCCAATCAAGATACAGAATCTGTGGGTGAGGTGTTATAATCGCGACTACTGAAATTCACTAGTCAACTAGGCCTACTCTTGACATCAGGCAGGTCAGTCTCATCTAGTCAGTCTTGATCCAGGGAACCCAGTATCCTCCATGTAGAGCAGGGTTAGCATTGGGGTCTCTGGGTTTGTTGCGTGCCGGTACCATGCTGGCTTTGTACTCGTCCAGACGTTTCGTCATGGAAGCTACGATATCTGTTGTTGGAGATATTTAGAAAACAAACAAATGATTACGAGACCTACTTATAAACAAAGTTTTTATCAAAACTGGTGGACCAATTTAAAGGGAATATACAACATTTGCAAACATCAAAAAACAAAACTACCAAGTTTGTACGAAATACCTTACTAGGATGTTGGTAAATGACAGTCTAAACCATCCTGTAAAATTATGGCACCTGGTGTGAAGACATTTTCAAGAAAAGTGGTATTTTTGTATAAATTTCCAACAGTGGTCGGCCGACCACCGTTGGAAAAACCTAACTATTTTTCAACTACTACTGCAAATGTACCCTTTTTCAGTCCAAATTTTGTTTGCTATTGGTTACATGGTCATGAACGGGTGCAGGCAGTCCAGCTAGACTGGTTCCCTTACCTTACAATTTTCTGGCATCTATGAATTGATCTATTTCTTCTTTAGTGGAGTCAGGGAGCCAGACTATTTGAACATTTTTGTTTTTCATGATTTTTTCAGCATTTTCGAACACAAAACTTCAAACATGTTAGTTTAACAATATTTCATCTATTATGCTAACACCTCAAATAGTTCATTTCTAAAAATTACAGCAAAAGCCAATGATGTACATTCCCTTAAACAAAAAATCTGAAAAATTGATGAATTAAAGCTGGTATATACATGCTTTTTGGGTGAGGCACCCTGAAAAATGGATTTTCAAATTGAATTCATAATTTTCTAGCATCACAGTAGTTATGCATGAGTTTTCCTATGGGACATCAAATGAACAAATCGACCCACGATATAACCAATGAATTAATTTCAAGTTTTGAATTAGGAGCGTTTCGAAAGAATTTAACCTAGTTACACGTGCGCTGTTGCGACAGTGCAGTTTATGAATAATAATCAACACCACATATTTTACATACGCGCATTACATGAACAGACTATTAGCACTATAATAATAATAATAAAACCGTTCTTATTAAGCGCATTACACACGGAGTCCCAATGCGCTGTACAAATTAAAAATAGGACAAAAACTAATCAGAATTGAAGAAATGGGTTTTGAGGAGGCCTTTGAATTGATCCAGACTTTGTGCGTCTTTGATGCTTTGGGGGAGTTTGTTCCAAAGACATGAAAGAGTGGGCGACGATGTAGAAAAAGCACGCTGGCCGTATTTCCTTGTAGATGACGATGAACAGGTGAGTAGGGATTGTGAGTGGGAGCGGAGTTTTCGTGGAGGTTCATATTTGTTAATCAGATCCTGTAGATATGTTGGCGCATGGCCGTGGATGCAGTTATACGTAATCAGAAGTACTTTGTACACAATCCGTTGCCTAACCGGAAGCCAGTGCAGGTCGCGGAAGATTGGTGAAATATGGTCACTACTTTTGGTTCGGGTGACCAATCTGGCTGCCGAGTTCTGAACTCGCTGTAACTTGGAGATTGTTGAGTAAGGTAGGCCAAGAAGAAGGCTGTTGCAGAAATCAAGGCGGCATGTGATGAAAGCGTGAACTAGCTTTTCTGTGGTAGGTTTGTCGAGAAATTTGCGAATCTTGTGTAATGCCAGGTATGATGATTTGCAGATGTTATTTACATGGATGTCCATCTGGAGATTGGTCTCAACAGTGACACCTAGATCACGCACTTTCTGTACAGGTTCTATTGAAAAACTGCCAAGGGAAATTGATCTAAGGCGGGAATGGTTTCTGAAACGAGACGTACATGTAATCAGTCCTTCTGATTTGAAAATCACAGGTGTGTGGAAAAAAGCACACCTGGATTGTTTTAGGCGTGTGATTTTTCTAGGCGTGTGATTTTCTAGGCGAGTGATTTTTCTAGGTGTGTGATTCTATGGTCCAAGCTGGGATATATTTCATAATACATGTATTCATCTTGGTTTACATTACAATATAGCCATTTTCTCTTCACTGACGTACTTTACTTTTCACAAATTATGAAGTAAAATTATGCTGTAAATGTATGCCGAGGTGTGCAGTACAGAGGGATTCAGGCATGCGATTATTCGCACTTCTCGGGAAGCTTTTAGGCATGTGATGGCATGGGGGTGTGATCGCACGCCTCAAAACAGAAGGACTGTATAATGTGCATATACACGTATATGAGTGTATACACAGCATACAGTGTCGTACTGTATTGCAACCACGTAAAACAAGACTTGGAAAACCACCAGTTTTGCAATCCTCCGAGAGGAAAAGATGCAAAAGTAGCTGAAAGTCTGATAGAACGTAGGATCTGTGGTGCAGCCAGTGCACGTAGGTATTCCATGATACAGCAGCAGTGTCTCGGACTAGCCGCGATTATTCCATAGCTAGTATCGGCCCATAGCGCCATGGCGAATACAAAACGTGTGATTCCAAAATTATGTATTACATGGTATGTCACTAGCTATGAATAGCATTTTGCTCCAAACTTTCTGAACTGGAGCGTGCTATTTAAAACCACTTTTTTAACACTGTATCAAGCCCTGCTAATGGAAACAAGCAAATTTATTTCTTACAGGACATTATATTCCTTTCAAATTCGTTCGAAAAATAAATTTGAAATTTTTGAAAAAGGATGTATATACCAGCTTTTAATGATGGAGCTTTAAAATAAACCTAGAAATTACAAACACATACAGAATTAAACACTTTCCTCGACGTGATAGTGAAAGTGAACGCAAGCTCGAATATGGGATCTTGCAGCAAATGTTCACACTGTGAATTTGCAAAAGTTGAACACATTTCACACTCCAGTAAATTTCACTGCAAAAGTTTTTTGAAGTTTTTTAAAGTCAAATTTCCTTTGCATTCACACGAAGTACGATCCAGTGTTTAAGGGATATACAACATTTGCAAACATCAAAAAACTAAATGATCACATTATCACGAAATACCTTACTGGATTGATAGGGAATGACAGTCAAAAGCATCCTGTAAATCAAAGCTGCTGGTGTGCTGACATTTTCAAGAAAATTTGTATTTTTCCAACGCTGGTCGGCCGACTAGCGTTGGAGAAAACTGGCTTTTTTCAAAAACTGCTCCTAATTTTCCAAATTTAGTTATTCTGCATTTTCTTTGCAATTGATCACACACCTATGAAGGGGTACAAGCCTGCTAGACTGATTCTCTGACCTTACAATTCTCCAACGCCTATATATTGTTCTGATTCATCATTAGTGGGGTCAGGGAACCAGACTACAAGAACATGATTGATTTTGGTTTTTAAAGCATCTACCAGCCCCAAAACATGAAACAAGTCAGTTCAACAATATTTGCTATAACATACCGGTACTAATCCTCCAAATCCATTTATTTCTGAAAATTGCAGCAAAAGCAAATGTTGTACATTCCCTTTAACAAGAGAAAGCAAAACTCATAAAATAAAATCTTCGATCTGATAATGAAATGCAGGCGGACAAAAAACTACAAAGTGACAAAATGATGTTACCTTGATTCCAGTCTGCGATGTTGTAGAACTCGCATGGATCGTGAGTAATGTTGTACAGGCATGTTGCCCGGAATGGGTTGCAATTAGTGGATGCATTGCTGGGTTTTGTTGGGCAGTGAACGGCAAACGCGCCTTCAGGCGGGGGAGGGGGGACGTAATCTGTGAACAAGAAAAGCAAAATGAAATGGATTATTAGTGAAATGTAGACCTGCAAACTGAGAGTCAAAAAACAAAATGTTGAGATTTTTTTCAACGATTCATTTAAGAAGCATCAGTGGACACAAGTGCAGTTGTTTAAAGGGAATGTACATCATTGGCTTTTGCTGTAATTTTCAGAAATGAACTATTTGAGGGGTTAGTATCATAGATCAAATATTGTTACACTGACAAGTTTGAAATTTTGTGTTCGCACATGCTGAAAAACCAAGAAAACCAAAAATGTTCAAGTAGTCTGGTTTCCTGACTGCACTTAAGATGAAATCAATTTATAGATGCCGGAAAATTGTAAGGTAAGGTAACTAGTCTAGCTGGCCTTCACCTGTTCATGAACATGTAACCAATAGCAAACACAATTTGGACTGAAAAAAATGGTAAATTTGGAGCAATACCACTTTTCTTGAAAATGACTTCCCACCAGGTGCCATAATTTTACAGGATGCTTTAGACTGTCATTTACCAACATCCTAGTAAGGTATTTCGTAAAAATTTGGTAGTTTTGTTTTCCGATGTTAGCAAATGTTGTATATTCCATTTTATAAAGCAATTCAATTCTAGATTTTGTGACTTTCCTCTCACTGTTTTTTCGAGCCATTAAAGATTGCTTGCTGGCTCTGAAAAAAAAAAAAAACGATTCACTTTCGGAAAAATTGCATTAGGAGTCTTTGTTAGTTTTTATTCACTCTGAGTATAACTACCCCGTCATTAAAATATGTGTAGTAGACAGACACATCAAAGGTTGAAATTATCAATAAATCTAAAAATCAAAATGGCCTTCTTTTGTTTTCTTCAAAAAGACAGTATGCCAGAAGGAATAATTTCACAGGGAGTTTAGTGCCATTACTATCTTTCAACCAAGTAAACTTTTCAACAATAATTTTGTCAGTTACTTTTTGGATAGCTGCAAATGATCTACTCCACCTAAGCCTAACCGCCCTGAATCCTTCAAAATCCTCTTTGCCAAAGTGGAGGAATTTGGAGGATTGAGGTTACATGGCAAAAGTGCGTTACTGATTTCACAGGATGCAGTTTGTCAAGGTCTTGGGCCGGACCTTGTGTTGTGTTTGCTCAGCCATGCATAGGCGTGGATTATGCTTGAAATCCTCTGTACTGCTCCAGGATGTCACTGGCCAAGCCTCAACATATTGACAGTCACTACCACAGGATTTTGCAGGATTCAGGCAGTGGTCACCCCTCCGCGGACCATACTCAAGAAATAATGGGGGAATTTGCAGGATGTGAGGCTGTATGTAATTTTCCCCATGAGGCCAATTGGAGGATTTTGCAGGATTGAGGCTACATCCTAGCAAAAAGGCCACGGGAGTTAGGGTGAAGGAATTAAAATTAACTGAACGGCCAACTCTACTCACGTGGTGGCAGTCCCTCAGGCTCGTACCATCCTTCCCAGTCCCCATCTCCAACATCACCGGTAAGAATCTTCATGTCCCCCATGCGAAGGGCGGAATAGCCCGATTCCGTGTCGATGTTCAGCAGGATCTCGGATCGTGGTGATTTCTGTCCCCTGGTGATCAGAGGTAAATGACACTCTCTACATCAATTGCACTTTTGATCAGAGGAAGATTGGACTTTGTTAATGAAAGTCAAAACAATTGGGTTAAGAGGAGCAGATTAAAATTGACACCAAAAAAACATTAAAACCCTAACCCACCTCACTCCTCCAAAATCCTCCTGGCGGTTTTGGAGGATTCTCGAGGATTGAGGATGAATGGTGATTGAATCACATGAGGATTTTGGAGGATTGAGGATGAATGGTGATTGAAGCACATGAGGATTTTGGAGGATTGAGGATGAATGGTGATTGAAGCACAAGAGGATTTTGGAGGATTGAGGATGAATGCATTTTGAGGCAGGACTGTCTGATGATTTTGAAGGATTTGGCGTTATGGTTATCCTTCATTTAAACACGAGTGCAAAATTTTGGGATGAGGAGGATTTTGGAGGATTGACGATGAATGCATTTTGAGGCAGGACTGTCTGACAATTTTTGAGAGCGCTGGGAATGGGACACACAGCGTGTGCGTACTGTACTGTACTTCGCGTGTGAAGTACGCATGACTTCCTGAATGTGCCAACGCTATTCGCCACAGTGTCTTCGCACGAGCATCAGACGTAGTAGGCATGCAAATACGTTCAAATTTAACTTGCGATGGTCTCCCACACTAATCTCTGCCCCCAATAACTTTGGATCATTCGAAAAACGCAGTGGATGGACTGGGAACCAGTCTAGGTCTCCCCCTACTCTCCTTTTTTGGCTGTTGAAGGAGTAAAAAAAAAGTGGATTTTATAAATCATATTCTTTGCATAAGCAAGATATTGTGTACTACAGTTGTTGACAGTTGTCAACAAGTATTCTGTATCATTTTCTTTGTTGGTCCAAACAGTCAAAACACACAGTAAACTGGTTTTTTTTTGGATGAAAGAGGTTTTGGGGTCATTGCATTTAAATGGTGATATTCTTTGAACAAATTGAGCAATTTCAGTAATTGTTTCACCTAAAAGTAGTCTCTGAAATTGGGTCAATTTCCAGTCATTATTATGTTTGGTGCAACATATCTTTGTAAATATGAAATATATTTTGTGGGTTGGGTTCGGCTTTTTTTGGACTTACACTATGTCCAATGCATGATGTGAAACTTACAATGAGAGAGTAGGCCAGATATCGTAGCCATCCAGATCTTTCAAGGTGCTTACGTCTCCACCAGCCAAGCCGTAAATCGTAGGCATCCAATCACTGACATGCAGCAGGTCATGTGACTTGCGGGCAGTCTTCTTCAGTAGGTTGCTGTGCACGAAGGCTGAATAAAAAGAAGTTATTGAGACACAATTATTCTTCGTTTGAAAGTACTGTTGGAATTTGCTAACATGAGCCCCATAAATGTGGCTCCGAATACTGAGACTTCCTCCGTATTGTGAGCCACGCAGTGGTGATTGCTACGTGAAGGGAAAAGTTCATTTTGAGGAAATCAAAATCGGAACTGAAAGAAACTTAACTGGTCAATTATCAGGGAAAATCAAATGGTAAGGTGTACATGACCTGTGACCCAGAGAAAACTACTGCAATCTTTCTCAGACCAACTCACTGTAAATTTCGCCTGAAATTTACAGGACACCTACAGAAACAGAATTCATTTTCTTCCTGGCTATTAACCTGAGTAACCCATATATTCAGGGAAACATCAAACAGATTTGGTTATTTCTGTCTATTTTTTGTCCCTGTTTTTAAGCAAAAAAGTATGCCTGAGAATATAAGTAAGACAATAAGGAACTTTAATGTTGCTTCTTTGAGGCTGTTATTTTTTTTTGGGGGGGGGGGGGGGAAAGGGGGGAAGGTTCGAAGGTAAAACAATGTTTCTAAAAATGGCCCCAGAACATGGATACTAATTTAACGTACAATTCCTCAACAAGACATCGTTGGAATTTTGTCCTTTTTTTGTCTAATTTTTTTGAAGTTTTTGACCAAATAGGTATTCCATATTGAATTGGCAACAAGGTAATTTTGGATCGGGCCATTATTGGCAACCAGGCTTGTACCTGGTTTTAAACCGGACGTTTAAGTGTTTGGACAGCTTTTGAGCAGTACACAGGGAGTAACAGTCAGGGTGTTTTTTTACGGGTGGTACAGGGAGCAACGGTACGTTTAAACTGGATTCATAAATACCTCAGACAGTTTAGCTATTCCTATTGGTCAAAAGCCCGTCACGTGGCCGGTCTTAAACGGATGATAAAGACATGGCTAGCTGGTCTTAAACACTTTTCCAGTGTCACAATAAAATGTAGACTCCTAAAAATCCAGTGCCTCTCACCGTTTCATTGGTTGAACGTTCACAATCCTCACGTAGGCATGCGCAACACTACCAGCGAGTCAGAATTTTGTAGTTCTAAATTCAAAACGCAACGCCCCAGGTGCGTTCTACATCACGCAGAACATGTTACGCGCGCGTCAATCTCCATAAAAGGGTTGTTTACATCTTACTCGCCAGCTGAACACTCCATTATTTTGCTAGAGGGATGTTTCAAAAAGCATGAAGTGAACTTGTTGAACAAAATCAGGATTTTTTGAACGAATTATTTGATATTTTTTACCGAAAAGGTATTTATGAATGGAAATAAATATGTGCTCGGTCGGTATTTATCACTCTGTTTAATACCGCTTAGAGTCTGGGTGCTGATAATTACCCTCGCCGCCGGATCAGCACCCAGACTCTAAGCGGTATTAAACAGAGTGATAAAAACCTCCAGAGCACACATTTATTCCCTTATTAATATTTACCAGTGCCTCGGACTCCCCCCTCCCACAACGTAGACTTGACGCCTCGCAGGGGGTAATTATTGGCGTGATTGAAGTCAAAGCCGTGTGCCGGGCCTCCGTTGTCGGTCGAGAAGATGATGACAGAGTTGTCGTATAGTCCAGCTTGCTTCAAGGCCCGGGTGACGTTGCCGACCGATTCATCCATGACAGCCACCATGGCTTGGGAAATAAAACACAAACAAAGTTACGTTCTTGAGTCTTCCAATTAAGAACAGGGCCCGATTGAATAGCGCTGCTGTTAATGACAGAAGAAAATATCAAAGGCCGCTGTCTATTACCTGCAAACATGCGTCGGTTTTCGTCAGTGATGTTCGGGAATCGGTCGTAGTATTCTTTTGGTGCCTCCAGGGCATGTCGTTTGTCGTTCCCGCTGTGAACTGCTTGATGTGCGAAATACAGGAACAGCGGCTGTGGATGGGAAAATAATACTAGTACTAGGAAAACGGAAAAAGTGGCATGATTGACTCAATAGGATAAGTAATAATTTGGGGCAGCTTTTGAATAATATAGTCATTAAAGGTTTTTGTGTAGGCATGTGTTGTTACCATTCATGTGCTGTTTGGTCATAATGCAGATTTATTGCACATTAATGGCAGAAAGGATCATTTGCATTAACCCTAACTCCCCAGGGGAGACGTGTGGTCTAGCGGTAGAGCACAGGCCCAATGAGCATGGGATTGTGGGTTCGAGCCCCGCTGAGGCCATGCGTGTTGTGTCCTTGAGTAAGGTGCTTTACCTCAATTACTCCTCTCAACCCAGGTGTTAAATGGGGGTACCAGCATTATTCAATGCTGGGAAGGTAACAGACTCGCTGTGGAGGAGGTGTGGCGATCCCCCCACAGCAGCATATGAGTCTGGCCCAATCGCTAATGAAAGAGAGATGGGCACTCCGTTCCTGTGAACACAGGTTCGTCCCCTTTACTTTAATACTTTACCTAACTCCCCAGCATAATTTACTAGGAACCGTACCCATTCAGGCAAATTCCGACACCCACAGGGGAAATTGTACACACACACTGTTGGACCTAGTTTCTGGAGGTATGCCAAACCCAGTGTAAAAGACCATCAGTTTAGGGGTACTGTACCTACATATCCCAACAGATTTCAACAAAACCTGCTGTTGGGCTTTGATGGGTTGGGTTCGGTTAGGGCTAATATCCAAAAAGTAACCTACAAGAATTACAGGCTGTCAAGCAGACCCAGTTAAAAAGTAGGAGAGCAGAATAAAAAATATTTTAAAAAGTAGACAAAAGTAGGACTTTGGAGGACAAAATCAGGATAAAAGTAGGACTTTTGCGGGCTTTCAGGAGTAGTTTTTGTTGATACTCGCCCATCCACAGCATCATAAGCCTCATTTGGCATGTTCTGTACTCACAACACTTGTGCTCCATCCTCAACTAAGCTCTTGGAAGTACAGTTGCAGTACTCCTGCGCCCAAGCCCTTCATTGTGTGATTTACATTTTTATATGACAGTGTGTAACACTTATATGAAAAAAATTCAATGAGATTGCATTTTTTTTTGAGTTGGGCAATAAAGTAGGAACAGTGGGAATCAAGCCAAATGAGTCATTTGTTGGGAACTTTCATTTGGAGATTCAGGCCAAAATTGGTGCCACTAATTCATCACATCACTTCATCACATCTTTTGGTGTTTCGACTTCCATCATTTTTGAACTAAAGATGGTATCAGCATGCGGTTTTCACAACAGTAATGCTGAGATTGTGCTCTTTTCCAATCTGTAAACAAACAAAAAATGACCGGGGTCGACAAACGACTTATTTAGCTTGATCGCATCACATATGTGCAAAATATTTTGTGAATGTGTGAATTAAAAAGTAAAAAAAAAGAAAAAAAGAGGCGGCCGGGAAAAAAGAAGCGGGGTTTGGGACGACAAACTGTTTTTTTTTTTTTTAATTGGGCTAACCTTTGATTTATTATGTGAAGCAATGATATGTTCAGCTTGCTGGGTGTAGAGATTCGTAGAGTACTGGCCATACACAGGCTTGAATATGCTGCCATTCTTGTGGAAGTCAAAGCCCGAAAATCTGAGCTACATTTCAAAAGAAATTGAAATAACAACAATTAAAAATTGTTTAAAGCAGAAACATTCACTTCTAATGGTGTACAAAACTGTTATTTATTGTGGAATTCCATACATCAAGGCATAGTAGCAAACCGGACCGAGTAACTTGGGGTGCTGTGGTCCAATGGTTACAGTGTTCAACTTGTGTGCCTTGGTACATGAGTTCGAATCCTGACCGTGGGAACATGGTGCTTGTGCTCTTGAGCAAGGCACTTTACCATTATTGCTTCGTCCTTCAGATGGGACGTAAAGCCGTAGGTCCCGTGTGTTGTGTAATGCACGTTAAAGAACCCAGTAACACCTATCGCTAAGAGAAGAGTTTGCCCTGGTGTTTCTGGCACTGGTTGCAATGTGCGCCGCAGCACCTTGTAAAAACTTATAAGGTGCTCCATAATGGGTCTCATCTTTCTCATCAACTTTATTTACCATTCTTTAATAATTGACATAATTTCCAGCACCTTGAGTACCTAATAGTTGGTAGACACATGCGCTATATAAGACGCCGTTATTATTATTAGTATTGTTTAATAGACCTAATACGATGCTGTGCATTTGAACCGTGTACACAAGCACCCGACTGCTGATATATGGAATCGAGTGCCTCTAACCAACTTTACAAATTACTTAGTAAAATCTCAGAGTATCTGCCATCACTTGTTCTCTTTCAATCGCCACTATTCTCAGCTCTGCCACACTTTTGCCACTCCACTTCGTCACATTGTCTACCCAGCGCTGCTTAGGGCGACCTCTGCCATGTCTCGTAGCCATAGGCAGTAACGTGTTCCCATAAATCTTAGTGCTATCTTCACCATGAACATGATGAAAACCTTCAAATCTTATCATGCAGACATGTGTATTAAAGATATAGTCCATCATTTGTAATTTGTGCATTTTGTTCGTTTGAAGCAACAGAAGTGCGCAAAATCTAAAGAAGGGTGCTGAAGAACTAACCTGATGAAGTTTCAGCTCAGCTTCAGCTGTATATTCCGAGAAAAATGGCATTCTAGGATCTCAATTTCAAATCAAACGTTGCTGAATCATGTTTTGAATTGGGCCTGAATTCAGCGTCCGAGAAACGTTCTCGCTGAGCCGATTGCAGCTACGCGATGTCGCGCACTGATCCGACGAATTAAAGCAACCGGGGGCGCGTGTGCGTCGTGCCAATGCTTGCGCGCGCTGCGCCGAATAACAAAACGAACTACTAATTTAAATTTTCCTACGGTGCGTCTTAAGACGCACCGTTGGAAAGGCCTTCTTTCGTTGATTACTACAAAATGATAGCTTGCCAGAAAGATTAATTTCACAGGGAGTTTAGTCCACTTACTATCTTTTAACCAAGTATGTTTTTCAACAATAATTACGCCAGTTACTTTTCGGATAGCTGCAAATGATGGACTATAGCTTTAAGTACGATTTACTGCTAAGAGACCAAAGCAATATGTACTCTACCTCTGAGTTATAATGTGTCCAGTAGTCCTGCTTGCCAAGGTAGTAACCATAGTAAGAATCAAATCCACGTTGGGAGGGAATGTGCTCCTCGCTGAAAAACCCCAGATGCCACTGGAAAATATAACAAAGGAAATGGCACATAGGACGTCAAGTCAAGTCTTCACAAATCAATCGCAAGTCAATCACAAGTCCATCACAAGTCCATTGCAAGTCGATCACAAGTCAATCACAAGTCCATCACAAGTCCATCGCAAGTCCATCACCAGTCCATCACAAGTCCACTGCAAGTCAATCACAAGTCAATCACAAGTCAAACACAAGTCAATCACAAGTCCATCACAAGTCAATCACAAGTCCCTCACAAGTCAATCACAAGTCCATCACAAGTCCATCACAAGTCAATCACAAGTCTATCCCAAGTCCATCGCATCAGTCCATCGCAAGTCAATCACAAGACAATCACAAGTCAGCCACAAGTCAAACACAAGTCTATCACAAGTCCATCACAAGTCCATCACAGTCAATCACAAATCAGTCACAAGACAATCAGAAGTCAATCACATTTTAATCACAAGTCCATCACAAGTCCGTCACAAGTCAATGACAAGTCAATGACAAGTCAATGACAAGTCAAGCACAAGTCAATCACAAGTCCATTACAAGTCAATAACAAGTCCATCACAAATCCATCGCATTACTCCATTGCAAGTGTCTTCAAGTCCATTGCAAGTCAATAACAACTCAGTCACAAGACAACCAGAAGTCAATCACATTTTAATCACAAATCCATCACAAGTCCGTCACAAGTCAATGACAAGTCAATGAAAAGTCAAACACAAGTCAATCACAAGTCAATCACAAGTCCATCACAAGTCATTAACAAGTCCATCACAAATCCATCGCATTACTCCATTGCAAGTCCATCGCAAGTCCATCGCAAGTCCATCACAAGACAATCACAAGTCAATCAGAACTCAATCACAAGTCAATCATAAGTCCATTTCATAAGTCAATCACAAGTCAATCACAAGTCCGTCACAAGTCAATCATAAGAAAGTCACAAGTTCATCACAAGTCAATTACAAGCCTTGGGTGTCTTGCATCCCTTGCGCGTAAACAAAATTAAAAAAAAACATGTCCAACAACTGTTAAATATCTCACACACAATATTAAAAAAAAACAACTACCAAAAAGGCTCACCTTGCCCACCATATGCGTGCTGTATCCTTGTTGTTTCATCAATTGCGGTAGAATGGTTTCGTTTAAGCCAAGACCCCAAGGTTCGGGGCCCAAGATAACACCATGCCACATTCCTGGAGATAATGGTTTCAAACAAATCATGCCAAAGAATACTATCCTTAAAACCCTAACTTCCTAGGCCTTTTTGCTAGGATGTAGCCTCAATCCTGCAACATTCTCCAGTTGGCCTCATGGAAAAATACCATACAGCCTCAGTCCTGCAAATTCCTCCATTATTTCTTGAATATGGTCCGTGGAGGGGTGACCACTGCCTGAATCCTGCAAAATCCTGCAGCAGTGACTGTCAATATGTTGAGGCTTGGCCAGTGACACCCTGGAGCAGTACGGAGGATTTCAAGCATAATCCAGGCCTATATTTTTGCATGGCTGAGCAAAAACCAACACAATTGCCCGGCCCAAGACCTTCGACAAAGTGCATCCTACGAAATCAGTAACGCACTTTTGCCATGTAACCTCAATCCTCCAAATTCCTCCACTTTGGCTAAGAGGATTTTGAAGGATTCAGAGCGGTTAGGGTTAATAAACTGAAGCAAAGGTTTTCAGCCTTTGCCCACTAAGGCTTTCCTTTTGGGTTGAATGTGCGCAACAAAGAGATCTGCAGACGGTTTCACATAACTTTACTCAATGGTGTTACTCCACTTGCGCCACAATTTATTGCGTAAGTTGCCCAACATATCAGTTATGACACATTTTACCAAATTTTCATTGTGCGTAAGTCCGCAACTTGCATAACAAATCACGGCGTAAAAGTTTGCAATCATTTTCAGCGACATAACTTGTGGCGTAGCAACTGAAAATGATCTATTTTATAACCAAGTCGTGATTGTCATGGAGCCTGTCATTGCACAACTTATCAAGGTTGATACAAGACACTCACAGCTTTGTGTTTGAAGTAAATGAATTGCTATTTTACTCGCGACAGAATTTATAGAGTTGCCGCACATTTCTTAAGAAAGTTGGACAGAACTATTTTCAAAATGGCAGGTGGAGGTGATTCAACCACCGTTTCATGACCGAACAAAATCATACACACACAGACGTCGAAAAATGCTGTTATTATTCTCGTCTAATAATTTTAAATCATTTAAAACATTGTGCAGCTACGCCAAGTTTCATGAAAGTTTATTACCCAGCTTACCCAGCTGTGCAACAAATTTAATGTGTCAGTCCTATGCATGGCGTAATCTGTGCACTGTTTCGTGAAATCAGCAGAGTTGTAACGAGTCACTGATTTTTGTGACTCGAGTCGAGTCGAGTCATTTTAAAGAAGTGACTCGAGTCGAGTCGAGTCATTAGGTCAACAAGGTCGAGTCGAGTCGAGTCGAGTCACAGAGTGTGGTCGAGTCGAGTCAAGTCGAGTCAAGTATTTACCTCGAGTCAATTCGAGTCACAAATAGTTGAACACTAAATTACAATAAAAAGCAACAAACACAAGAGAGAAAGAATACAAGGCACCAGTCTATTACGGAAATCCAAAGACATAAAGTATGCTGTATGGTACCCAACCAACAGTTTCCATTGCTAGCTCACGTCACAGATAAGAAGATGTGAAACTTCGGTCTTATAACCGGTTTGGCTTCGGGTCTAGATTTTGTTGTTCGCTGATCGCTGACAACGTTAAAACCTAATTGCATTATACAAAACTGTTTCTGATTATTTAAAGGTGGGCCCGGCCGTATCCATTTTTTTGTGTGAAATCGGGACATGAATTTAGCCAGCGTTCCACCAAGAACTTCAAAATCGCCCGAAACCAATGATGAAACCACGGATTGAGAAATGCGTTTTAAGTCTGGTTCCGGGTTTAGCATTACATGCTATAGAACCACAAGGTGGGAGTCCGCGACACGGTGTATGTTTGTTGTTTCATTATGGAGGAAGGAAACAGACTGCCGCTGTATATAAACGTACATTATTCGCGAACATTAACGTGACGTGAACAAAAACTGGCAACGCGAACGGCGCAGCGTAAGTCATTGCAAATATTTTTCGCAAGTAAGTTTTGCTTTTATTTTGGGACTCGAGTCTTATTAGCCTTCCTCGAGTCGAGTCGAGTCATTCTGATGAGGGACTCGAGTCGAGTCAAGTCATTTGCTCGCAGTGACTCAAGTCGAGTCGAGTCATTTACCCGTCGGGACTCGAGTCGAGTCGAGTCGCCAAAAAATGTGACTCGAGTCGGACTCGAGTCGAGTCATTGACTCGAGTCATTACAACTCTGAATCAGCTGCAGCAGTTAAGTGATTATTCCATGACTAAATGTGAGCTGATTTTTTCATTCGACATTTCATCCAAAAGTGAATCAATTTTGTACTGCTGTAACAACAGCAATAACTTAAGAAAAAGAATATACTTTTCGTAATGAAACTCGGAATAACAGTACATCTTTGAGTCTTAAATACCTGTGTGTATTGGGTATCTGCCTGTCATTAGAGCACTTCGTGTTGGAGTGCAGATGGGCTGGACATAGTAATTGGTCAGCATAACTCCACTGTAGGCCAACTCATCAAGGTTTGGGGTTGGAATCTGATCGGAGCCATGGAAGCTGACATCATTCCAGCCCTAGAAAGGAAAAAAAGTACAAATGAATGAAATAATCATTAAATGGCAATTGATGCAATTAAATTTGATTAACCCTCCTGCTATCTGAACAGTCACAGACAGTCACAAAATCAATCCTCTTCCCTGCCATGCCTTTTACACAGGCTAGTCACCAACAGTCAGATCATATTTCAAGCAAGCACTGTGACTAGTCAAATTCACTCAACAGACAAAAGCAGGCAAGTGGTAGGCACAGTCATCACTGATCTCCACGTAAAAAATGGATGTGGAGAAAGTGTATGATGTGCGCTTTTATAGACTAGACACGTGACCGTTCTAGACCAATGAAATTACATTATCCAAGCCAGGGGCGTAAATCCCAGGGGGTGGGGGGGGGGGGGGGGATATGGGGGTATATATCCCCCCCCAACTTTTTGACCGAGGGACATTGGCCATTGATCGTCCCCCCACTTTTCGTGTTGAGAAACCAAAAAAAGGCAGATTTTGAGGTACTTTTCAAACTTCTTAACAAGCAAAATGTACTTACTGAAAAGGGAAAATAAGAACAAAAGCTTTAAATGCGCCGTTTTGATGTAAGATTAAGGGGTGTAAGTATACCTAAGATGTACATCTGTATCATGAACAGCGCCCCCTAGTGTCATGTGGTGTCCTGCAAGCCAAGACCCCCCCCCACTTTTCAAATTTGCACGGCCGGGAAATGTTTTGATTTTAGTCATCTCTCATCCCCCCCCCCCAGTCCCCGGCACAGATTTACGCCACTGATCCAAGCACACGATATAACAATGCTTTTTATTTTCACAAATGTACTCAGTGAGATTACCATATTCGGAAAGATTTCCATATACGAAGTTCACTCAACACCCTGTGTACAAACCCTATGAGATTGGACTGAAAAATTATAAGAGTTTTCTAAGAAAATGCTTGTATTTTCTCACTGCTCAAATTGACTTTGATGACATGAAATTGCTATCTGGGGGCTTGTTAGTCAAGAGGAAAGTTAGTACAGAGGAAAATTAGTTAACTTCGTATATATGGAAATCTTTCCCCATATTGGTATATATAGCCTATAGGGTGTGCTGTTCAAAGCGGACGATCATTGGCACTATCGGACAATAGGTGGCGCTCTTCATCAAGGCATATTTGCCAATGTGGACAGGACAATTTTGCCAACAAAACCGATTAAGGGGGGAGGGGGTGTCTCCCAAGTCATGCCCATGACGAGTGACCATGCATTAGACGAACAAAATCAAAACCAGTTTGGAACAAAAGCTAGCACTTACCAAGTCATCTGCCAGGATGAAGATAATGTGAGGCTGTGCGTTGGAGTTGGATTCATCGTGTCCCGTGGCATTCCTTGAAGTCTTAGCTAGGACCGGGTGCACGGCAACAACCGCAGAGAGAATGAGCAGAAACGCTGGCAGTGGAAGCATCTTGCTCCGACTTGTCAATGAAGATCTGAGCTGAGATTAAAGCAACCAATGGATGACAAAAAGCAATTTAGTCTAAAAGCCATTTAGTCTGTGAAGTTTATAAACCGCGACTTTGTACTGATGTAAACCAGTAAACATGGGGGGGGGGGGAGGCTTGTTAGTTACTGGCGCCACATTTACTGGTCTAGTACTGCTGGCGCTTTGAAAAAGTAATGTCACCCATAAACCAGTAGACTGGATCTCTGTATATTGGGTGCCGGCTGCGCTTGGGAAGGCCTCAACAAATCTCCTTTTGTAACGTGGTCACTGGAGCGGGTACCGGTATCTAACCCTATTTTTGTAACATTTTGAACAGTATTTTTGGAGAAAATATGATAATTTTACCCGAGGATGAGCAACCATGCGACCCGTTTTTTAACATTTGGACATTCGGACTAATTGCCTGACCATGCATGTCCAAATGTTAAAAAAGGTGATTCGTAGAGTCCTACTTACTCGGACAACCCCTATCCCTAGGATGTAAACTTGGGAGTCAATAACTTGACGCCACTCAAGTAAATTCACGAAGTTCACTAATTTTCCTCTGTATTGACTAACAAGCCCCCAGATAGCAATTTCATGTCATCAAACTTTGATTCAAAATCAATTTGAGCAGTGAGAAAATACAAGCATTTTCTCAGAAAACACTAGAATTTTTCAGTCCAATCTCATAGGGTTTGTACACAGGGAGTTTAGTGAACTTCGTATATGGAAATCTTTCCCGCCCATGCCCCGAAAGCCAACCTACCTCTTTTGAATTCAATTATGATTAGGCTACAGATAAATTAGTTTAACATTATGATTAACACGAACACATGCTGATCCCCGTCGCGTCGTAAACGTCCGGAGTCTATGCAGGCCAATAATGGGCCGGGCCAAACCATGTCTATGGACCATGGGCCAAACAGGCCAACCTCGTCTCCAGGGTGTCGAGCAGTACGCGCCCACCACTACCTGCTCTCTCAAACGCAGTTGGAAATAAAGTAAGCACTGGGGACGAGGTTGCAAACAGGCCTCAATATTTTGGAAGGGCGCCCTCAACTGATGACAAACGTGAACTTTAGAATAAAGGCGTTACGCCGCGCCGTCTGATCTGAGGGGGACAGACTAGTGTCACGCCCTGTTTACGGGTCACATCTCGTCATGAAGTCTGTGAGCGATTGTCTTATCACTTTTCAGAACTTTTCTTAAGTTTCCGAGATATAATAGTTTGGGCCTAAATTATCATCCTTTCTCATCGAAAAGTTGTTTGAAATATCATTTTGTTTCCCCAATCTGGGTTTTGGGTTCATTTTTAATAGCGAAGATTTCCAACGTCTCTTTAAAATAAGTTGAATGAAATTGACTGAATCCTTTGGAGCGTCGGCACCTGCGACTTCTGAATTACTTTTACCGCACTGCATGAGCTATTCGAGCCTGGAGTCCCCAGTTTGCCAATGTCTTTGTTAGTACCGAAGTTGATGTCTTTATTCCACTATGCGCGTGAACGAGAACACGTGGCATACTCCGGTACTCTATACCCGTGCAGCCAGGGCCAGAGATCATGCTAAAAGTCAAGATATTAAATAAAATCAACCACAAGTGATGCAAGAGTTTCTGTAAGGCGCAGTGGACAACAACCTCCACATTTTATTTTATCAAAAAATGTAATTGCATGTCATTTCCCTCCTTAAAATCTATGCGCTTAGCTATGGTACTCACAAAATATAAAAATCCAAGCATAAACCTCCACAAACTTTAAAAATTCCAAAATGAATGCTTGCATTTCTTGAGTATCAAGTGCAATAAAAGTTAGTCAGATGTATAAACTGACTTAAATTAAAATCATCTTGTAACCCATGAATGCTTGCATTTCCTGAGTATCAAGTGCAATAAAAGTTAGTCAGATGTAACTGACTTATTATTAAAATCATCTTGTAACCTATCTCCCCTACCCAAGGGCGGATCCAGGGGGGGGGGCCAAAGGGGGCCATGGCCCCCCCCCCAAAACGAAATCAATTTTTTTTTTTTTTTATGTGACATCGCAATAACGGCAGGCAATGAGTACACCACCATCTTTTCCTCAAAAAAAAACATTGGTTAAAGTGGTCAGAAATTGCCTCAGATCGCACCACAGAGCATCTAGAATCCAAAAAAATTTCGGGGCCCTTAAGCGGGCCCCGAACCCCACGCCGTAATTTTTTGGACCCACTTTTTGGGGGGAACCAAAAATTTTTTTTGGCCCCCCCAAAAATTGTGTTCTGGATCCGCCCTTGCCCCTACCCAGCCTAAAGTTGGTGATTTGAGTGCTATAAGCACGTACGTCAAAATTAAGTTCTATTTTCGAGAGTTCATCAGATAACAAGCTGGTGTCATGCCAAGGTGTGTCCAGTCATTAGCATATACCGCAAAACGGGCAGTATTTTGGCAAGAAAATGACGACGAAACGAGGAAAATTGAAAAAGGTAGGGCCGGGGTGGGACAGGGTTGGGTGGATGGGGAAGGGGGGAGGGGGGTAAGGTTGGGTCGGATGGGACTGGTGGGTTGGGGTGAAGTGGGGCTTGGTAGGGGGGGGGGGCCCTTGGCATTATAAATTAACCCAGTGACGCCCATGCATGACCACGGCACCCTATACAAATCAAAGCCCTTGCATATTTAGCACTGTTCTGTTTTCAAAGAAAACCTAAATTTAAACGTACGTTTCGTTTCTTTGAAGCACACCTTAGATAATTATGATGTAGAAATTATTTAAATAAAACAATAATTAGGGCTACCACATGTAACAATCATAACTTAAACCTTTCATGCAATGTAGTAATCCTTATACAGTTTTGTGAATTGTAAAAGTTCAAAATCAATAAAAGAAAAATAAACCGTAAAAATGATTATACTGTGGCGGGAATATCTGTGACCCGATCCGTAGTCCCTATACCCAGACAACCTAGCTTAGGATCAGTACCCCAGCAGCCGGGAATGCAGGCCCGTTTGGATGGAAATATACCGCCCTATACGCGTAGCAGCACTCACCCATGCCCCTCAACCTCCAAGATGGACAAGGACAAACAATTAAGTACACAACAGTCAAAGACTTCAATTGCTGATTGATTTATTTACATAGGATTATGTCATATGATGGACCCCTCGTTAAATTATAATGTTAGCCTCTAATAAGTGATTGGTCTCCGAGCCTCTCAATTATCTCTGTAGGGGTAGCCTCGCATTAGCCGCTACGGTAAGGCAGTGCTGGGCAGCACGGCGATGCCTGGCTGGGGATAGCCTCTGAATCCCGGGTAAGAACCGTACGCCTCTAGCGTTCCTGTGCGCCTCCACTCTCCCGCCCTCCACCGTTTCCAATTCCAGTCGCGAGCCTTCCTCGAGGCGGCGGGTAGATGAGCGCGCCCTTCCGGCTCCGTCACGTTACAATCGGCAGATCGCTGTATGTCGCTCCGCCTCCAGTAGCCTCCGCAGACTCCGTGCCTCCTTATGCCAGCCTGACTCCACCGCACCACCCAGCACGCCGTCAGCGCGCGTAATAGCGTGAGCTCTTATGAGGGCTGTGTCTCCGTCTGCGTCTACATGTACGTCTCTTCTAGCAACTGCCCCGCGGCCTCTTATATAGGGGCCCGCAGCCGCTAGCGCGCCCTCTTTAGACTCTGCCGCTATAGTAATTTTCGCCACAATACTACAACTAAGACCCAATAATCAAAATAAGGGGATTTAATCTCAAACATATATTTTGACAATACGCAACAAAATTTAGAAATAGAATTTCTTGGTTATTGGTAATGATCGTGTGAAAAAAAGTTCATAAGTGAGCTCATCAGGTCGATCAAAGATAAATAACATTTGAAAAACGGTCTTGGAAGTTTCTGACAAATAGCTTAACAGGGATTAAAGGGAAGATACAACATTTGTAAACATCAAAAAACGAAATGATCCAATTATCACAAAATAGCTTACTGGATGGTTAGGGAATGAATCTTCTAAAGCACCCTGTAAAATTGTGGCTCCTGGTGTGCTGACTTTTTCAAGAAAAATTGTATTTTTCCAACGCTGGTTGGCCAACCAGCGTTGGAGAAAACTGGCTTTTTTCAAAAACTTTCTTAATTTTCATACATGTAATTAGTTTTTCCGCATTTTCTTTGCAATTGATTACACACCTGTGAAAGGGTACAAGCCTGCCAGACTGATTCTCTGACCTTACAATTCCCCAAAGTTGACAAACTGCTCCGTTTCATCTTAAGTGGGGTCAGGGAACCAGACTCCAAGAACATGATGTTTTTCTTGGTTTTTCCAGTGAGCATCTTCAAGCCCAAGTCATTTTAACAATATTTGCTATAACATTCTAATCTTCCAAATCCATTTACTAAAATTGCAGTAAGAGCAAATGTTGTACATTCCCTTTAACACCTTTGTCACATACATTTGAATGGGACTGAACTTGGGAAAGATGCAGTATTTTAGTATTTGACTTGTGAGAACTTGCGTGTAATGCTACTTGGGAAAGAGGACATTATGCCAAGAAAACATCGTCCAGGCTTTTGAAAATCCCCCTTAACTTAGACAGCGGATTTCCCAAGATGGCAGATGGATTCTTCTTGACTTTTCTTGACTCTTTTGCAGATGCTTTTGTTGCTAAAGCACGTAAACATAAAACCAGTGCCTGCGGGCACTTCAATGATTCATTTTCTTCCAAATGATACCATTTGAGGCGGATTTCACAGGGTATTTGGTATCTGTCCTATCTTCACTTTGAGTAAAGATGTACTCATTAAATCGGTCGGTGGAATTCTTGGTATTACTGCAAATGTGCCCATGCCCTTTTTAGTAACAATTATTTGGTTCGGTGAAATTAACTCTGGACTATGCCGGCCTGAAACGAGTGTATGCTTGAATGAAGCCGGCTTTCCAACTTGAGCCTACATGGACTCCATGCCTCCCTGAAACTCCAGGGCTCCTATTGCCAAGTTTGCCTGGCGGATCCGACGTTTAATGACCAGGCTGGTTTTCTGGTTTTCTTCCGAGCAGTAAGACAACTGGACAGCTGGTGGAAATCTGCGCATTTTCGAGTGGACAATCGGCTAAACCTAAAATCTCCATAAACCTGAAAAAAAAAAAAAATCGACAAAGTCTAACAAAATCCAAATTTTAGTACATCAGGCCAAAAAAAAATATCTCCGGTTTCTGGTATGTGCGCGCGTCGCCGTAGCCATGCGCATCGGCAAAATGAAAATGTTTTTTTTTCAATGAAAGATGATGTCTCAAAACCGCCAAACTCACTGGTTTGACTGGAATCCTGCTGCTGCACAATTTTAACGTGTTTTTAGATGAGGTTATGATCGAGAATAAGCTTTATGTGGCCTCTCTGGACTCCCATATATTTGCACTTCGTTTAGTCGGGCACCATTTGCAGTCATCAGCCGACATTTGAAGCAAAAAAAAACAGGAAAAAAAAAAAAAAAACCTTTTTGGGCAAGCTCCATACCAGAAACCGGAGACTTATTTTTTGGGCCTTATCCTTGCACATGAAATATATTATTTTAGACACATACATGTATATGGCATCGCAACTATACAAAGAACTGAAAATCAAAAAATAAATCTCCTCAATAAGCTTCTTTTTTTTAATTATCTTAACTTCAAGCTGCGCTCAGAAGTGTCTGGTTGATACAATACGGTCGTTTCACAATAGTGCGCCTCCAAGAGTTTGCAACGCGTTGGCCAATTACAATGCGCAAAATTGGTCGAGTAAGACGACCCAATGCGCGTTTGGAAAAGACTGATTTTGCGCACTGTGATTGGCCAACGTGTTGCCAACTCTTGGAGGCGCACTATTGTGAATTGCCCGTATTAACACGTCACAAAGTTTGAGAAAGTCACAAAAAGACAAAAATATGCATTTTATTAAAGGCAGTACTTCTAGTCTTACCGATCCTGCATGGCTAAGACTGGGTCAGGGCCGGTAGGGTTCTTCACACGATAATGTCGATAACTGGACCAAGATCGGAAGAAGTTCATGAATGACGCCAGTGTTGTGTCGTGCTTAATTTGAAGAGTGTCATCCCTGACATATATACAAAAGAAAATGAGGGTATAAAGACAAGGCAATATCTGCCAATTTAACATAATTTAACAAATTTATATATATTTAGGGTGGCATGGGTGGCTAGTGCATAAAGCGCTTGTGAGTTGAGTTGTGCATAGATTCTCTTCTTTGCCATAAGGGTTTTTTTCGGGCTTTCCGGTTTCCCTCCCTCCACAAAAATAAAACGCTTTCGATCTCTGGCTGTGCAATTCAGCTTCTCAGCTGCAAGTAATAGCCCCCAAATATCATTATTCTATTATCATTTCTCAGACAAAACACAATTTTTATGCCCCGTGGGCAAAGCCGATTGGGGCATACTGTTTCCGCCTTGTCCGTCCGTGTGTGCGTGTGAGCGCTCTTGTATGGCATTACAATTGAGGACAGACCCACAAAAGGATAACAAAAGATCCTTTCAATTCCTCAAACGACGGTGCTTTTGTTCAAAACTGTCCTCAATCGTACTTTTACGTGCTTAGTCTATAGGAAAGTGTTAAAGTACAGGGACAAAGGCTAGCACAAATGGTGATCGTAAGCTCGGAATTCTGTGTTAGCACAGCCATCAAATTGGGCCTTGGTTCCTTTGCATCCCCGACAAACAAAAACAGATCAACCTGAATCCTCATGAATGACGTACCTGATTGTTTCTTCATATGGGATGTGGATATCTGCTAACATGTTTCGGACATGTCGAATACGGTCGCTGGCGTACGGTTCTAAAAAGCTATCAAACTGTCAACAATAGAGATGGAAAAATATATGAATTTATAGTAAATTGAGACTGGAAGACTTGTGATGAATTCGGCTTCAAGTGGGGGTGTGCTAACTTTTTATGGGGGCGTATTTTGTTTTCTAACTTGGTCACTTTCTTTTTGACTGCGCCCTCTTAATCGATTAAATTTCAGTCTAAAATCTTGACCCAGGTATCAGTTGGATAGAATGAATTGTCAGTTTGGGTAAAAAGAGAGGACAAATAAGATCACTGCAGACTAAATACACTCGAGGTCGTCAATCGCTTCTCAAAAGTGGGGGGGGGGGGGGGGGACATACCTTGATCAGAACTGATGTGATCGAGCGCGAAGCCCTGTAATTACGGCGTGGGGTTCAAGGCCCACTTAAGGGCCCCGAAAAAATTTGGATTCTAAATGCTCTATGGTGCTATCTGAGGCAATTTCTGACCACTTTAACCAATATTTTCTAAGCAAAAGATACATTGAAGTACATAATAGGGCCCTGTAAATGAGAAACGAGTTCAAAAATCTGGGGGGGGGGGGGGACATTTGATATTGTGTCCCCCACCCTTCGAAAAGTGGGGGGGGGGGGGGGGGGGACATGTCCCCCGTCCCCCCTAGTATTGACGCCCATGAATACACTACTGCATTGGTAAACTCCTGACCTTCAAAACAACATCCTTCAGGAGTTGGTTCTTGTTATCGTCACCTTCCACCAAGGGATGCGTATTGTAGTAGGAGTAGATCGCCACACAGCCACAAGGCTTCAGGACTCGATCCACCTCGCGAAAGAACGCATCGATATCAAACCAGTGCACTGCCTCCGCAACCGTGATCATGTCAGCAGAGCCATCGGGGACAGGGATACTCTCTCCACTGCCAATTCTAATGTGAAAAAAATGACTAGTTTGCATACTAACTGTAATAGGCTATATTTCTAACGAACGAAAAAGCTATACAGGGTGTTTCAAAAAAAGAAGGAAACCCAACTGCAAAGAATGACTATGGACAGACGATATGTTTACTGGCTATAAAACTGGTATCATCTGAAAGCGTAATCTCTATGCTTTTCAATGATACTATGTTTAGGTTTTCTGAGTCATGCATCAGTGAACATGTGACGTCATAATTCAAAGCTCTGTGGGAATGTAATCACATATTATATGCCACCAGTTATTATCAACATAACTACACATCCTTCCTGGATGGAACTTGTACTTCAAACTTTACATGTCGCATGTCACAAAAAATACCGAAACAGCCCTATGTTTGTCCACAAACATAAGTCTAGTTTCATTATGTTCTACAAACACGCACATGAATTCAAAATGTCTGCCCCAGGACAGCTTCAAAGCGTCTCCGCGTGCAAAAATGAGGAGTTAGCGCTCTAGTAATTTAATATAGCTCTATGGTTGAGACAGAACCAGTGGCAGCCTGGAGCAGTGTGGAGGATTTGAAGTATAATATAAGCCTAAATTCATGCACGGCTGAGCACAAACAACTTAAGGTCCGGCCCAAGACCTTGACACAGTGCATCCTTCAAAGTCAGCAACACAATTTTGCCATGTAACCTCAATCCTGCAAAGAGAATTTTGGAGGATTTGGGAAGGCTGTCGTTCTAAACTATCGAAGGCTATCGTTCTAAACTTGGGAAGGCTATCGTTCTGTTTGTGCTTTTTCGGAGTTTCATTTGCAGGAATACTGTAGGCTCACGTTTGAATGAGACTTTAAAAAAAAACAGCCCACGTTTTGTTTTCACAAGGTGTTTTGTTCTGTTTTTGGTGTTGGTTTTTTTGTCGTGGACCTGTAGACATATATACAGTCCCAGTCGGTGAGCTGCATCCTCCTCAAATTCTTGTGAATGTCACGTACATCAACATGAAGCTCACACACATTATTTCCTCACCTAAATTCCACATTTGATGGAGTTTCTACGGATTGCGCAGCTTTTATCTGCGCCTCACTCACATCTATACCGATGACCTTTTCAAAGTGCGGAGCCAAAGGCCGCGTATTCTGGCCTGATCCACATCCGACATCCACCGCAAGCAAGAAAGGCTTGGATTTCTGTATTCCAAATTTGAACAAGTATTTTTGAATTATTTCCTCAGAGGTTGGATTCCAGGGGCGGATCGAGGTTTGGCTCAAGGGAATTTAGCTGCTCCACTAGTATTAGACGGGTGTCTCAGGGCTCCAGCCTTTGACATGTTTGAGTCATGGCTGGAGTAGCCTTGACCAAGGCTATCAGCTTGTTCCCATAGGAGCTTGTTCCCGCTACCGCACACCGCGCGTGCAGCAACACAATGTTGTACTATATACCGTTAGCCCCAATGACCCTTGCGTGTGCTTTGTGTGCATATACGTACGCCCCACACTCACTGCCGCAAACAGCTGTACAGTAAATCGAGGCGGAAGAGCTTGTTCCCCAACCTCGTCCCCAGTGCTTACTTTATTTCCAACCGCGTTTCCAATAGTAAACCCTGGATAGGAAACTTTCTCCCTGTATCCTGATTGGATACCGCAATTAGCTAGTAATGGATTTTTATGGATTTTTATATATTCACAAAGTGCAGTACGTGTTTTCGCGATCATTCGTCCACGCCTTCTCGAAAATACTAATTTCCTTTCCAATTTGCTCATATTAATGTGAAATATGATACTGCATGTTGTCTCGATAAGATCGTAACAGTTTGATTTCAAAAATCGTGTTTTTGTAACTCACGCCATGCTCGCGCTGCTACGAATTGACTCTGTTTTTACCCCAGACACCGCATACAAAAACAAACGCTAATGTGTAACGCATATCCAGGCATCAGACTGTTCCTCATTTGCATACGTGTGCAAAAATCTTGCACATGCAAATGATCCAATACCAGGGTGAGAGAGCCGGTAGTGGTGGGCGCGTACTGCTCGACACCCTGGGGACGAGGTTGCTTGTTCCCATAGGAGCTTGTTCCCTCTACCGCACACCGCGCGTGCAGCAACACACCGTTAGCCCCAACGACCCTTGCGTGTGCTTTGTGTGCATATACGTACGCCCCACACTCACTGCCGCAAACAGCCATACAGTAAATCGAGGCGGAAGAGCTTGTTCCCATAGGAGCTTGTTCCCATAGGAGCTTGTTCCCATAGGAGCTTGTTGATCTACCGCACACCGCGCGTGCAGCAACACACCGTTAGCCCCAACGACCCTTGCGTGTGCTTTGTGTGCATATACGTACGCCCCACACTCACTGCCGCAAACAGCCGTACAGTAAATCGAGGCGGAAGATAGCCTTGACGCAACCGTGTATGCTTAATATGATAATTAGTACGCGCTATGGTAAATAGTCTTCTCTCATTGGATAACGGCTGACAAAAAAATGAATATTTATTAAATTGCATAATGCGACCAAAGGTTTATAAACCAGACGGCCTGTGGTAGCAATAATTATTGTAAAACACCCCCTTAAAATCTTAAATAATAGTAGAATAATATTTATAAAGTTACACATAGTTTGGGTCGAAAATGAAATGAAAAGGATGAAAAATTAGACCTTCAAAAAATGGCAAACGGTACAAAACCGCACGCCGGCAAAAACGATGTCACCATGCACAGAGGCCACGTTGGGGCCATCCACTGTAGGCACCGGCCCGGCTGGCGCCATGCAGTGAGACACGCTGCGCTTTCACGTTCAGCGGCCAAAAAAGCGCTCACACTGTTGAGTATATCTACCGCTGACTTTTTTTTGGGGGGGGGGGTATTTCTTCTAAGCTGTCAAGGGGATATGGGAAAAAATATCTCTCCTTCAGCAAACTTATTCTGTAAGACTGATTTTAACTTGTATGAACAACTTATAAGTTATATGTCGTATGTACGACTAATATATCGACAGGGTACGACATATTTCGACAGGGGTACGACTAATATCATCGACAGGGTACGACATATATGTCGACAGGGTATGACATATCAAACATATGACATAATGTCGACAGGTGCCGGTACGACATATATGTCGTGCATAAGTCGAGTCGACAGGGTACGATATATGTCGCATACGACAAAGTCGTATATATAAGTACGACTTAATATCTCGTGTGTACAAAATATTAATTGTAACTCGTATGTTCGACTTGTTTGTCGATTATGTCGTACATACAACATATCTTGTGAGAACGACTTGTATTTCGTGCGATTTACATCTACGACTTACATGTCATACGTATGTCGTAGGTACGACATACGATCCATACGTACGCGTTAAAATACATGTGTCGTACATATGAGATGTATGTTGCACATGGTACGAATTCAGGGAGAGTTTTTTTTTTCACCATGTACCTGACAGTTTCGTATATTTCCATCCCAAAGTCAATAGCTCGTTTCTTGCAGTTAATTCATACGGGTGCTTATACTAGATACGAGTTAACCTGCATTCGATTAAATGGGTACAATTTGACCTGGGTCGGAGTTGACTGTTCCCTACATTCGCTGTCAGAATAGCACGGGCAGGTAGCGGCGTGATAATGTACGCTGTTGCACCGACAAAACGTCGGCGGACTGTCTTGAACTGTCCAATTCGCAATACATTGGAAATAATATCATTTTGAACAATTGGTAATCCTTACTTTTAGGACACCTCTATTTTGTACGAGTTCTGTTCAAAACTGACTTTTGCAGATGACTGTCCAGTACCAAAGTGACTTTTGCAGGCTAAAGAAGTCTTTTTTCTTCAGACAAACTCATGTTAGTTATAATTTTGAAAGCACTTTCAAAGAAAATGTGACTTTCCTACCTTTTTTTTGCAGTTCTTGCTTTTTAAATTTATTTTCTGTTTGTCATCGTCGTCTTTAACCCCTCATAAATCAAAACCCTGCCCCCTTTCTACAAAATCAAACCTGCTGATATTCAAGAGGTGTCATTGCCAAATGTTCAAATGTGTCAATAAATATCAGAATGTCACTTTTCAGTGTCATTTAGTCAGGGGTTTTGGTGAGTCTTTTAACTTTATATAGGAAAGGGGTCCTAAAAGTAAGGATTACCGAACAATTGTTCACTCATATAGCGGCATATTTCATTTGTTTGTAATAAAGCTGGAGAAATGATTTAAAATGGGATTGAAATACCTGGACATACCATGGTGAGTGAACATACATGTACATGTGCGTGGTGTATACAGTAATTTGCAGGTCATGAATATGTAAGTCGCGGGTCAAAGTTTACGGGCTTTGATTGGATATCATGTAATATATGCGCATCAGAAATTTTCGGCCGATTTCGGTCGAAACTATAAAGAAACACATAAGAATTCGCCACGGTTGCGTCAAGGCTATCTGCCGCCTCGACTTACTGTACGGCTGTTTGCGGAAGTGTGTGTGGGACGTACGTACATGCACACAAAGCACACGCAAGGGTCGTTGAGGCTAACGGTATAGTACAACTAGTGATTGTGTCGCGGCGCGCGCGGTGTGCGGTAGCGGGAACAAGCTCGTATGGGAACAAGCTGATAGCCTTGGTCAAGGCTATGGCTGGAGTGGAGTGTCATGGCCTAGCGGTTAAGAGCACCGGACTCAGGCTCTGGTGTTTCAGAGGCAACAGTGGCATGGGTTCGAGCCCGGGCCCGGACACTTCTGCCCTTGAGCAAGGCGCTTAACCATTATTGCTTCGTCAACTTGGTTGTGTACAAAGACTATGATTAAGATTTTTTTTTTTAAGTAGGGCCTATTTCTTCACAAAATTGCAATACATGCAATATGATCCAAGCCACAAACGTAAGCCTACCTTTTCACGGAGAAAGGCTATGCTTTTCTCGATGATATCTTTGGGCCAATCCGGCCGAGCTAGGACGTAGACAGCGGCATGATCCTCCTTTTCGAACCGCCTGGTATCTGCCGACATTTTTTTATCGTGCCGCCGATGTCCGATACTCTTGCAAAAAAGCGGGAAAACTTGCTGCATACCGCCTGCATGCTGCGGATGGACCCTGGATTAGAATAGCGCCCTCTCTTGAAATGTTTTGTGTCCCTTTGCCATTAGTTTTTGTTGGTGCTCAGATAGTACAAAAAAAGTAATTAAAAGCAGATATTTAAAAGGGGGCAGTAAAAAAAAACAGGGGTTGAAGGTTATTCCCAGATGAAATTATTTAAACTGTGGCGCTGGCTGCAAGATTCGGGTTTTAGCTTGAAGTGACAGGAGCATAAAAGAGACAAACAAGGCCTGTCAGAAAATTATAGAAATCAACCTTTAGGCCAAAAAAAATAATAAGTCGGTCTCTGGTCAGCGCGCGCGTCGATTTTAATCATGCGCGTCGATCTTTTTTTTTTTCAAAAATGTTCCGCGGTAGCTCCAACAGCACCCTCTATTGCCGCACCTCCTCAATTTTTTTTACCAAAGAGCACCAAGGAATGGGATATTGCACCAAGGCAAATGATCGAGAGCACCAAGGCAAATTATGGAGGAAACCAATGTACAGGAGGACACCAAAAAAGCAATATAGTACCCACCTTGTCTGTACAATCCAAGCTTGAAGAAAAAAAAAAGAAAAGCCGCATCGCCGCGTCAATTCCGTAACTTTGGTCTGACCAGAGACCGAATATTTTTTTGTTGGCCTTATCTACAGTTTGCTTATAAAAATGTCACAAACCAAATGCAGCCCTATTCATTAACCCATTTTAATAATTTGAATTTCCGTGGCCCTTGCAAGCATATTACGAGTGACTTATCAAACAAGCCTTTGGTTTTGTTCACTTTTTTATTGACCCTTTAACTACCAAAACTATTTTTTTTTCACTGAAACATGCCGGTATTCTGGAGGTAATGACAAATAAACAGAACAACCAAATAAATAACTCCATGAACAACACCTGATGTTCAAATACATGTATTGCACCTTAAACTATCAATCTGCAGCAACAAATTCTAGAAAAGTAAGTACGGTAAATCATTTGAATGCAGTCAAAGAACGTCAACAACTTCAATTCTACATAAACTCTTCAGTTAGGGCTTACATATATAATTGGAGATGTTAATCAAAGGTAAAAAGCTCACAAATGTTCAACATTCCATATATAAAAGTTAAAACAGAGGGGAAAATGCATGGAACTTTACACAGATGTAATTTCGCAAAGCTCATTAACAAATGCAATTTTTTATTTAATGAGAAAGTCATAAATTGGCTAACGGCCTCATTTCAAGTAACAAAATGTAATTTCCTGGAACAGAGGACTGAAAATATTTTCCATGCAAACACTGAAAACATTTGGAGACTTTGCAAGTTTTAAGAGTAGATAAATTATCTGCAAATCCACACTGCAACCACTTTCGAAGTCATAATCTGCTATTTGGAGGGGGAGGGGTGACTAAAGTTAAAGGCATAGTCCATCATTTGTAATTTGTGCATTTTGTTCGTTTGAAGCAACAACAGTGTTCAAAATGTAATGAAGGATACTGAACAACTAACCTGATGAAGTTTCAGCTCAGCTTCAGCTGTATATTCCCAGAAAAACAGCATTCTAGGATCTCAATTTCAAATCAAAAGTTGCTAAATCATGTTTTGAATTGTTTTGAATTGCAGCTATACGCGATGTCGCGCACTGATCCGACGAATTATAGCAACCGCGTGCGCCTGTGCGTCATGCCAATGCTTGCGCGCACTGCGCCGAATAACAAAACGAACTACTAATTTAAATTTTCCTACGGTGCAACTTAAGACGCACCGTTGGAAAGGCCTTCTTTCGTTGATCACTTCAAAATGATAGCTTGCCAGAAAGATTAATTTCACATGGAGTTTAGTACACTTACTATCTTTCAACCTAGTATGTTTTTCAACAATAATACGCCAGTTACTTTTTCGGATGGCTGCAAATGATGGACTATAGCTTTAACATAATTTATGCTAAGGTAATTACCATAATAGTCTCTCTCAAATGACGTCACTACCTACAGATTTTCACCCGCATTGGCATTTTTGTCATCGAATTCGTGACACTCATATGCTGCACCGTATCTAAATGGAAATTGCGAGTAAAATGCGTGTGTGTTTAGAACATTTTACACTACACGTACACTGCTCATGCCATATTAAGGTGCGTGAACACGTAGTTGATATTTTCCTTAAAGATATTGCTGTCTTGACACACAAATGATGTCATTATCATGGGGAAAGATATGCATTCAACATCAGAAATTCTTGAAATGTTTTCTCATGTGGCCACTCAGTTTTCTTTATGAATTGTTTTTTAACAAGATATTAATGTGACTTCTTCAAAAACTGAATCAGCCATTTTGTAAAAAAAAAAGAGTAAAATGCCTCTTAAATGACCTTCATAAATTTTTGGTTTATTTCAAAAAAAGTAATAAAAGATATCAATGCCAAAGTTAATATACAACATTTGCAAACATCAAAACAATACTTCAAAACTACCAAATTAGTATTAAATGCCTTTACTTTTGTAGTGAATAATAGTCTCAAGAATCCTGAGAAATAGTGGCACCTGGTATGCTGTCATCTTCAACTAAAAAAGTGGAATTTTTGAATCAATTTTCAACGATGGTCGTTTGAAAAACTGACTCTTTTGAAAAGTACTGCCCCCAAGTGTTATTTAGTTAGTCCACATTCTGTTTGCAATCCGTTTCACATCCCATGGGTGCCAAAACTGCTCCATTTCGTCTGAAGTAGGGTAAGGGAACCAGACTACAAGAACAGCATATTTGTTCTTGGCTTTCCCAGCATCTATAATTATATTTCCTATCTGAAATATTAATACTCCAGACTTGTGCAAAGTGAGTGGCCAAAGTTGAATGAGAACATGTTGGGTTTTCAGGTGCTTTTACTGGTTCCAATGCTAATTCCTAACATGCAAATTCTTCATAGGTTTACTACCAGGCATTTTATAGTACAGGTTTATACATATTGTAACAAGATAAATACAATAGCAGGTATCTTCACAGTTGATCTAAGAAGCACATAACTTTATTGTTTGATGGCTTGTATCTCTTGGATGACTCCCTCTACCACATCTGATGTAGCTGCGCTGCCTCCCAGATCGGCCGTATGTACCTGTTCGAAGGACAACAATACTCCATTACACAAAGTAATAAGCCATTAGCGAGAGACCTATCCCCTCCGTTCACAAGTACCCCCTCACTGGCAAAGAAAGTACAGTTGGGGGTGACCGACTGACGCCATCTTGCCTGACTGCATTTGCCGCGAAGCACGGCCACTGCGTGTACATAGTACAAATCCCCTGGTGTACATGCGTCACACACAAGGAACGGTGCGCGTCAACCAGCAAAATGTCTCGCCCATGGGACGTCGTTGCTAGGTAAAAGGGCGCCCTCTTTTGTCGGTGCACAGAGCCTATACACTTTGGGATTTACATTTGAAAAACATCTTTACACTGACTTGCTCAGAATGCTTGGCACATTTTAACTATCAATTCTCCAGACCAAAGATGCCGTTGCTAATCACATGATTCGGGGCAAGCTCTTGCATAGTTACGTAAGAGACGCTCAGCACCAATACATTGTACAGTGGGTGAGAATGGCAGCAAGACACCAGACCATGCCGGAGCCGGGGGTTGCTAGCATAAGGCTTGCCCCGAATCACGTGATATAGCAACAGTCTCTTTGGTCAGCGGAATGAAAAATAAAACGTGCAAAGCATTGGATTAAGTCAGTGTCCAGATTTTATAGAAATTTAACTCGCAAATGGCTTATTGACCCAAGTTGGATTTGAACTAGCGACTACCAAAACAATTCCAAGTGCTTTACTTCGGTCAGGCGCAGCTGTTTTTTCCTCGCCTTCCACTTCTATTGCGCGGGTTCGATTCCTGCCCTGGTCCACATGTGGATTGGGTTTTCAGTCCCTGCCTGCTTCCGTGGGTTTTCCCCGGAATATTCTTCTGGGGTTTTCCTCCCACCTCTAAAACTGAAACATCTTCTCATTGTTTTCTCACTACATGTTTCTTCAGCCTTGCGACCTACAGTACCATAGGCGCTTTGGAAGAATCCTTGGTTTTCACTACCAGAAATAAATATTCCTAGCGAACACACCTTGTTCTGTGTGACTGTTTTCATGACGGCAGCACTGATGAGTTCGGCGTGTTGGTTCAGGCCTAGATGTCTCAGGAGCAAGCAACCAGCCAGCAGCGTGGCAGTGGGATTGGCCACATTCTTTCCAGCGATGGTCTTCCCTGTGTTTCTAGTTGCCTTGTGGTTGATAACAGAAAACAAAATAACGTTAAGGCCCAAAAAAAAATCTCCGGTTTCTGGTATGCGCGCGCGTCGGCAAAATGAAAAAGTTTTTTTTTCAATGAAAGATGATGTCTCAAAACCACCAAACTCACTGGTTTGACTGGAATCCTGCTGCTGCTCAATTTTAACGTGTTTTTAGATGCGGTTATGATCGAGAATAAGCTTTATGTGGCCTCTCTGGTCTCCAATATATTTGCACTTAGTTTAGTCGGGCACCATTTGCAGTCATCAGCCGACATTTGAAGCAAAAAAATCAGGTAAAAAAAAAAAAAAAAAGCCGCGTCGCCGCACCACTTTTTGGGCAAGCACCATACCAGAAATCGGAGACTTTTTTTTTGGGCCTAAAGGAGTACTGTCCAATGCTCTTCAACAAATTCATTTTGTTTTCCTGACCATTTTTCAAATTAAATGTTTATAATGAAAACTACTATTTTGCACCCATATGAAAAAGGCTTGTTTTCCAGGCTGCTTTTGTGCACACACAGATCGAACCTGTGAGTAGACTGGTTCCTGGTACATACACTATCTATTCAGATAGGAGGCGGAAACCAGTCTATCCTGCTAGAACTGAATCATCACTGGGCTGCAATATATGTACATGTGTAAAAAGTTGAAATTATTCCAAACCGTCTTTTGTTCTTTTGTATTGCTAGAAAAAACTTTGAAAGTAAAATTTATTTTGCAGGGTGAAACACAAAAATAGCAAGGACAGTACGTGTACATCTTTAATCTAAGGTACCGCAACCATAAATTCGACAAGACTCTAAACAGACTACGTTTTGGCTGTCATGGTCACACAGTTATGATGAGCAGTTCAAGTTAACAAGACAGCTGTACATGTTCATGTATCAAACATAATAGAGGTTAAGTTAGAAGATTTTTCAAGAATGTGAACATCTTGTGTAAGTGACAGGTTGAGTGCGCGCGGGCTAACCTTTAAGCTTGCGCGCGGGCTTGCCTTCAAATATGCGCGCAGGTTGTTTTACGATGCGCACACTGAGCATTCTATATGATGCGCGTTCGTGTACGTTACTTTCACTTTCACTTCATAATCCTACATAAGAGTGTTACATAATCGCTAGCTGCTTATTTCTTCATCTAATCGACTGCGTTAGGTAAGAAAATGTTCCTTTCTGTTATGTTATACAAATGAGCCATATACCTTACGTTACTTCTTATTATTTCTTAGTCCTTTGCTGTTATAATAGATCTAGGACATTTAAGAGTTTTGTATTTGTATTCTCATTCAGCTTGGGCCACAGAGAGTCTCCTGCCGATTTACCACGGCCTCATATGCATGTAGTTAAGCTGGTCTGAAGGCGTAAACGGTACGATATTTGCTATTTCAATCATTTTATATTAGCTACTTTATATTAATGCCTTTCTCAGTATTTTGTTAGAGCGCAGACACGTCGTACTGGTTAAGAGAGTATATGCGCTCACATTTATTCATTTCATACGAGTGGTTGTTTATATAGTCAATTGATCTCATTGTTATTCTCTAATTAATTGGTGCTCATTGAACTCTATATCTGTATCTATCTTCTTTCAGTTTTCACGGTGATTCAAGATCAATAAATGCCTGTAATCATCAGTAAGAATCGTACGTCCGTTGCATCATTCATGACCAGCCCCCTAGAGCGCTTCAGCGCACCTACATCTAGGACTAACTTTATGATTTGGCTACGCCACAAAATGTATTGGCTACAACTGCTCAATCGCTGTGCGCAATATACATGTAGTGGTGTGCCCTAACGTGGCGCACTTCGACGTTTCCCCTGACTTTCCTCATGCAGTGTACTTTTTTATTCCTCACTGGTACTTTTATCTTACCCTTCTCTAGGATACTACAAAATACTACTGAGTAGTAACCTGTAGTATGCATTTCTGTCCATACAAGTGTGCACAGCACATGTGGTGCTTGCTGTTGAACCTTTGTGAACAATATCCGTGTCATGAAATTAAGTCCGAAATTCAAAAATGGTGGCGTCCGAAAATTGGGCACAAATCGGCTGAGTGCTCCCTAACGTGGCGCACTTGAAGAATGTCTTTAAAGTTGAAAATTCTTATAAACCATTATTATCTCTACTCACATACCCAACCAGAAGTTTGTCAGAAAACTATTTTCTTATTTTTTGGCGCATTTTTAAAGAGTTCACTTTGCAATTCAAAATAAAATTGTAAAATCACACCAAAATAAATGTCTCTGCTCACTTTGTTATGGGTGGATAAACTCACGATTTATGAACCAGACAGTTTAGAGTCTGATGAAATTTCTTTTTTAATACTGTGAAATTTCAGATAAACGTTTCCCTCTGGCAAGAGTTTAAAAATCAATGTACACACGTTAGGGGCCGCGCAACGTTAAGGTACATCAACAATACAGAAAGAGCGATGTTGCAGTTTCTTGTAAATTCAACAGAGGGGAAAACCTCATTTCTCACGCATTCAAAATGTTAAAATTTCCAATCCTTAGTTATTGTTCATTTCCTGTTGCTTGTTGCTGGACTTGTGGTTTACTTGTGACTTAAGTTGTAAACTGACTTTTTTATTTTATTGTGACGGGACCTGTGATGGACTACAGTCGTTTTCCTAGTTCCGGATAGCAAACATCATTCAGGCTGCATTCAGCTCAACTACTCCACGAATTCAAGTGAAATTGATTAAAAAGTTTACCTTGAGTGATGGAGAGACCAAATAATTTTCAAAACTTAAGCGCTTTTTATTTTGATTTTACGACGTCAAAAGTACCGATGTCACTTTTCCTAGTTCCGAATCGGTTCAATCAGTTCCGAATCGTTCAAAACTGCTTCACGCGAAAAAGCCAGCCAGAACCAACCAAATCAAGCATATTTTCTGATAAAGTATTATTTCATTTTCCAAAAATAGTTCATTCAAGAGAATTCCAGCAAATTTTAAAAAGAGAAAAAAACGTAAATGATTTTGAAACTTTTGTCTGCAGCGCAACAGCTCGAACTCACGCACGGACCGAAAATCTTTGACCCAGCACAGAAAACATCACACAAAATCGATTAACGCGCGTGCAGTTGGGTCATAAGTGCACGCACTATCCGGAACTAGGCAAAAGCATACGGTCATTCGTTGGCGAATTTTCTAAAATTAGAGACTTACAACTTATTTTGATTCAACAAGCATTCGATGGAAGAGTTTTAAGGACTGTAGTGTATGAACAAAATATTCGAAATCACACGGTACAAGTGATATACCGAAGAGAAAATTTATCGTCGATTCGCAGCTCCCGCGATTTTCTACAAACCATCGAAGTGCGAGTCGGAAATCTGTCCAAAATTCCTCTTCTAAAGATTTTATCGGAAAAATCTTTGTGTATCAAGGAGCTTACATTTTCCTTTTCAAAATGCACGTCATCCGAAAAAAATTTATTGGAGACTAATCCAAAAGAGGTAGGTTTTTATTTGAATCTCTCTGGAACTAGGAAAAATCCGGAACTAGGAAAACGACTGTACAACACTGAAATCTGATAAAGCTTCTCACCGTTTCAAAGACAGCGAATTCCTCTCCAATGTTCTGGCCTGGCACAATCCCCGGTCCCCCGACCAGACCGGCCCCGATGTTGCTGATGATGTTGCCATAGAGATTGGGCATCACCATGACGTCAAATTGATTGGGGTTGGACACGAGCTGTGTTGAATGAGACATAAAATGTTCAGAAATGTACGGTTAATGTTTCATTGAGAAAAAAATTAGAAAAAAATGCTAAAATGGGCATTTCCTGTCGGTGAGTCAGATTTGAATAATTATCCGCCAGCAAGTTTTGTGGTTGCATTACTTTAACCACCTACACATTCATTTTGTTTGATTATTTGTTCTGTTTCAGAATCAGAAGTACTTTTAACCCCTTAAGCACGGGTTATAATGGGGACATTCCTCCACACATAGAGCAAGTGGCCCGCATGACTGCACAGCCTTTGTGTGGTAGCGGGACTGCACAAAAGCAGCAGCTGTGGAACTACCCACTAGCCGTGTGCCACGGCATACCACAGCTGGCAACTGCATTCCAATGAGGATTAGCGGCTGCGGCCATGACCGCTTCCCAAGCGCATGGGGTTAAAAAGCATTACAGTTTGACCAGCATTCACAAAGGAACCAAAATCTTTACATAGGTTATATTTCAATCCACAGAAATCCTTGAATTTTAGCCATGGATTCTCAAAAGTAAAAAATAAGTTCCGATCCTAATTTTGACGTCAAAGCACCACGCGACCATCCAGTCTCCCCGTGAACGCCACCATTATAGTAGGCAAGCATTTGGTTAGCCATCACGTCATGTGTTGTCAACTGGACAGTAGGGCGTATTTTCGCCGAAAATAATTGCAATTTTTTAATCAAATGGCATAATGGTCACTACCTGTGCCGTGCACGGTTGTCATAAGCGTGCCGGCCCAGCACTGGGTGTTGGCTCTGCGTTTTTCTAACGGTTCTTGCCATCCATCACAGCCTTGAAGGCTTGATTACTACCTACTGCACGCGGTCCTAAATGATCTTTGCCTACTACAACGTGCAATGCTGACTTTCCGACACCCCCATGTAGTAAGACAGCCCTGTACTAATGACGCGATCAAGCTACATGTAAATGAGTCGTTTGTCGTCAATTTTGATTTTAAGATACAGCCCAATATAGGTCAGTGGGGGTGAACATTTCAAAATCGACTTTTTTGTAAAATCGGAAGGCTACATATGTCCCCTTTCTTGTCAATGATTTTTTTCTGAGAAAAACTCACGATTAAGACAAAGTAGTTAAAATGTGACATTTTTGCTGAGGAATTAATATTCAATAACCATGTTTATTGTTGCTCAATAAACACTTCAATTTTGAATTGTTGATTTCTCTGTTTGATTTCTCTATTTCTTCTTTCTGATCTGCCTGTGTTTAAGTCCCATAACTTCTGAACGGATGGTCGTATTGACATGAGGTTTTCACCAAATAAAAACTGAAAGATAGCTCTATTCACAAATGTAATAAACACCAAAATTTGATAAGGGCCAACAAACGACTCATTTAGCTTGATCGCATCACATATATCTCTCTTAACTTTTTTAAAGCATTAGAAAGAGCAGATTGAACCCTAAATTTATGTCAGTTCATATCGTGATGACTATCTGTGGGTGAAAATGTTGATAGTTGCTCAAAAAATAGTCTCATTTCTAAAATATCACTGTTTGGTATGAAGTATGTCATTGTCTCTTTGCTCAACACGTACCTGCATACAGCAATTGTCCACTATCATGTCATTGAATTCAATCTTTGGATATAGCTTAGACATGCTATGACAACTCTCCAGGAACAGACCATCGCCGAGTTTCCTGCAAGAAAAAGTATTGATGTAGTAAAGTCCTTTTCCAAATCCTTACATAAACTGAAATAAAAAGTTTTAACCCTAACTCCCTAGGCCTTTTTGCTAGGATGTAGCCTCAATCCTGCAAAATCCTCCAATTGGCCTCATGGAAAAATAGCATATAGCCTCAATCCTGCAAATTCCTCCATTATTTCTAAAATATGGTCCATGGAGGGGTGACCACTGCCTGAATCCTGCAAAATCCTCCGGCTATGACTGTCAATAGGCTGAGGCAGAGGCAGTGACATCCTGGAGCAGTGCTGAGGATGTCAAGTATAATCAAGGACTAAATTTATGCACGGCTGAGCATAAACAACACAAGGTCCGGTCCAAGACCTTGACACAGTGCGTACTCCGAAATCAGCAACGTACTTTGGCCATGTAACCTCAATCCTGCACATTCCTCCAATTTGCAAAAAGGATTTTGGAGGATTCAGGGCCGTTAGGGTTAAAATAGGAATCAAGCCAAGGTGCTAAGGCTGTGCTGGCTCAATATTTTGGAGGGTAGGAATGTGAATGTTTGGACATACAGCTAGCATACACATGCAAGAAGTCCATGAATATTTGTAAAGATGCTGCACTTTCAACTCATAATGAAATGCCCAAACACTCCAATCAATGCGACTAGTTACTCAGATTTAATTTTAACAGCACCAGCTTATATGTGACCTGTCATCACAAAATGAGCTTCAAGTCAGACTTTTTAAGAATTGAGATTTTTATATATCTGGATTCTGCAGGACAAGAGCTTTTCAATGGTATACAACATTAAGAGGTATCGAGTTCAGTAACGGAAATATAGACCACCAAGTTACTGGAAGTGGTGAAACTGAATCTTGAGAAAATGGCATTTAAATATCTTGCACAGTCAATGTAAAACAGGATGAAATAGGTTTTAACCCTAACCGCCCTGAATCCTTCAAAATCGTCTTTTGCCAAAGTGGAGGAATTTGGAGGATTGGGGTTACATGGCAAAAGTGTGTTACTGATTTCGTAGGATGCACTTTGTCAAAGGTGTTGGGCCGGACCTTGTGTTGTTTTTGCTCAGCCATGCATATATATAGGCCTGGATTATGCTTGAAATCCTCCGTACTGCTCCAGGATGTCACTGGCCAAGCCTCAACATATTGACAGTCACTGCCGCAGGATGTTGCAGGATTCAGGCAGTGGTCACACCTCCACAGACCATAGGCATGAAATAGTGGAGGAATTTGTAGGATTGAGGCTATATGCTATTTTTCCATGAGGCCAATTGGAGGATTTTGCAGGATTGAGGCTACATCCTAGCAAAAAGGCCTAGGGAGTTAAGGTAACAGATCTTTGACAGAACAACAACAAAAAATGGAGAAAGGTCGCACAGGACTTACAGATTAAGGTTCACCCAAAAAATTGATCACCCTTTCAAATTGTGGCTTTTCCCCACTGTACTGCAAAATGGCAATTTCCAACTTTAACCCTAACAACCCTGAGCCCATCAAGCTCCAACAGCGGGTTTTGCTTGATTTTGGCAGGGTTAGTACCGAACACTGGCCAGCTGGTGTTGGACTTTGATTGACTGGGTACCAAAGGCCCAGGGAGACCCTGTTGAATTTTGTGAGGTTCGGGGCAGAAGGGCATGAGATTTGTGAACACGTTGGAGTTTGAGGGAGTTCACTGGCACTTCTTCGTGGGTATGCTCACCCACGGTCCTCAGCACAGTTTGTGGTCAAATGTGCATGTACATGGGAGTTCACAGGCATTTCTTCGTGGGTACGCTCACCCACGGTCCCCAGTACAGTTCCTGGTCAAATATATTGCTTTATTTTGTTAGGTTTGGTACCATCCCTATCCAATCACTCGACAATGCATAGGCCCATCCATACCAAGTCAATCAAACTCCAACAGTTGGAGTTTGGCAGGTTTAGTACTGTTCCCCGTACAAGGCCTGTTGGAGTTTGGCAGTTTTGGTACCAGTGCTTACAGACCTGTATGCAGCTGTTGAAATTTGTTAGGTTTGGTATCCTTTCTAGTGCAAGAGCCTAGGGGGTTAGGGTTAAGCTCATTTCGTGACGACAGGTCACATATTTCAGTATTTGTGTCTGACTCATGAAGGACTTGACTGTTACATAGATCAAACACATTCACAAACATGAATTTGTTATGCCACAGCAAGAATTCGCATTACAAATTCACAAAAAAGGGAGCAAAATTATAAAGCTTGGCAAATTTCACTGCATGCTAACACTTATTACGTCAAATTCACATTGCATCACAAAGCGTGAGAGGGCCTTAAACCCTTTAAACTCAGCCCTAATTTTGAGGTTTTTTTGACTAAGTTAAATTCTTGGACTATTTTCATTAGTATTCTTTATTATGTCTGGGTAAGTTACCGGTATATGCCAACTGAAAGCTTGTCAGCTAGGCAATAACACATTGTGAAAAAAATATCAAAATATGACACCCCCCTCTCAATGGCGGCCATTTTGAAAAGTGAAATTTTGGGTTGTTTTAATCTTTTTTTGAAAGCGTAACGTTCAGATACAAAAACGAATGACACCACTGGGTAGCCAGTCAATAAAGCTAAAAAATGGTATCAAACATGAGTCAAAAGAGGGCGGCAAACACAAAATACAATACTCTGAAATTTTCGGTTGTCGGCGATCAATTTTACACAGGGCTGAGTTGATAGGGCTAACATGGCTAAGGCTGAACATCAATAACTTCCTTGTTGATTTTACATAAAGAATGCATAGCTGCCAACTTTTCAAAATCCAAATTAGTAATCCTCCCGCGCGGTCATTTTCAACTGCGCGTACACTAATAACAGTGTATGTACCAGCTTTACCAACATCGAGTATAGGTTCATGGTTTACATGTACACATACATGTGCATACCCTTCTTGTTGTGATTAACAATGTACTGTAGGCCATAGGATAATTAAAAAAAAAATAATTTAGTAATAAAAAAAAATCTTGTTTTACTGTCTAAGGTATTTGTTTGTTGAAGTCAAATAAATAATAACAATAATAACGTGTACTCATATTTTTCTGAGATGCATGCTATGAGTTTCGAGTTTGTATGTTTGTACACACATTGATTTAGGGCCACCGTATGCAATAGAATTTAAAAATATCCCGCCAACATACCTTGCAAACGCATGCTGATTTATCTTTTCTGGACGTTGAGATAAACTTAAACTCTATTACCAATTCTTCCAACCATACTGTTATTAAATTCCATGATCAAAATCTTGCACTGATAGGTCTTATCCCGGTAAATAAGCGACCAATGTGCTCACGACCATCACTGAAAAGTAGTCAGTACACACATCCACACATCCACGAAGTGCACACAAAATGACACACCACTGAAAAATATTTTTAGTCTGGTCCTCAAGTACTCCACTGCGCACATAGCAATGGTGTCTATCAGGTGCTTGACTGCATTGCTTATTAGACTTGTCACCAGTCAATCCATTATCGAAGCATTTCGCCAGAAGTTTTCGGGCAAAAACGATACATTACACATATTTTTTTTTGTTAGGTAGAAAGTGGGAAATTCGTAATTTTTTAGTGGCAATTCGTATTTTCGTAATTTAACAAAATATTCGTAATAATTACGAAAAATTCTTAATAGTTGGCAGCTATGAGAATGAACTAAATACGGTAAAGAAAGGAACATTTTCTCACATGATATTGGCCTTGTGAATGGCAGTCACCTTCTTACGATTGTGCCTGGTTGCGTAGTCAAATGCATACTTGGCGATGCGCTCTGACCGTTCGGCTGTTATGATCTTGAGGCTTTCCACCACACCATTTGCACTCTGCCCAAAAAAACCAAACCAAACAAACAAACAAAATAAGGAGTTAAACACTTTTTATGTGTTTATAAACCATCTAATGAGCAAACTAAAACAAACTTAAATGGATTCAGGGATGTAAAAGACATATTTTGAAAAGAAAATGCTTGTAACTGATCGATTTAACAAACAGAAATGAAACTTGTATCGTTTCGGTTTGCGGTAACACCATGTGGTAATAACTACTGCTTAGAAGATATTAGTTCTGAAAAGAACTTGTCCTGCTTAGTATCAACTTTCGCTAAGTACTTTTTGTTCTGATAAGAACAGTCCTGCTTTGAGTTCTAAAAGACTGAAATAAAACCCTTCTGCAAAAGTCTTTCAAAATTATACTTTGAATGTGTATTTTAGAACTATGACGAATATACCGAATATTCGATCATCATTCAAATGGCATTTTCCATTTTGAACATTCATCCCCTTATAGGGGATTTTGGCTAGAATGCCTGCTAAACGCAACAACATACAACACTTGTCAAAGCAAGAATCCTGCCCAATTAAGCAAGATCCATCAGGTTAAAAAAGTCTCAAGGCCAAACTGCCTCAGAGTCTGTGGTCACCAACTGCAGCAGTATACAACTGTGGCATTGTTCAATGGGACTAGCTCTCATCATCTCAGAATTGGCCATTTATGCACTGGTGTTGATGGCTCTATGCAGCAAGGCTCCACAGACTTTTACATCTGATGCACTGTGTTGCGTCTGGCAGGATAAGGGCTCGAACCCTGACAGGGAGCATTGTGCTTGTGTTCTTGGGCATGACATTTCACTACAATTGCCTCTCTCCACCCAGGAGAATACATGGCTACCTGTGAGGGTAGAGACCTAATTGCGCTGACCTCAAGCTGCTGCAGAAAAATGATCTCATGGCCTGATGAACAGGGATAATTGTTTTTAATAGTGCTTTGTTTCCTTTGGCAAAAGTAGTTTTGTAGATACCACCCTCCTACTGATATAACTGTCACAAACCGTCAAAAAATATACCCACTTCCTCTCCCATAGCTTTTGTACAGGCTGGTCACCACCTACCAGATCCCCTATGGATTAAAGATAAAGTCCATCATTTGCAATTTGTGCATTTTGTTCGTTTGGAGCAACAAAAGTGTTCAAAATCTAATGAAGGATACTGAACAACTAACCTGATGAAGTTTCAGCTTAGCTTCAGCTGTATATTCCGAGAAAAACAGCATTCTAGGATCTCAATTTCAAATCAAAAGTTGCTGAATCATGTTTTGAATTCGTTTTGAATTGTAGCTATACGCGATGTCGCGAACTGATCGGACGAATGATAGCAACCGCGCGCACCTGTGCGTCGTGCCCATGCTTGCGCGTGCTGCGCCGAATAACAAAACGAACTACTAATTTAAATTTTCCTACGGTGCGTCTTAAGACGCACCGTTGGAAAGGCCTTCTTTCGTTGATTACTTCAAAATGACAGCTTGCCAGAAAGAATAATTTCACAGGGAGTTTAGTCCCCTTGCTATCTTTCAACCAAGTATGTTTTTCAACAATAATTATGCCAGTTACTTTTCGGATAGCTGCAAATGATGGACTATAGCTTAAAACCGTATATTTGTCAAAGCCTGTTGAAGGGGTTTGATAGATAGGGTGACCATTAATACTTGTTTAGCAGCCATTTCACAGGCATGCAAATGGACTTTAGAAAAAACAAGGAAATTCTAAACCACACAAGACTTTGTACAGTGATTTTCAATTTGTAATGGCATTCATGAGAAGTGAAAAACGAGGAAATTAGCGGATCCGAGGAAAAAATGTATGCCTGATTTTAAAGGCCGATGCCTTTGTTAGGCTGGAATGCATTAGCGAACCTTTTGTGCCTTCATGGTTACTGAGCTAAATCCATCATTGACGGGCACTCACCACCACTGACCCACCACACGTATCAATGTCAGTCAAGGCATGGTACCTTCAGTTAACATACCTACCACAGCCTGTCAATTGTACCAATATGAGGCCAGTTTACAGACCTGTTAAAACCTGTCAAATGATAGCGTTTGACGTACAAAGATTGTCACTGAGAGAGAGGGGGGGGGTGTAAGAATTGCTCAGTGTGTTTCAGACCTCGTGTTCCAAGCTGGAGTATTCACCCTCCGTGTTTTCTCTGATAATGGTGATGTCAATGTTGCTGTGTTTGGTCTTCAGGCCCGGCAGGCTCTTGCAGTGGATCACGTTGGCAAACAGGTCCAGCCCAACCCTGTGAATCATCAACACAAATGTCGTAACAAGAGGTGGTACCAGGAACGTACTGGTAAACTCAACTAGGCTTGTGCAGTATTGGATTCCCAGAGTCTATGGTATAACGTCACAGAAATATCGAGCAGTGTTCGGTATTATCAGGTACTTTTCTGGACGGACTATTATGTCGTCGCGTCAGTGCAACAAGGTCGTAACTTCATTCTGCAACAAAGTCGTATCTCGCGCGAATACGCTCAGTGCAACAAGGTCGTATCTCGACGTCCATTGACTTTGCGTGTACATCCGGGTTATTTTAAGCGAGATACGACCTTTTGACATTCTAAAACTCGCGTTTTCGTCGTTCATGCCATTTTAGGAGATAACGACCTTGTTGCACTGACGCGACGATGTTATTAAAATACAATCACACAGGTGGTATTAGGAAACTGCAAATAGGCAGCACGGGCAGAAATCCAAAGGCCCTGCTGGATGACTAGTGAGCACAATTTCCAATTTATCTAGATACCGTGGTCACAAGAATTTATACAATTGTGACCTGTTCTGTCAAAAGCAGACGCTTCTGGGCAGAGGTTGAAATTGAGATAGGGCCAAAAAACGCTGTGGGGTGATTTTTATCGATTTTCAAATGTTTGCATATTTGTAATCCTGAACATGTCTAAAATATATTATAAAAGTTTGAAACCCTAATTTGAACTCTACATATACTATTTTTGATGATTTTGATAAGGTATATCAGTTAAAGAAATAACTGTTTTGTGACGTACGTGGCCATTTTCTCCGTTTTCTACTTTTCGACACAATGAACTTCAAAATAGCATAACTCTGCCCAGAAATGACCAGTTTCAAAAATTAAACCACCTATTAAAAGGAAAAAGAACATATGTTAACAATATGTAAAAATATCATTTTTGACCTTACGCCCAGAAAAGTCTGATTTTGACAGAACAGGTCACAATTATCCATATACATGTAGTGCAGGCCCGACCAAGTTATTTCCGTCACTTTTTGTTTAATGGGATTTTGCAAGCATGTGGTCACATTCAAGAAGGAAACCCATGGTAATGAGATTCCATAAGGAGGTCGTACGCATTTCGGTATATTGACATCATTTGGTTTTGCTTGGTATAAAAAAACAATTATCACTATACAACATTATTGATATAAAGTCCAAACCTACACCAGGCATGCAACTGAGATTTTAGAAAAAACAAGGAAATTCGAAACCACACAAGACTTTGTACAGTGTTTTTCAATTTGTAATGGCATTCACGAGAAGTAAAAAAACGAGGAAATCAGCGGATCCGAGGAAAAGTTGCATGCCTGCTACACGCATAGCTTGTTTGGCCAGTAGGATCGATGTTGACAAACTTGCCCAAATGTACGCACCTGAGACGAACGTTGTCCGATTTACAGACAGCAAATCGGTTGACATCCGTGTGGATGTTTCCTTTCAGCGCCGTCCCGTTCCTCTTGATGGCTACTATTGCGTCTTCTACTCCTTCTCCTTCGACTGATTCTCTCTCCCCACTCAACGTGAACTCCTCAAAATCAATCGGAGCATCGGCATGCCTAGAAAAACAGTCAATCAAAAGGAAAACCGACCATGTTGACTTTAATCAACCCATTAGCACCCGTTAAAGCTATAGTCCACCATTTGCAGCCATCCGAAAAAGTATCTGGAGTATTATTGTTGAAAAACATACTTGGTTGAAAGATAGTAAGAGGACTAAACTCCCTGTGAAATTAATCTTTCTGGCAAGCTATCATTTTGAAGTAATCAACGAAAGAAGGCCTTTCCAACGGTGCGTCTTAAGACGCACCGTAGGAAAATTTAAATTAGTTCGTTTTGTTATTCGGCGCAGCGCGCGCAAGCATTGGAACGACGCACAGGCGCGCGCGGTTGCTATAATTCGTCGGATCAGTGTGCGACATCGCGTATAGCTGCAATTCAAAACATGATTCAGCAACTTTTGATTTGAAATTGAGATCCTAGAATGCTGTTTTTCTCGGAATATACAGCTGAAGCTGAGCTGAAACTTCATCAGGTTAGTTGTTCAGTATCCTTCATTAGATTTTGAACACTTTTGTTGCTTCAAACGAACAAAATGCACAAATTACAAATGATGGACTATATCTTTAAACATTGTATTATGTTGTATTTGTTGGGCGCAATTGGTGGATCTGGGGTATCGTCCAATTGGCATGATCAGTTGATCGTGCCACCACTGGCTGATTATGCTGCTATGGGCCTTATGCACGAGTCGGTAAAATATACGAAAACGAGGTAAAATCTTAATATTTGGAACTTGCGAAGAGAAACGAAAGCACGTTAATTACTAATTAATTCCAGTCTGCTTCAATTAATAATTTAAAATTTGTAATAAACATTCCCTTATGTTTAAAGCCAGATTTTAAAAAAAAATGACAGAAAAATAAGGCTGCATTATGCCTGCATAAATAGTCTGGCGCCATCCCATTCAACAGTTAACAATTAAAGAAATACATTTAGGGAACTCGACAAAAAAAACCAACTCGTGCATAAGACCCATTGATCGATCACACTTTCTGTCAATATCACAGCTCTGGAGATTGGTTTAAAAGAAGGGAAGTAATTAAAGTCTGAGATTTTGTACAAGATCGACCGAATCACATTTCTACACAAGCGATAGCACAAATCAAGCAAAAGCGCAAATCCACTGATCGCAGCCAACATATCTACTTCCCGATGAAACTATAGGAACAGTACAGTGCTAGGGCTGTTTGGGATGGTACAGGGAGTAACAGGCAGGACAGATGGGGACAGTACAGTGACTAACATGACTAATGGGTTAATATAAAGAAATTGTTTGGGATAGGATTTGAACCTGTGACCTCTGCTGCCGAGTGTTTCTGGTAGCTGTCCGTGGTAGTTATTTGGGGTTTTTTGGGGGGAGGGGGCATGTTAGCCTTCCACTTTTGGGGTCCAGGTTCAAATCCCACCATGGTAAACATGTGGATGATTTGCTACATCTGTGGATTTCTTTTGAGCATTATTCAGACTTTTCCTTTCACCTAGAAAAACTGACCATTTTAACAAATTCTCTCTTTGGTATTTTTCATAAAGCTTTTTAGCTACAGTGTCTAAAGTGTACTTTTGAGGAATCCTTCGTTGAGAACTAGATCACAACGACTGCACTGACAATACTCACCTGAAAACCTCCTTCACGTGAGACATTAACTCTGGGCCGATTCCATCGCCAGGAATTAACGTCACGGTGTGCCAACCCCCATACCGAGCTGGTATGTGCTGTCAAAAAGAAGCACAAAATCCCTCAATTAAAGGGAATATACAACATTTGCAAACATCGAACAATAAAACTACCAAGTTTTTACGAAATACCTTACTAGGATGTTGGTAAATGACAGTCTGAAGCATCCTGTCAAATTATGGCACCAGGTGTGAAGTCATTTTTAAGAAAATTGTATTTTTGTATACATTTCCAACGGTGGTCGGCCGATCACCGTTGGAAAAACCTAACTATTTTTCAACTACTGCTCCAAATTTACCTTTATTTTCCCAGTCCAAATTGTGTTTGCTATTAGTTACATGTTCATGAACGGGTGCAGGCCGGCTAGACTGGTTCCCTTACTTCCCTTACCTTACAATTTTCTGGCATCTATAAATTGATCCATTTTATGTTTAGTGGAGTCAGGGAACCAGACTACTTGATTTTTTTTGTTTTTCTTGGTTTTTCCAGCATTTTCGAACACAACATTTCAAACATGTCAGTGTAACAATATTTGATCTATGACACTAACCCCTCAAATACATGTAGTTCATTTCTGAAAATTACAGCAAAAGCCAATGATGTACATTCCCTTTAACTATATGCTGACTGGATAGAACATGGCCATTACACCGTACAGTAAGTTATGTCGCTTTTTGACCACAGAGCCCCCGGTCTTCAAACTATGGCAGCCAATATATGAACGTTCTATGAGTACAATAAAGAAAGCACTGTTTCAAGATTTGGCGCACGCTGTATCAAGATTTGACACCCATTTTTGTATTATGATGCTCTGAAAAAGGACAATTTTTCCAACGTGATTATATTTAAAATCGTTGAAAAAGGTGAATTTATGTGATACCCAAAAGTGAACCTTGACATATGAAACACTGTAAACCGTCGCAGACAAAAGGTAAAGAAAAAAACCCACCAGATCTACGACAGCAAGCTTTCCTTTTCATTTGTAACCGACACAGTCTTCCTTATATGGCTTCAACCGACCTTGACTAGCCAGATACTGTACAGAGATCCAAAAGCAGAAAACCCACTGGAAGTGGGTGCAACTAATGCAATGCTTTCATTTTGTACTGGTTGCTAGCCTTTTGCTTAATAATGAAAGGTTTGCGGAAACACCATGTGCGAATAATTTCTCAACTAAGAGAATGGTTCTGAAAAGAACCAGAGATATAAACACGACGTTCCGGTCAGTATGCTCTGACCGTCTTCAGGAGAGTGCCTAAGGGTTCTTCAGTGATCTAGTTCTTCAGGAGAGTGCCTTCCTGAAGACGGTCAGAGCATACTGACCAGAACGTCGAGTTTATACCTCTGGTTCTTTTCAGAACCATTCTCTTAGTTGAGAAATTATTCGCACATGGTGTTTCCGCAAACCTTTCATTATTTAGTATCTCCACCATGCAAAGCCTCAAATCTTACTTAGCCTTTTGCTTGCAGATTCCCGTGTGGCAGGTATTTGGAGTAGTTATGAAACGATTCCGTTCTTTGAATCAAGCCTAGGCGGACTAGGGCTATGAAAAAACTCAAAGCTCCTATATGCAAAACTCAATGGCATCATTTGCTTACATTTGCCCCCCCCCCCCAAAAAAACCCCACTTAACAAGGGTTCTAATCAGTTTTAAACAACTTTCCTGAACCTATTTCAACTTCTCATTCATGTCCAAAAACAGGATATGATTGCTGCACTTTGTCAATTGAAATACACCAACAAAAGTGTATCTCCAAAATTGCTGCACTTTGTCAATTGAAATACACCAACAAAACTGTCCCCAAAACGGGATATGATTACTGCACGCTGTCAATCAAAATACCGGTACAACAACAAAAGCTAGAAAAGCGCCAAATAAAATTGAAAGACTTGATCAAGTTAGAATTGAAATACTCACACCAGATGACTGATGTCGTCTTGTGCAACTTGTCTGCAGTCCAGCTATGAGCAGAGGCTGTCAATAAAGGAAAAATGAGGTTAAAAGGGTGATTGTGTAGCTATGGCCCCTCTTGCATGTTAATAGTTCTAAAACATAGTTTTGATTTATATGGCAGTGTATATTTGCAATTATAACACCTCACCCGCAGATTCTGTGTCTTGATTGGCCGAGAGCGAGTCACATGATACTTTCTATTTTTGCTATCTTTCTGTGCACGGCCAAAAGTACTATACCCGTAGCAACCAAAGTACTATACCATTAGCAACCAAAGTACTATTTCCACGGCGCGGCATTTGTGTGCAAATGCATGCTGGTGTGCGCGTTTTGTTCCAAAGAGAGCGCGCCACAGAGTTGGGTTCAAACATTTCGCGAAGGGGTAGTTTGGAAGAGAGAAATACATTTTCCACCAATTTTGTATTGAAATTGAAGTTTATTTCAACTGTGTTCAGATTTAAATAATTTAAAATATTATAACCAAGCAGAATCTGTGGGTGAAGTGTTATAAAACAAATATTGAATGCTTTATCTCGTGGTGAAGTAAAACTAGCCTCCCTCGGTGATCCATGGAGCATTCTATTTTCCCTCGGCTTCGCCTCGGGAAAATAGAATGTCTATGGATCACCTCTGGAGGCTAGTTTTACTACACCAACCGAAGCAGTCAATATTTGTATACTGTGAATCGGTGTCCAATTTAAAAAACTTATTTTACCGGCACGACACTGAAGATGTACAGCGACTATTTCTTGGGACTTTTTTTACTGCGACAAGATCTGGTTTGTCCATGGTTTCATTGTCGTTGTAACTTCAATCATACAAACAGTTCAAATTGTCCTCTGGGCAATTCCACGGTAACTCACATTACATTTTCGTAACGTGAGTACGTCTTGTTTATCATACATAACACATTTTTCTGGAAGTCATCTTTGGTGCTTAGGTAGGTCTAGGTCTACTGCATTTATCGTCTGGGGGCCACGTGCACTGATCTCTATTCAGGATCTATGGCACAGGAAACAGCCGTCGTATTTGCAACTCGCGCCCTCGCTCGACAAGCAATTTGCATAAACGCGACGTCACAGCTTGAGGTCATCTCTTGTCACATTCAAAATGGCTGCCATCACCGAACGTTTCACGAGTGCATATGGGCTCCAGAAAGATTCAAGAATATCTCGGAAAATTGAACATCATTACAGTACACCTAAGCATCCCAGAAGTGATAGATGGGACATCGTAGAATACAACCATATGTAAGAAATTCCCTGCAATTTTTATGAAAACGTCCTCAGTAGTGCGCGGACCACGGTGTGTGGCCTTAGGTTCAGCGCAGCATTATGCATACCGACGGCCACACTAGTCATGCTAGTGGGGCTAGCTAGCACTCAGCTCAAACCAAAAAGTAAGTCAGTTAACATTGGCCAGCGCCGGCAAATTCCAAACCATGACCATGTCTTGCAGTGTTGTCTACTCGACTTACCTTTTTAACTGCATCGGGAATTCTGGACTCTCCATATAACCAAAACTGAATCTTCAAAAACTGTGGGATTCTTCGAAGTAACATGGGCGCAGCCATCTTGTTATATTGCAGTCTGGCGCATGCGCATCATAGCCGCGCTACGTTTGAAACACGAACTACACGGCATTTTGTTTTCGAACAAGTACGTTACTTTTTTATTTCCAACCGTGTAGTTGATGTTCTCCCTTAGAACACGTACTTCAAGTATTGTGTAGTTGGTGGTTTTGTATTTTCAAATGTGCATTTGGCATTATTTTAGAAGCGTAGATCGTGTTTTTCTTTCAAACAGGTTGTATGGCAGTTTGTAGTGTTACTCTGCACATGCGCGTGCACATCCTGAGACTAAAACATTTTAGGTAAAAAAATATCAGTTGATTTTCCGGATTTTCATCAAAAAGGACGAAGATGAGGGGCTCGCAGGGGGTGCATACCTATTTTACCCAATACCGATGTTCCCCAATACCGAAGTTTGCATGATAAAAAAAATAGCTTTTTGAGGCGAGAAAAAAAATGAAAGGATGCGGCGTCGAAAAAGGATGCAGGCGGTAACGATCGACAGGCCTTTTTTTTTTACTGGGCCTTATTCACCTTCTCCCCCCCCCCGATTACATCCATATATTTATTTAAGTTAGATCGTATTGCAAGAGAGCTGATCTTTCAATTTTGTTGGGAACACACCACAATAAACAGATTTTGTTCAAGCACTGAAGAATTGATCGATACAGACAAACACAATGTGAAGTCAACGTACATTAGTGGTTTTAATTTCAATACTGAAAGAAACATCATTGATAAAATGGTAAATTATCCCCCTGTATTCTCAACAGCCTGGATTAACTTTGGTAATCATGAAACAGTGGTCGTGCATGGAAAAAGTACAGAACTTCACTGAAAGTATCTAGTCAGATGTGAAGCAGTAATACCAAGATTTTCTAGCAATATTTTCTGGGTGTGTACAAACTGAAAATGCAAGGTATTTGACAATGAAAGAATGCAAACCATATTCCACAGTAGAAACCCGTTTTAGAAAACAAAAAAGTAGTAAGAATGCTGAGGTAAATAAACTACATACAATACGATAAAAGATTTAACTTCAATAAATACAAGAGTATCGGAAATGCCTACCAAGCACTTCTGATTATAGAGTAAACGTAAAACTTTAAAGACTGATATACCAACTGTCAATATACAAAATATAGTACTTAATACAAGAGTATAAGTTGATTAATTGACTAGATTATTAGTACTGGGTACTCATTAACAAAAAAAAGACGTTTTTCTTTGGGTTTCTATAAGTACTTAACTTGGCTTTCAAAGACGTTCATGAAAATCGGTTCCCTATGGATACTGAATAGCCAGCTTTTCAATGATACTCTATCAGCTGCTGCCTAATTGTTCAATCTGCCAGTTACAACATTCAATGGGATTTTGTGTCAACTGAAAACCCATTAATTTCACATCCTGCTTTTAATTCATCGTGGAAACTATTCCCTGAAACCCTGTGGGCAATAATTAGAAGAAGAAAAAAAAGTACAAATCTAGCGTTTAATTCTAACATGGCACATCGATTACATCATCTATACATTTGACACGATCTACATGCATAAAAAACAAACTGGTCTACGAGTACATTTACATAGTCTACATGTTTATCTGGTGATTTTTTTTTTTATCCGATTAAAAATGCTAGATCTTCATCACAGTGTTGTCTGGCTAAACTAACACAGCACCTATGTAAGTAACTACATCTCACCGACGTCACAACAATCATGTGTACAATGTACAATTTTCGAAACCCTTACAAATTTCCCGACGAGAAAACAGTCAATGGGGTGGGGTGTAGTCCTATGAGAACATGGAGAAATTAAGGTGCAATATTGTATTGCTCATGATTTTGGTCATCGCTCGACTCCAATAGACCAACCCACTAATCTCCGCCTACTGCAACAACGCATGCTCTTCTCCAATGTCAAACTACATGATGTGCATCATGTACAAGTGAATGCATGTCGGACATAAATCACAGCTTGGATTGCTCAGAGCATTAGGGGGAGGTCCATTGGCAACTAGGTCAACTACTTCCTACTAATGTGTACATTCGTTCGAACCCTAGCACTACCGATGAAATTTAAAGACAGTGTGCAACTAGAAACATCCGATTCTACAATCTCCATGCTACAAGAGTACTCAGAAATTTGTCATAAAAAGGACACATGAAAAACCACCAATGTCACGCAGTGCACCTATAGTGCTGGATTACTCCTTGGTTCGTGTACTACCTCCATAACACAATCTGGAATTCAAAGCAATAATGCTACACCCGTCTACTTATAGTGGTGCTGGACTCTGATCTCCTCCGTGTGTGCAAAAAGTGCCTTCAAACTGTGCCTACCACTCAGAAGATTATTTGTCTTCAACTATTACTCACTGTCCCTGGTGCAGCTAGGTATACTTCGATTGGCTGCAGGGCTAAGGTACCTCACTCGTGCTGAGTACAAATGTATTGCTTTTCAATCATTCTGATCCCGTAACCCCCCCTCCCCCAATGAAACTTTGAAACATGCTTGTATTTCATACCCTTGCAATTGTTCATACCACATATCACTTTGACTAATTCTACTCACTACAACGACACTACAAGACATCTATCAACAGACACCACTCTTTTTGTTTTTTTTACAACCAACTAATATTTTACAAGTCCTTTCACAAGAAGATTCTACTAAACTCAGGAAATGTACCCTGTCACTGGTGTCCACTTTGGCAACTACATGTATTTGGCTTCATGTACTAACCGGTAACCAGACAAACAAAACCCTGTCAAGCTAGCTGCCTTATTTTGTTAAAAGTTGGCCCTCAGCAGCAGCAAGGAAATGGCAGGCAAAAGTGACCCAAGTTAAAGCCGGAGTCCATCATTTGCAGCTATCCAAAAAAGTAACTGGCGTAACTATTGTTGAAAAACATACTGGTTGAAAGATAGTAAGGGGACTAAACTCCCTGTGAAATGATTCTTTCTGGCAAGCTGTCATTTTGAAGAAATCAATGAAAGAAGGCATTTCCAATGGTGCGTCTTAAGAAGCACCGTAGGAAAATTTAAATTAGTAGTTCGTTTTGTTATTCGGCGCAGCGCACGCAAGCATTGGCACGACGCACAGGCGCGCGCGGTTGCTATAATTCGACAGATCAGTGCGCGACATCGCGTAAAGCTGCAATTCAAAACAAGATTTAGTAACTTTTGATTTGAAATTGAGATCCTAGAATGCTGTTTTTCTCAGAATTTACAGCTGAAGCTGAGCTGAAACTTCATCAGGTTAGCTGTTCAGTATCCTTCATCAGATTTTGAACACTTTTGTTGCTTCAAACGAACAAAATGCACAAATTACAAATGATGGACTATGTCTTTAAGGATCACACACCTGTTCTGTTCAGGATTTGTCTGTTTACATCTGCGATCTGTTCTTATGACTAGAATGACAACAACCAGACACTAAATAATCTTCATATCACTACCCAATGATTTCACAATCTATTTTATGTCGAGTACACATTTAAATAAAAAAGCCTCTTTCTGAACAGTCACAAAACAATTTCAAGCAGATTTTTTTTCTTCAAACCTTTGTACAAATGTAGCAGTTTGTTAATCCATTAATAGGATGGTGCTTTGATTAGCAACATACACCTTCAACACTGTGAGGGAAAGGGAACCAGACGACACAAGTGTCTGTAAATATTTTTCAATATCATTTGTGACATTGGGAGTTACGCCGTTCAGTTGCTGAAATCCTTTTTGAAATTGTTTTTCACTGTACATGTCATCAAGGCCTGGAAACGCAAGAGTTTAAAGATTAAATTGCATAACTTGAGACATTCAACAGATGCTACTTTTGACAATACTGTTAAAATTAAAAAAGCCTCAATAAACACTTCACTTTTACATGTATAGCAGCAGCCATTAATACAATCAAAACTAGCCTCTGTCTCAGCCTGACCATGGCCAATTTCGCTCTAGAATAAGCAGCCAGTAATAATTTTCAATAGTCTAAACTTCGGCATCAATAAGTCTCGATGTTTGGAAAGTGATTTTGAAGTCCCCCAACTCAGGGATACTAAAATCATGAAGATGTAGGCCTAGGATTGGAAATCCATTTTGAAACTGTTTTCCCATTTTTACTTGGTAATCTTGAAAATCTTGGGATATCTTTATTACTGCATGCATAGAACGGCAGACCAACTAGTATCACAATGTTGAATGTAAATATCAAATTCTTGTTTGTGAAGATCTGGCCAATTTCATCGACTGCCTCAGAGTGAAAAGCCAAACCACGTGATTTTTTTGTGTTTATTCGTTTGTGTACAATCATCTCTTTAGTTATTTAATTCCATTGCTTGAAACGTGAAATTGTTACGATTGAAAATTACATCTGAGCTACCATAGGTCGAGACAGAGGTACACATCACACGCAATGATACATTTTTTTTTTTTTCTTAAATACAAAACACAGGAAGTTTACATATTAATATTCACAAACTCATAAAAAAGTAAAAATGTCTCTCTGGTAATACACGAAAAGGGAATTTTTTTAAGAATAAAATGTAATTTACACAAAAAAAAGCATGTCAGTAACGGTGGTACTTGTAACATTTAAAAATAAAAAGACATACTTCTCTGAAAGTACAGCTTTTTTTTAAGCATGTGAGCAGAAATTTGAGTATGGAAGAAAGCACACAAATTCAAACATCTTACACAAGTGCTAAGAGTTGAAGTCTTTGAACAATCATTTGTCAAAATTGCAAGTACGTTCTAGTACTTTTAGGCCACAAATTGATGGAATCACACCACTTGCAACTTGGCACCACAAACTGAGTTCAGTTTGGAAAGCTCACTTCACGATAACCTCCAAATATACTTTCAAAGAAAATCACTCCAGAGAAACATTATCGATATATCGATTAATTCTAAACACAGATGACCTCGTGCAGCACAGACGGGCTAATGTCAAAAAAACAACGTGTATACAGTACACATGATCTCTGTGGTCCAGAAAAGACACTGGGCGGTACCACTTCAATGTAGGTGAAAGGCAATGAGGAGGGGGAGGAGTATAACCAGAGCAGACTGTGCGACGATTGATGATGCACCACCCTCATCGCCACGTGCTGACGGCTCGCCTTCGGCACCTACACACACGAACAAAATACAAGCTTAGTAAGTACAGGTATTGACAGACATTTTACATACAGTAAACTCCGGCTGAACTGGCACTCTTGGGACCCGAGAATTTGAGACGACTTACGCGATTGCCGATATCTGCTGTAAGTCGTCATTTTGCCGACTTACATGAATGGTCTTTTGCACACATGATCCATTGCACTAATTGGCTTCGATTTACCCTGGATTATCTCCGAAGTGCTTGAGTTGAATCCAGCAAATTAATCCTCGAATTGTATCATCACGTTTGGGGTACTGATAGTGGAGACCACGATACATATGTGGTGTACAGTAACAAATTAAATGCGTGCGTGGTCCAGTATATACCACGCACGTGAGTAACCGATTTTGTACGTCTTGTTTATCATACATAACACATTTTTCTGGATGTCATCTTTGGTGCTTAGGTACATGTAGGTCTAGGTCTACTCTATCTACCAGGGGGATAACAGTTATTAAAATCTTTTCAGTAAGGTAATTACAGCCCAAGGAAACTCAAAAGTACATCAAAAATGTAACGTCAGTAACCGTGGAATTGCCCAACACGATCTCTCCTGTTTAAAATGAAAAAGTCGTGCAATTTTCAAAAATAGTTTTGTTTGTGCTAGCCTGGCATGCCAGTATGAAGCGAGTGTTACAGTTTTATGTGTGAAAAAAGTCAACACAACTACACCAATTCTATGAAGATAAATAATAATAATAATAATAATCGGCATTTAAGAACGCTCTTATTAGTAAACTAAATCACAGCGCTTACAGTATTATTATTACCCCTGATCATTGGGCCAATTAAACATTCCAAATACCATCTCAGCTCCCCGGGGAGTACACAGCTCGATGCTGCCTGTTAGGCGCAAGCAAGCTTATTCAATCACAATAACCATCTCTGCTCTCACAGGTACCCATTTACTCCTGTGTGGAGAGAAGCAATGTGTGACAAAGTGCCTTGCCCAAGGGCACACGCACCATGACCCTTTGCTGGACTCGAACCCACAACCCGCAGCATTACCCACAGACCACGAATCCAGTGCCCTTAACCACGAGGCCACAGCACTCGTGGTTAAACCTCTTCTTCTGAATACTTTCGGGAAGAAAAGCTTGTAAGGATGTTTAAACATTGCCCTATGAACAGTAGTATTTGTAGCCAATGCCCACAGGTACTAGGTCATGCTGTCACTTTTTTTTGGTCATAATCAAAGTTTGATCTTTATCTTACCTATTTCGATGGACTGTTGTTGACTGGTCACACCGTCGCCCCCTGAACTATAACCCATGACCTTGACGTAGTACGTAGTGCCCTTCGTCAGGCCCTCGATGGTGATCGTGTTGGTGTTCTTGTCAACCTGCTTATCAGAGGCTTCGGCTTCAAATTCTCCCTGCTTCCAGTACAGGATCTAAAAAGTCAAAGAAAAGCAAAAAACAGATTTTTGTTAACAAAATTTGGTACGCTTTAATTTTCCCTTTTGCAGAAAAGCAACCCGTGTTTTTACTGGAATCTTACAAATCAAGGACCTAAAATCGGGAAGCTTAGAGGAAATATACAACATTTGCTTTTGCTGTTATTTCCAGAAACGGATGGATTTGGGGGTTGAGTATTTTATAGCAAATATTGTTACGTTGACTTGTTTGAAGTTTTGTGTTCGTAGATGCTGGAAAAACCAAGAAAAACAATCATGTTCTCGTAGTCTGGTTCCCTGACCCAACTTTAGATGAAACAGAGCATTTAATAGAGGTCGGGGAATCATAAGGTCAGGGAACTAGCCTAGCTGACTTGTACCCGTTCAAACAAAATGCGGACTAACTAAATGTGATAAATTTGGGGCAGTATTTGAAGAAAAAAAACCCAGTTTATTCCCAATGCTCAGCATTGGAAATTGATAAAAATTAAAACAACACTTTTCTGGAAAATGTCAGCACACCAGGTGCCATGATTTTAAATGCTTTAGACTGTTATTTACTAACAGTCCAATAAGGTTTTTCACAATAATTTGGCAGTTTTGTTTTTTTGATGTTTGCAAATGTTGCATACATTTATTCCCTTAAAGCCGTTAGCCGAACCTGGAGAAGAATCCTATGTTTCAGAAATGGAACTAGGAATGCAACTTATGGGAAAACGGATCTTAAAGGGGCACCCCATTACCTTGTATCCTGTCAAGGGCTCCTCATTATCAGATGTGGTGATGCCATCCCACGTGATTGTCATGCCAGTGGTTCCTTTAAGCGCGACCTTGACATTTCCTGGTGCCTGTTGGGGTGCTGTTGCCAAAAAAAAATCAGAAGACAATTTTTTTTTTACAAAGCTTCTTTTATTTTTGTGTTACCATGGATGCATGGCGTCACTTGCCTTAGGATAATGTTAACACTGATGCGTGGAAAGAAGGTGTTCGGGTTTCTGAAAATGTTTAAGTTAAAACAAAAAAATGTGAAATTCTGTTGTTATTATCACACTTGAAAATGATATCGTGCAAATGCATGAGATAGTGAAAACAATTCATCTTGAGCAATAATCTGTGTCTTTTTAAGAACCTTTTATTAATGACTTTTTTGGATGAAAAAAAGGAAAAGAAAAAAAGAAACCTCTAAGAAAATGAAAATAAGTATAATGACATAAATTAGAATGAGAAAATAAACAAAATAATGGTTCCTGCGTTAGTGACCGTTGAGGTACAAAAATTCAGGTTTTTCTTTAACAGAAGCTATGCACATGCATTTTGTGGTCAAAGCAATTCTTGCGCTTTTCGAGAAATTTTCAAGCAGTAGTGTCATACCTTGAAAAGCAAGCAAAAGCTACAATCCTGGCCAAATCTCGCTGGGCCCCCAACCCCTCCGGCCCCCGCTCAATGTTGTCTCTCACTGCGCGGTGTGTGCTCCATCAGCTGGAGAGAACAACATTGACCGGGGGAGTGGGGGAGCGGGTGACCATGGGAGGCTAAGGAAGTGTCCCAACCATTTTGGCCGGGACTGTAGTTTTCACATTATTTTTTTTAAAATTTGGTACTCAAAAGTAAAGTAAAATAACTCAAATTAATAAAATGCAAAAATAATCATGTCTGCTGTTTAAATGCAAGAGATGTCTCAATGTTGTACTTGCAATGTGGAAATCATTTCGTAAAATGAGGTTAGAATACAGGAAGAGGCTTGTGTGTTCTTGAGCAAGCTACTTTATCACAATTACTTCTCTCCACCCAGGAGAGATAAGGGAACCGGTTTAGGGAACAGTCAATCGTTGTGTTACATTGTGATGCGAGTTGTTTTCTGACTTGTATCTATTTTGCTCTCCAAAGGATTTGGATGTATCCAAGATTATACGCTTGCCAATCAGGGGTAACGGTAGCTGCGATACCATGTACATGTAAACGCTTCATTCCTCCCGTACGCAAATGACTACATGTATTATCAATCATTTGATAAATTTAAAACGTTCACAATCGAGAAACAATGGTGAAATGTTTACATTTTAAACTTTTCTTTCAATCTAGCAAAAGCAGTAACCTTACAGGAGACCTGTTTCCATGGAAACCCAGAAAAAGTCTGGAGTTCAGAAGTTGTTCATCTCATAAACCTGCACTGTCCGGTAACTTGAGGTCGAGCATTGCTTTAAATACAAAAGCAACTTGTTCAAAAGCTCAAAACAATGGATGTAACATTCACAGGCCATTTTCCAGGTTTTTTTTAATGAAAACTGGTCTCGTGAAACGTTTTTTTTTTAAAATATGTTCTGTCAAATATTTGTTCCGTGAGAATTGAGCAATCTGTGAGGCGTTTTGGCAAAAGGAGACCAAACAGGGTACAGGCCTTAGTGGAGAAAAATGCAAAAAAAAAAAAACCCCAAAAACAATGAAATTATATAAAAATCATAGATTAAAAGTGTTTTTAAGAAAAAAAAACAACTGGCATCTTTCACTTTGACGAGTACAAAACTCAAGACTTTTTTGCAAGTATTTTGCCGTTTTGACGTGTCAATAAATTTGAACTTTATTAAACAGCGATAACTTGTCCATGGAAAGTCCGATCGAAGTGCAACAAACAGTATTGTAAGGAGAATTTTATTCTCTTTCCTAATACCCGCAAACTCTTATTTAACTCCAGCCCAGTTTTGTCTCATTTTGTGAGAACGCCTCACATTTAAGAGACACACTTAATTAAAGACGTAGACTGTCGGCTATCGATGACAACAGTCATTCCTGAAATGAAACACAAGGCACTTGCGGTAATGGTACATGAAAGTGGGTTGCGGGAGGGGGTAGCATGGATCATTCAGTAAGAAGGGGGGGGGTGGGGTTGGGTGGGGGGAACAGAACACAGTGCGAGCATGAGGAATGGGAGTGACATCAACAAAACAAAAGCATTCTCCGGTTATTTTTAACGTTGTCTGGGCATGCTGGACACTTGCAAAAACATTTTTTTTAAGTGTTGGGATTTAGACCTGCCATCTGTGGCAGCGTAAATCCTTTTTAAAAAAAAATTATTTTAAACAAAAAGGTTAAAAACCAAATCTTTTTAAGCCCCTGATTTGTGAATGGCTCATGCATCAGAAACCATCGATGATTTGAAATGTTTTCAAAACAAATGCTTCAAAAAGGTAACAGAAAAACAAACAAAATAGTTTTGAAAGCCTGTTTACAGTCACATTTCAGGAGGTTAATAATAGTTCCTTTTTTCCCCCATTCTTTTCAAACAAAAATCAACTCAAACGAAAGCTGTTAGAAATCATCGTTGTGCCGTGATGTGCATTTTTTTTTTATTAATTGGTTCCATTTTTTTCCTGGAGATTGGGATGTTATCCATGTCATTTTTACAACTCACATTGCCTTCTTTTTAAGTTCTCTTTTGTTTTATAGTTAAGGTAAACATTCAGAAATTTGGGAATTTTCCAAATTTTGAATATTGGCAGCTCCTATTTTGTAACACAAATTGTTCTCAGTTAAGTCTAAAGCCTGGTTCATACTTCATGCAAAAGCGAATGCGAAGCGAATTTTACGTCATGAAACATTCGCTGCGAAATTCGCCCGAGTTGAAATGTGTTCAACTTTTACGAATTCGCATCGCGAATACTCTCCATGACGTCACAAATTCACGTTCGCTTTCGCGCCGAGTATGAATTGGGCTTAACAATGTAGCAAGGCTTGATTTGACTCATGCTGGAAGCCAGGGGAAACATGACCAAACTGCTAATTGATTGAATTCCCTGTAAGGCTGTTACTGAAAGCAGTCAAGAAGTGACATGGACCCACCCCATAGGTGACCTTAAAGCTTATTTACATTAGATGACTTGTCAAAAAAAGCAGGTGAAAAAGCAGGGCCATGCAGTCAAAACGGTCCAGAAAGATTCTCTTTTTGCGGCTTTTAACTTTTCAGTCATCTCAAAACGAATGACATTTGTTATAAAAAGGAAAAGGCAACACAGCTCCTTTCTTTTAACCAGTTCGCGCCGGGTGACGTGTGTTTACGCGAAGGTTTTGCGGTATTCAGAATGGATGATGGATAAACACGCAGGGAGCGTGGCTGGAAATATCTGTCAGCGACCCACTCGCAGCGAGCGAGGCCGGAAATATGAGTGTGCTGCCCGAGGGTGATGGCTTCAACCCTGCCTAGCATTGAGGTCGAGTGAAAAGTCATCCTGCGCCTCGTTCCGTTCTTGTCAAAATATTCCCGGCGCGAACTGGTTAATAAGAAGCCGTTCCATCTTAGCATAACCAGTCAAAATTATTGACTTGATTTGAGTTTCCAAAAAAAAAAAAAAATATGAGTAAACCCTGTTTCAAAAAAATTACACTGAGATGTACAAGAAGGAAGAAAGCAAATTTTAATCAAAAGAAAATTTGCTGGAGTCTGGTTGACAGTGATCTGTGTCAATCTGTCGATTGTTTTTTTTTTTCCTTTTTCGTTTTTTTTCCCCCCCAAGAAAATCTCTCTGGACGCAAGGAGGGAGGCAAATAGGGAGAAATATACTGTACTACCAATCAGCATTGTACTTGGAGTTTGCGTCGGCATCTCGACTGTGGTCACTTGATAATAACAGGGAGGAGAACAATTATAATGAAAACAACATCGGTCAAACTATCGCTACCGACGCACACATTGCTACCGTACTCGGTTGGACAAGTGCAGGCAAGCCTGGGCATATATGGAGACTCTGAGGAGCAGCAGAGAAGGCCAACAGTTTCATTAGACATTGGTGGCCTGCAAGTTTGTTGCTGCCACTTGTGCAGTAAGGCCATTCATTCCATGTGGCCACCTCAAGATTGTGGCCACCTCTAGTTTGCGGCCACCAGTTTTGTAGTGTCCGCCAGTCATTTTAACATTGTAAGTTTTTCTTTAATTAAGGTCATTTCACTGTGGCCACTCTTCTTTTGTGGCCAATTTTGGCCACTAAGTTATATTTGCCTCATATCCCATACGACCACCAGTTTATTGTCATTGTGGCCGCCAGTTCAATGTGGCCAAGATTTCATTGTGGCAACCAGTTCATATAGTGATAAGGTTATCCATTAATGTTGGCCACTTCCCCATTGTGGCAACCAGTTCATATAGTGCTAAGGTTATCCATTAATGTTGGCCACTTCCCAATTTCGACCACCTCTCCACTGTGACAACTACCAGTCAAAGTGGCCACCATCAGTTCAGTTTGGCCACCTCCATCCTGGCCACCAGATCAATGTGGCCACCATTTCACTATGGCCACCGACAAATTTAGGTATGTATATATTGTGGCCAACTGCCCATTTTGGCCACTACTTTCTAGTAGCCAACTCTGTGTTTTGGATTGGACTGCCCCCTCTTAGCGCCCTGCTAGCTTGACTGCACTTGTGAAACCCTGGCACATACACATACATGTCATTGTACAATCTAGATGTAGCTCAGCACTCTAATCAAGCTGCCTACATGTACGCATACACAGCACATAAAAAAGCAGACACCACACAATCATTATTCTACACATCAATTCACAACTCGATAAAAAATGATTACTAAAACATGGTTTTCTAATCTGAGTGAAACAAATATGCCACCGTACAAACTAAAACAACAGGGGACTCAACACACACTGGTACCTGGATTAATTGGTAAGGGCGTACATTTGATTGAAAACCAGACAAATTTGCTCATGATGAGCACCTACGTGTACAGGCAAAACAGACCTGTCACCTTTTCCCATTTCAAGTTGAGTAATGCTGTACTGATCTACGAAAGCAACCCAACGTTGGTCTGGGGGAGCGGGGAAGTTGGAGACCCAATCTGAGCACCGAATCACTGTACAACACTCACAGACGCCACCGGTAATAGCAAAAGAACTGCGCCATCTATTGAACAAAACAAGTACCCCATGATGGTAATTGACCTGTCGCAGTAGAATCGCGTTAGAATCGCGCCAACGCAGCTTGTGAAATATTGTCCAATTACATGATATACAAATGGACGCGAAACGCGCACAATCTGAGACAAACAAAACTTAGCGTTCAAAAACTCCACATGGTTGTCTAAGGGGCGTGGCTAACTCGCAAACGGCAATAGGTCAATTTACAATGCTTCCGCCATTACAGGAGGCCTCCATGAGTGTACAGTGATTGCTTTGCTGGACTGGTCTGTGAAAAAGCAGAAGTCTGCTTAACCTAACCCCCACGGGGTATTCTCGAGGCACCCTGCCAAATGCAACAGAATGCAGTGCTAGCCTTGGTACCAAGTACCTACCCTGCCAAATGCAACGGAATGCAGGGGTGCACTGCATCAGATCAGGAGACTGCTAAATGCAATAACTTTGTACCACTGGTGCATTTTGTTGCATTTAGCAGGGTTATTCTCTAGGCACCCTGCCAAATGCAACAGAATGCAGTGAACTAATACACACCAGCCTTGGTACCAAGTACCTACTGGTACCCTGCCAAATGCAACGGGATGCAGGGGTGCACTGCATCAGATCAGGAGACTGCTAAATGCAACAACTTTTTACCACTGGTGCATTTTGTTGCATTTAGCAGGGTTATTCTCTAGGCACCCTGCCAAATACAACAGTATGCAGTGAACTAATACATACCAGCCTTGGTACCGGTACCAAGTACCTACCCTGCCAAATGCAACGGAATGCAGGGGTGCAACGCATCAGATCAGGAGACTGCTAAATGCAACAACTTTTTACCACCGTTGCATTCTGTTGCATTTTATAGCAGGGTTAGGATTAATCAAGAAATAACTGGCATTTTAAAGGGCTATGGGAAAACCTATACGATCTTCAAAACAACAAATGCCAAGATATTTGAAAGGTACAATTAGCTTGAGTGTATAAGAGCAAGAGGAATTTAAAACAAGTAAATAAAATATTGGAAAGAGATTCTTTTAATGATTTTAATAAATTTCCCAGAATTTCAAATTGCCAAATGACTCTCCCGTTGAAAATCAAAATTGAAAATCAATATGAAGGGTTTGGTTCCAAAACGCGATATATCCGTTTAAAAAAAAAAGTGAAAAATTGTGCACGGTTATGAAACTTTAAACAATGAAAAACAGTATTGTAACAGTTGTTTCTGAACTTCATTTTTCACTTAAGTGTATTCTTAGGTTGTATCCTAGTACGTAACAGCAATCGAAATTGACTTTGGAAAGCCAGGAGAGAATGGGTTTCTAAAAGGGAAAAAAAATGGCGTATATCGCGTTTTGTTTCAGAACTCTACCTGCAGTAAATTTTGAAATTAGAAAATGCTTACTTTGAGTATATGAATTGCGTTGGTTTCTCCCAACCACCCACTGTACAAAATTCTAAAAATCATGCTTGACAAGATTGCGTTGCAATATATCAGTGCAAGGGTGAAGGGGAATTTATATTGGTAAGTGCATCTACAAGAAGTTGTAGGGAGAATGAATTACTCATTTCTATAACTGTGCATGTACTACTGTAATATTTTGCTGAACATAACCACTACCGGGTAGTTGTGGACGCATAAAATGGGGCCCGTGTTTACGAAGCTGCAACGCAGAAATGTACTTCTTGTAGTACTGAGCTTAGCAAAAATCCAGTGAGTAGCAGTCTTGGGCAGTAAATGTCACGCCATGTGAAAGACTGGCTGATAGCATAAGTTCAATTTTGTGAGTGCTGCTAAGCAGGTACTTTTTCACTGGGAGAGCAATTGTCCATTTGAGAGACTGTAAGTAAGCACAACAAAGAGCATGCTTAACTCGATGTGACAAATCAGCTTAAATTTGTTACCCTAAAGCTTTAGCATGTCCACGCCATCTAAGTTCAGGTAAGCACATTTGTTTCTATGGACGATGTGACATTTGTTTACAATTTGGATGTTGTGGTCACGTGACGCCAACTTTCAGCAAACGGTTCTCTTCTGCACTGCATGGATATCTCTGAAAATATGCATGGTTTAAAAGTATTGGGTTGCCCATGGGTTGCCCTTGGGTTGCCCATGGGTTGCCCTTGGGTTGCCCATGGGTTGCCCTTGGGTTGCCCATGGGTTGCCATTGGGTTGCCCTTGGGTTGCCCCTGGGTTGCCCTTGGGTTGCCCATGGGTTGCCATTGGGTTGCCCATGGGTTGCCCTTGGGTTGCCCTTGGGTTGCCCATGGGTTGCCCTTGGGTTGCCCTTGGGTTGCCCATGGGTTGCCCTTGGGTTGCCCATGGGTTGCCATTGGGTTGCCTATAGGTTGCCATTGGGTTGAATTGGGTTGCCCTTGGGTTGCCTATGGGTTGCCCTTGGGTTGCCCATGGGTTGCCCGTGGGTTGCCCATGGGTTGCCCATGGGTTGCCCATGGGTTGCCCTTGGGTTGCCCATGGGTTGCCCTTGGGTTGCCATTGGGTTGCCTATAGGTTGCCATTGGGTTGAATTGGGTTGCCCTTGGGTTGCACTTGGGTTGCCCTTGGGTTGCCCTTGGGTTGTCTATGGGTTGCCCGTGGGTTGCCCATGGGTTGCCGTTAGGGTGCCTGGTGCTATGACGGCACAGGGCAGTGAGGCCTTAATTTAACATAACTTTCTGCTGACCATTCAACTGCATCAAAAAAATAAGCTCCATTTGCTGATAGAAAAAAAAATTGTCCGTACTGGGCACATTTCAGTTTTGCAGCTTCAGAAGCTTGGGCCCCAGCACCTTTTTTTTTTCATTTTTAATACAAAAAAGCAAAAATGATCGAAACCTAATTTTGTTTTTGACTTACGGGCTTTGAGTGTCGTGACTTGGGCAACTTCAGTGCTGGGGGGTCCGTCCCCGCCCCCACTGAACGCCATGACGTTGATATTGTACATAGTGTTAGGATCTAGGTCCACGATAGTAGCTTCTGTTCCTGGGCCGGGACTCCTGACGATGTTTCCCAGCTCCTCCGTGGAACCTTCCTCCCAGTATTTGAGCTACAAAGACAACCCCCAAAATATGAACCTCGGTGAGGGTCTTGCATTGGCAAAGTGTTACTTTTGATGTGTACACCTCGGAACAGATTACGGATTAACACCCAGGGGGCAAGGCCAGAAATATCTGTCAGCGACCCGCTCGCAGCGAGCGAGGCCAGAAATATTGAGTGTGCTGCCCGAGGGTGATGGCTTTAACACGCCTGGCTTGAGGTAGAGTGAAAAGTAATCCGTCCCTCGTTCCGTTTTTGTCAAATAATACCTGCGCTAACTGGTTAATAACTGTTGGCGCTCTAGTAATCTAACACAGCTCTATGCCTGGTATAAAGTATGAACTTCAGAGAAATATGCTCGTGAAGCTATGATGCCACAAAATATCTTCAAGAAAATTCGCGAAATACTTGTCTTGATCATGACGTCATTAAGTTGAGGTCAAAATTTACCGTCACATATGAACCCGAGTGATGGTGGAAGAGGGAAGGCACTTGCCCACATGAATTTCAAGGGGATGTCAGTAGGAGCTACGGCTTACTTTGTATCCATCCAGGACTCCTATGATTTGCTCTGCATCAATGCCTGTCCATGAGACCTGGACACTGGTTGCTGATGCGGCTGTGGCTGTGACTGCAGTGGGTGCCTCTTCTGGACCTTGAGGGATTGGATGAAAACAAAGGGTCAATTCAATGGAACTAGTTAGCACAGAAATATGCTTACCACGTTGGGCTTTAGTATGGGGTGGGGTTTTGGGGTGGGGTTTTGGGGTGGGGTTTTGGGGTGGGATTTCGGGGAGGAGTTTGGGGTGGGGTAGGGGGTGCGATTGGGAATGTTGGGTTTGGGGGTGGGGTTTGGGGATGGGGTTTGAGGGTGGGAAACGAAGTGGGGTTATGGATGGGGGTGGGGATTTCACTCACTTCTCTGTTAGCCAGGGACGTCCATGAGGTCAATGGATGATTACTATTATAAGGTGTACACTTCCGAAAAAGCGGTTCTTGGAGGTAGGTGGTGGGTTGAGAGTGTGGGCAGGGTATGGAGTTTGGTGGAGAACTGGGTGGAGAGTTGGGTGGGGTGTTGGATGGGGTGTGGAGTTGGTTGTGGAGTAGGGTGTGGAGTTGGGTGGGGTGTGATGTTGGTGGTGAGTTGGGTAGGGTGTGGGATGGGGTGTGGAGTTGGTTGTGGAGTAGGGTGTGGAGTTGGGTGGAGAGTTGGTTGGGGTGTGGGGAGTTGGGTGGGGTGTGGAGTTGGGTGGAGAGTTGGGTGGGGTGTGGAGTTGGGTGGAGAGTTGGGTGAGGTGTGGAGTTGGGTGTGGAGTTGGGTGAAGAGTTGGGTGGGTGTGGGGAGTTGGGTGGGTGTGGAGAGTTGGGTGGGGTGTGGGGAGTTGGGTGGGGTTTGGAGTTGGGTGGAGAGTTGGGTGGGGTGTGGAGTTGGGTGGAGAGTTGGGTGGGGTGTGGAGTTGGGTGGAGAGTTGGGTGGGGTTTGGAGTTGGGTGGAGAGTTGGGTGGGGTGTGGAGTTGGGTGGAGAGTTGGGTGGGGTGTGGAGTTGGGTGGAGAGTTGGGTGGGGTGTGGAGTTGGATGGAGAGTTGGGTGGGGTGTGGAGTTGGGTGGAGAGTTGGGTAGGGTGTGGAGTTGGGTGGAGAGTTGGGTGGGGTGTGGAGTTGGGTGGAGAGTTGGGTGGGGTGTGGAGTTGGGTGGAGAGTTGGGTGGGGTGTGGAGTTGGGTGGAGAGTTGGGTGGGGTGTGGAGTTGGGTGGAGAGTTGGGTGGGGTGTGGAGTTGGGTGGAGAGTTGGGTGGGGTGTGGAGTTGGGTGGAGAGTTGGGTGGGGTGTGGAGTTGGGTGGAGAGTTGGGTGGGGTGTGGAGTTGGGTGGAGAGTTGGGTGGGGTGTGGAGTTGGGTGGAGAGTTGGGTGGGGTGTGGAGTTGGGTGGAGAGTTGGGTGGGGTGTGGAGTTGGGTGGAGAGTTGGGTGGGGTGTGGTGTTGGGTGGAGAGTTGGGTGGGGTGTGGAGAGTTGGGTGGGGTGTGGAGTTGGGTGAAGAGTTGGGTAAAGAGTTGGGTGTGGTGTTGGGTGGGGTGTGGTGTTGGGTGGAGAGTTGGTTGGGGTGTGGGGAGTTGGGTAGGGTGTGGGGTGTGGAGTTGGGTGAAGAGTTGGGTGAAGAGTTGGGAGGGGTGTGGGGAGTTGGGAAGGATGTGGGAATTGGGTGGGGTGTGGGGAGTTGAGTGGCATTTTGAGTTGGAGTGGGTTTGGCATGGATCGGGTATGGTAGTTTGAGAGGACTTTCACCCATTCCTCTAGAAGGGGTAAACTTAAAGAAAAATTGGTTTCAGAGGTAGGAGGCATTCAGAGGTAGGAGGTGGGTTGAGATTGAGGGTGGGGTAGGGTGTGGGGGAGAGGCTTCAAGGCTTTCACTCACTTCTCTGGAAGGAGTAAACTTCCGAGACTTGGCTCATGGGTCCTTCCCCTTCGGAGTTGATAGCCTGGACCTTGACATCAAACGGCGTGTAGGCAGGCACCCCCGAGGCCACATACTCCCCAGCCTCTGGGTCCATGACATCATGATCAACAAACTCGGCTCCCGAGTCCTTCTGCCGCCAGTAGACCTTGTAATATAGGTCTGGGGCATTCCATTCCTGCCTTGGCAGTGGCTGGGAGTCAAAAACAACAGAAAATATAAGATTGTATGGCTTTAAAGGGAATATACATCATTTGCTTTTGCTGTAATTTTCAGAAATGGATGGAATTGGGGGGTTGGAAATATATAGCAAATATAGTTACACTGACTTTTTTGAGGTTTTGGGTTCGAAAATGCTATAAAAACCAAGAAAAACAATCATTGTCCTGTAGTCTGGTTCCCCGACTCCATATAGGAAGAAACAGAGCAGTTTACATACATTGGGGAATTGTAAGGTCAGGGAACCAGTCTAGCTGGCTCGTACCCGTTCATAGGCTTGTAATCGATTGCAAACAAGTGCGATGGTCAATTGGGGCCAGTATTTGGAAAAAAAAGCCAGTTTTTTCCAACGCTGATCAGCCGATCAGCGTTGGAAATTGATACAAAAATACCACTTTTCTTGAAAATGACAGTATACCAGGTGCCATGATTTTACAGGATGCTTTACACTGTCATTCACTAACAGTCCAGCAAGGTATTTCAAAATGATTTGGTAGTTGTATTTTTTGATGTTTGCAAATGTTGTATTTTCCCTTTAATAAAGGGCCCATGTAATTTTTTTTTTAAATGCAATCCTTGAAAATGCACCTTTGTGCCCATTTAACCATATTTTCAATTTTTGTTGTAGCCATTTTTTAACGGATATTTTGGTGCCTTTTTGTTTTTATGCTAATGAAAATGTCTATATTCATGTATTGGCAAATTTTGTGTTCACAATTTGAACACAAAACCCCTAAACTGAACGAAGTCTTCCTGGAATGACATCACAGCAACAGCGCCCTCACTAGTCCGGAAAAGCATGGAATTTTTTTTAATGTTTTAAAGAAGTGCACTTTTCAATAAAAATTAACCAAAAAGGGATGTCAAATAATTTTCACACATACATGTAAGAGTAGCACGTTGCTCAAAATGTGGTCCTAAGAAAAATTCAATGCATGGCCCCTTAAAGCCCGAGTCCATCATTTGCAGCTATCCAAAAAAGTAACTGGCGTAATTATTGTTGAAAAACATACTGGTTGAAAGATAGTAAGGGGACTAAACTCCCTGTGAAATTATCCTTTCTGGCAAGCTCTCATTTTGAAGAAATCAACGAAAGAAGGCATTTCCAACGGTGCTTCTTAAGAAGCACCGTAGGAAAATTTAAATTAGTTGTTCGTTTTGTTATTCGGCGCAGCGCGCACAAGCATTGGAACGACGCACAGGCGCGCGCGGTTGCTATAATTCGTCGGATCAGTGCGCGACATCGCGTAAAGCTGCAATTCAAAATAATTCGAAACATGATTGAGCAACTTTTGATTTTAAATTGAGATCCTAGAATGCTGTTTTTCTCGGAATATGAAGCTGAAGCTGAGCTGAAACTTCATCAAGTAAGTTGTTCAGTATCCTTCATTAGATTTTGAACACTTTTGTTGCTTCAAACGAACAAAATGCACTAATTACAAATGATGGACTATAGCTGTAAATTTACTTCGTAGTTTTGTTGCTATTTAAAAAAATATTTAGATGGACACTTTTTTTTGCATCCTTGTCTTTCTTTCACCTACCTCCCATATCATTCTGAGGTCCCCATCGTTTCCTCCTCCGCCCCCAACATTACCTGGCTCCATGGTCGGACCTGGGAAATCAATTTTTTAGAAAGGATGATTTCGATCAATGTTGGCATGGGTGGCTAGTGTGTAAAGTGCTCGCCTCTCACTGCTGTGGCCCTGGTTCGATTCCCGGCTAGGACTATAAGTGAGTAGAGTTGTGCGTTGGTATTCCCCTGTGCCATGACAAAATGTTCACCCTCTCAACGTTGAGCGGGCCATTACACGATAATGCACAGCATGACTTAATATCGTTATTTTATGGAGTGGGTCACATATGATGATAATATATAGAGTTTCATTTGGGCCAAACTCACGGTCTTGTGCTGTCTGCTGCTCGTCGGACTCCTCGCTGGGTTCACCTTGGCCGACGTCGTTGACTGCAATGACCCTGAACTTGTACATGCTCCACGCTGACAAGCCGGTCAGACGGATGTGAGTGCTGGCCGCAGGGATATCTGAGACAAGACCACAGTGATGCAATGAGTAAGTAAAGAAATTGAAGATAAACGCGGATCAAGTTGCAGCAGGGACTGTGGTTAACGATAGTTTGACTAGCTTCACTCGAACGCAGGATGGTTGGTTGGACTACTCTTAGTGGACTATTTGGAACTGGAGCTAGGGACATGGATCCATCACTGGTTACCAATAGCTGCGGGTATCATACTAAACAGCAGGCGACCGCGATCAAGAAATTTTGATAGGTGTTCGCGTGTTGCTATTTTTTGTGCAGGCTTAGGTTACGTCACAAATCGACCACTAGTAGACTCACGGTCCTCGCTCAAACTTGCTATTACTTTACATTAAAAAAAATATAGCATTGGTGACAACAGTAACAAATGGAACGATTATTTTTTAATCCTCATTCCCTTGGAAACATTTCTTGGAATTGCTCCTGAATTTTCCGAATCCACCACTTTGTAGGAAATCCATGGCATCCTCTCTTGTAGTGCTATGGATGGGCTATACCTTATATGCCAAAAATGTATACAAATCCTAACGGTACCACTGGACTTGTAAGGGATATTGAATGATAAGGGTGCACAGAAAGAACTAGTTCTGCTGGGCAAATAGAGAAAGCCTAGATTGTCTTCTGACTGACTGACTAAGTCACACTCACTGACTCCCCAAGTTACACTATTATAAGGTGTCTCTGACTGACTAAGTCACTGACTGAGTCACTGCCCGACTTACCGAGTCACTGACTGACTGATTGAGTGTCTGAGTCACTGACTGACTACGTGACTGACTGAGTCAATGACTGACTGAGTCACTAACAGACTAACCAACTGACAGGGCAAGTTTGATCAAGGACCGTAGTCAACCATAGTTCTCTGATCAAACGCATGCTAGTCGACGATAGTTGGACTTGTCTAGTCGACTATTCAGGACCTCCCTACTATGGTCTGTCGCACAATGATTTATAGCTGGTTATCAATAGCAATGTTCATTGCAAAGTGCAGAGGGGACCAACTATCAACAAAAATGGCGGAACAACGAAACTGCGAGTGTTAACTTTCATTTTCATTGCATACTTTTTCCATGTTATACACTTCTGTCATTGTCATACTTTTCTTAGCATTGTACAATAATTATGGCGATCATGTATGATGTCCTAAACTACACAATCACTAGTTTTGTGTAAATAAACAGAAACATCAAGTGTTGAAAAATTGTGCGACCGTCATTTCGTTGACATGGCAATAGTTTACCCAGAGTCGTCCGCACTTCAACTTCAGTGTGCATGCGCTAGGTACGACACAAACCAACCGCTAGTTAACCATTGGTCCTTGATCAAATGTTCTCATTACTTTGAACTGAGAATTTCAGGTGCAGCTCAATTACGCAAGCCTAGTCTTGTTTATGAAAAATCAAAACAAAAATTTAAAAACTAGCTTGGTACCAATTCGGAGAACGGCGAACTCCGGCACGTGGTTGGTGCTTCCCTCGATGATGTAAGACAGGATTGGGCTGTTGTTGTCGGCACCATGGCTCCAGCTCACGTTGGCCGCTACGCCGTTGACCTCCACGCTGATGCCTGCTGGGGGGCCCGGCCTACCCCTGATGGTGACCATCGCTGAGGCGGTCACGTCGTCGATGGCGGTGACGGCCTGGCAGGTGTACTCCCCGCCCAGCTCCAGAGTAGCGTCCTTGATGTGCAGCTCGCTCACCTCACCCGTGCTAATCTGTGACAAATGGAGATGAGAGCGTTCTTAAACGTTATTCATAAATACTTAAGACAGTTTACCCATACCTATTGGTCGAGAGCCCGCCACATGGCCGGTCTTAAACGGATGATTAAGACATGGTTGGCTGGTCTTAAACACTTTTCCAGTGCCACATGACTTATTAGGACTTTCATGAAATTTCATAGTCCGAAATTCACACTACATCAGCCCAGCTGCATTTTGCGCAACATCGCCTAGCCATGCGCGTCAGCAAAATGAAAAAGTTTATTTTTTCAATGAAAGATGATGTCTTAAAACCGCCATACTCACTGGTTTGACTGGAATCCTGCTGCTGCACAATTTTAACGTGTTTTTAGATGGAGTAACGATAGAGAATAAGCTTTATGTGGCCTCTCTGGACTCCCATATATATATTTGCACTAAGTTTAGTCGCGCACCATTTGCAGTCATCAGCCGACATTTGAAGAAGACAAAAAAAAAAAATAAACCTGCGTCACCACACCACTTTTTCGGCAAGCTCCATACCAGAAACCGGAGACTTCTTTTTTTTGGCCTTATCAGGGGGTACTTGTGCATGGAGCCCATAGGAGGAAATGAGAACCAGGGTTTAAATATTCCGCAGTTGACAATGAGTCTCTGATCACAAACACAGAACTATACCTACCTCAGGTTGCTCGTAGTTGGGTGAATTTATGTCAATCTGCTGGTCGTCCTTCGTCCAGACGTACCGCAAGTCAAAGTAGGGATCGTATGACGCTTGGCACCTCAGTATGCCCGTTTGTCCTTCGTCGATCGTCAGGTCAGTAGGCGCTTCAGTGATGCTTGTTCCATCTGAGAGGGTTATGACGACAAATAAGACCAGGCTTTGATAAGGTGAACACTAAATTAAAGCCTGTAGAATCCTTCAAAACCTAACACTGTGTACTATGGGCTCGGTGCACCAACAAAGAGGGCGCGTTTTTACCTCTTTTGAGAGCTCTGTGGACGGGAAGCACAGCGTGCCCACACTGTACTGTATTTGTTCGTTGCGCGAAGTACGTACGACTTCCTGAATGTGCAAAAGCTATAGCCACTGCGTCTTCGCGTGAATGTCGGGCAGCGTCGGCGCGCAAATACATTCGAATTCAACTTGCGATAGTCTCCGAGACTAATCCCCGCCTCCTGCAACTTTGGATACATTCGAAATACGCAGTGTATGGATCGGGACCAGTCTAGGTCACCCCCAACTTTCTGGCCGTTGATGGGGTTTCTTGTGCCCGGAGCACATAGTTAGTCAAAGTAAAAAGTCAAGTTTGTCATGAAGCTAATACGGCTCTTCAGGCTGGCATTTATCTCCGGTTTCCACGACATTTATTGGCAGTGTAATCAACAGCTAATGCAGGTATCCATTTACAGTTCTGGGCGGAGAGAGAAATGGGGTGAGGCAGGCAGCTTTACCCAAGGACACAACACATGGCCAGCAGCAGGATTCAAACCCCCGACCTTCTGATCGCGAGTCATGAATCCTAACCACTAGCCACACAACTGCATCTTTAGGTAAAGATTTACAAGCAATACAAAACAACTGGGACTATTTCAAATTCGCCCCTGGATGGAATGCCAGTCCATTGCAGGTTACTCCCAGCTAATGCTGGTACCCATTTACACCCCTGGGTGGAGAGAGGCAAATGGACGTGAAGTAGCTTGCTGAAGGACACAGCATATGGCCAGCAGCTGGATTCGAACCCCTGATGACCCCCGAGCCCAATTTCATGGCTCTGCTAAACAAAGAATTCCCTGCTAATTCCATTTTGTGCTAACTGTGCTAGCATTAAAAATTAGGTGCTAACCCCATAAGCAGAGAATCCTTAGTTTAGTTACGGAGTATACGCATGCGCATATAGTCAAAATACCTCGCTGATCTGTGAAATACGCTTAACCCTTTCCTTATCATGGGCGACTTTTGTCGACAAGAAGAACCCCCCTGCTGGTTCCCACGGGTGACTTTAGTCGACCAGGAAACCACACACAGAACACCCTCAACACAGATATATTCACTACTTTTCAGAAAGGCGGCATGTTGATATGTTTGCCGCCCATACATCAACCATATACCAGCTGAAAGAGTGTTTTCGGATCGTTCTAATGGTGTAGTTTATTCATAGTGTGGCCATTACAAAAAAATGAGAAAAGTGCTTCAGAAGTATCCACTCACAAATTGAGGTATGGAGTGCCATTCAGTCATGTGGTGAAATGGCTTGCAGTTTGATAAATGGAACCTGATGATAACTTTCTTATATTTACACATATGGACTTCATTTTTACATCACATAAAAGAGTAAGGTTCGAGGAACAAACTTTACACACAACACCTATGATTTAAATCACTCCTTGGCAGTGAAAATCTAGGTTGAAAAAAGTGAGTTTTGGACGTGTGGCCATTTTGTTCACGCTCTAGTGATTTCCGCATGACTGAGCAAACAATTTGGTCCTGGGGAGAGCCAAGTCAATAAACAATGTGGTAATGAAAGGGTTAACGTAAGCACTGAATTTTCTGCTATAGTAAGCAGAGATTTTTCATTAACGGTAAGCAGAGACAAGAAATCTGGCCTTGATCATGAGTAACACACCCTAATCTCATGGCCACGCTCTCCTTATACAATAGACAAAAAAATGGGGTATCAAGCAGCAAGCAGCCATGTAAATAATAAAAGGGGGAGTCAGGTTGGCGTAGCGGTACTTTCCTCGCCTTCCACCGCTGTGTCCCAGGTTCGAATCCCGCCCGGGCCAATATATGGATTGGGTTTGTCAGTCCCTACCTGATTCCGTGGGTTTTCCTCGGAATATTCCTCTGGGCTTTTCCTCCCACCTCTAAAACTGTAATTTCTTTTCATTGTATTCTCTCTACAGGTTTCTTCAGGCTTTCGAGCTACAGTGCTTAGGGTGCTTTTGAGGAATCCTTGGTTTCATTACCAGAAAGAAATAAAATAAAGACGAATTGACCAATGTGCACTGCTCACCTCTTACAACAATACTTCCAGTACTGGAGCCCACGCCTATGCTGTTGGTCGCTTCGCACGTATACTCCCCAGCGTCCGAATCCACCACGTCCGTGATCAAGAGATTACCGTCGTCCTGGACGGTGTAGTGACCGTCGCTAGTGATCCGCTGGTCACCCTTGAACCACCTGATGGTCGGGGTTGGTGCGGCCTCGGGCTGGCATAGGATGGTGACTGTGCCGTCGCGGGGTGCTGCCTGGTTCTGCTCCAGCCCGGTGCTGAACCAAGGCTTCATGGCTGTCAAGGAAGATCCAAGTAATAATTTATTTCGTCCCTTGCTTAGTACATTGGAATGCAAGCCACGTGGCTAAATCCCAACTAACAATTAGTACCTGTACTACAATGTATTACATTGTATTTCTTACGTGATGAATCCTTATTGAGGTTGTGGAATGCTCAACGACATTTCCGTCATTTTTCGGGTATATGTAGCCTAAGGTGTGATGAAACAAAAACGACTATTGTTTCTGTCATAAGATGAGTACAAAAGGTACTTTTGAGAGCTATTTTTCAGGTCCTGTTTCGACCCGAACGTGCAATTTGTGTAAAAGTCGTCGTTACGGGCAGCAAACAAAACACACTAAATCGTGACGTATTAAACAGGACTCGTTTATGCTACTCTGCATCGGGAGTCCTGTTTATTACGTCACGATTTACTGTGTTTTGTTTGCTGCCCGCAACGACGACTTTTACACAAATTGCACGTTCGGGTCGAAACAGGCATGACAGGACTTGAAAAACAGCTCTCAAAAGTACCTTTTGTACTCATCTTATGACAGAAACAATAGTCGTTTTTATTTCATCACACCTTAGGCTACATATACCCGAAAAATGACGGAAATGTCTTCGAGCATTCCACAACCTCTTTAAAACCAAAGAGTGCTCAGGCATGCAACTGGGAATTTAGAAAAAAAAACGAGGAAACTCCAAACCACACAAGACTTTGTACAGTGTTTTTCAATTTGTAATGGCATTCATGAGAAGTAAAAAAAACGAGGAAATCGGCGGATCCGAAGAAAAATTGCATGCCTGAGTGCTCTGGCAGTTTTGGCTTTCAGTCCCTACCTGATTCAGTGGGTTTTCTCCAGAGATAGTTCTCAGGAGTATTCCTTCCACCTTGAACACTTAACAGAGATGAAACTGGCATATGGCCAAAAAATCGGAAAATATGCCGAAGAAAAATATGTGTCCGAAATCCGGGCCGCGCTGCATTACACACAATCGTACATCCATGTACAATACACTTCATGCCCAATTTCCGGACATCTTTTCCTGCTTTATTTTCGATTCAAGCAAAATTTTACGATGAAAAAAATGGTCTGTTTTCATTGCATAAAATGCCCAAATTACAGTTAGAGTAATGGAGTCATCAATACAGAATTACTTGAGAAAGTCTAGGGAAAAGTCCGAAAGACAAGGGCACCGTCCATGGTTCCTTCCTCCATGGTCCATTCAACCACACACCACCACTAGGCCTACTCCACTTGCATTCATACGTGGGGAAAAATCAGGAATTGTCGTCTTTCTCTTCTAACAAATGGCAAATGCCTGTGAAATGTTTCGCTAATGCTCTCTTCGCTATCCTCGAGATAATCATCACGATTTTTAAAGCATTGCATTTTGTATAACTATATTTGAAACCTCCGAAAATCGCACAACACAATGATTTTATCCACTGGATCGTTCACAAGGCTACCCGTTCCCGACCGGCCATGTGCTAGCGGACGGCACGGTGCGGTACGTACGCTGGTACCATTGCATATTCGCACGCACGTGCGACACAGTGATTTTCCCATGTCGCCTGTCAATGTTTAACCTTTTGTCCAGCCGGAGAAGGCGCCGATTAGTATTATACCCTGTGTTTCTACCGTTGAAACACTCCAATAACGACTGGTGAAAGAGATTAAAACTACGTTCTCGATGATTTTAACGTGCCATTTCCATCAACTTTTCAAAAACTTTTCTTCGAAATTATGATTGAAATAAAATGACATTTTGTGAGAAAAATCCTTACAAAATCAAATTTTGTGGGACACACTGTAAAAAAATCGGAAATTTCGTTGGAAAATTCAAAAAGTCGGTTTTCCGATTAAAATCGGAAAAGTTTCATCTCTGACTTAACTTCCTTTCTTATCTTCTACTAAAGACTAAAAAAAAGTTGACACTTTTTGTCAGCTTTCTCAGCTGAAAGCCAAATAAAATCAATGTTCTTTTCTGCAACTGCTTCGAACAGTATAGTTGGTAAAAATTCTTGAAAAAAAAATAAGGCCCCTAATCTCAGAAAACTAGTGAGGCATTTACCGAGTACAGTCAGCTGTCCAGTGGTGTAGATTTCCCCATGATCGTTGCTGGCCACACACTGGTACATCCCTGTATCTGCCACCGTCAGGTTCTTGATAGTCAGCGTCTTCAGACCGTTGCTGAGCTGGTGTCTGGGCAAGTCCACGATCTCCACAACGTTGCGATACCACTTGTAGGTCAGGTCGTCGGGGCTTTCGGCTTCGCACTCCCAGATCGCGTCCTCGTAGATATTTCCCTCCGTGTCTGCGATTTCCTGGACCCACAAAGGCGGCACTGGAACAAGATAAACAGAGCGCAATGTTCATCCAAAATAGTAGTATGGTCTGGTCCAAGCATAGAACTAGATTAAATTACTAGAGCGTTAACTCTTCATTCTTGCGCGCGGATACGCTTTGAAGCCGTCCTGGGCGCAGACATTTTGAAGTCATGTGCGTGTTTGTAGAACACAATGAAATTAGATGGATTGAACTTTGAAAGCCTACTCTACATGCAAAGCGCTAGTAGAACGTATACGCAAACAACTTAAAGTGCGTCACGACGGTTTAAAGAACAGTCACGGTGAATCATCTGCAGCGGATACGCGCACGCGTTTCGCTGCATGCGTAGAGCAAAATGAAAGGCTTGTTTGCTGATTGTGCATTTCGTTTTTGGGCTTATTGGCTTCGATGACGCACTGGTATGGAATACAAATGCAGATATGCAAACAGCCGTACAAAAAAAACATACACAATTTGGAGTTCTCCAATTTGGAGTTCTCCATAGGCATGACTTTGTACACGAGTCAGTGCTCTAGTTATTTAATATAACTCTATGGTTCCAAGCCAATATGGATCATCAAGCCGGCATTTATCTCTGGTTTCTGTGGCATGAAACGAGTGAGAGTATACTGGACACAACACAAGGCTAGCAGCTGGATTAGAACCCCAGACCCTCTGACCACGAGTCACAAACCCTAACCACTAGGCCGCGTTCTCTCTGTTAGGCCAAAAAAAAAAATAAGTCGGCCTCTGGTCAGCGCGTGCGTCGATTTTAATCATGCGCGTCAATCTTTTTTTTCCCAAAATGTTCCGCGGTAGCTCCAACAGCGCCCTCTATTTCCGCACCTCCTCAATTTTTTTTTACCAAAGAGCAGCACCAAGGAATGGGAAATTGCACCAAGGCAATTGATCGAAAGCACCAAGGCAAATTATGGAGGACACCAATGTACATGAGGACACCAAAAAAGCAAAATAGTACCCCCTTGTCTGTACAATCCAAGCTTGGAAAAAAAAAAAAAAAGCCGCGTGGCCGCGTCAATTCCGGAACTTTGGTCTGACCAGAGACCTAAAAATTTTTTTTTTTTGGCCTTAAACTCAAATCCCTGAGGGAAAACTTGCAAGGAACCGGTAAAGTGTAGGAACTTCAATTATTTGAGGTTCTCACCACTGTTTTTTTTTGTTGCTTTAACCCTAATTCCCTTATATCTTTTTACTAAGTACTGAACCAACTCCACCAAAATCTTGTCTTCAAAATGACCCACCGTTCACTACGACATTTCCCGATGAGCTGCCGCCACCCTCTTCAGTGTAGCACTCATACTCCCCTGCATCGCCAACCTGGATGTTCTTGAGCACCAGCAGCTGGTTATCCTTCTTGAGCTCGTACAGGGCCGGCAGCCCAGCACCTTGTGGGGTCTTTCTGCGCCACTGGATGCTCGGGGCAGGACTTGGGGGATAAAAGGTCAAAAGTCAAAGGTCAACAGGGTCATGAAGATACATCCAAAGTGTGGTTACGGATCGACTGTCTGTGCTTTTACTCTTCCGACAAATTTTGACTGTTGAGAGCTTTACATCAACAGAAAAATTATTTGTTGTATTAACCCTAACCCCTTGGGTTTTTTTAACAAGAAAATATCCCGAATCTGCCAAAATCCATCAATTGTGCCATGCAAAAAATTTTTCGGTGGCCAGTGAGTCCTTTAGAATCCACCATTTAGCCGGAAGAATCTGTTGAGATCCTGAATCTATCAAAGTCCCCCAACTGCTCAATATGGAGGTATCCTGAATCCATCAAGACCCTGAGGTACCGCTAGGCTTACTGTCCTGAATCCATCAAAATCCCCCAGCTTTTTCAATGTGGAGGTATCCTGATTCCGCCGAAATCCTCCCAAACAGGAGTGAGGATTTTGATGGATTTAGGTACGTTAGGGTTAAAGGGAACGTACATCATTGGCTTTTGCTGTAATTTTCAGAAATGAACTATTTGAGGGGTTAGTATAAGAGATCAAACATTGTTACACTGACATGTTTGAAATTTTGTGTCCGAAAATACTGGAAAAACCAAGAAAAACAAAAACGTTCAAGAAGTCTGGTTCCCTGACTCCACTAAAGATAAAATGGAACAATTTATTAATGCCGGAAAATTGTAAGGTAAGGGAACCAGTCTAGCTGGCCTGCACCCGTTCATGAACATGTAACCATTAGCAAACAAAATTTGGACTGAAAAAGGGTAAATTTGGAGCAGTAGTTGAAAAATAGTTAGGTTTTTCCAACGGTGGTTGGCCGACCACCGTTGGAAATGTATACAAATATACAATTTTCTTGAAAATGACTTCACACCAGGTGCCATAATTTTACAGGATGCTTTAGACTGTCATTTACCAACATCCTAGTAAGGTATTTCGTAAAAACTTGGTAGTTTTATTTTTCAATGTTTGCAACTGTTGTATATTCCCTTTAAGGTGGTGGAACTGATTTGTAACTGATTGAGATTAGTGGACATCAACATATAATCATGGCAACACTACTTGAGGAAATTCGGCCAAAAAGTTAGGTTGCTTTTGCCTAGCTAGTAGACTGGCTCCTAGTCCCCGCATTTTTTATTCTAAAATGGGGCGGACACCGGTCTAGTCGTTGTCCTTTGGACTTCAAAAATGGGGTCCGGCAACTAGCGGTGAAGCTGGCATACATTGCCCGGAATTCCGGGTAATGTACATTAACTATATGCATCACGAGCGTAGGTCTGAAACCCGCCTCGCCTCGTGAATTCTAAAATCACAACGGTAGTGTTTCACCTGCATTGCAACTAGCCTGTTGCAAATGGCAATAGGCCTGGCCACGATTGTGAAATTTTGTGAGCAAAGTAGCTCACTATCCACTCCATTCACAAGTACCCCCTCACCGGCAAACAAAGTACAGTTGGGGGTGACCAACCGACGCCATCTTGCCTGACTGCAATTTTGCCGCGACGCGCAGCCGTACCTCTGCGTGTATACAGTACAAATCCCATGGTGTACGTGCGTCACACACAAGGAACGGTGCGCGACAACCAGCTAAATGTCCCGCCCATGGGATGTCGTCGCTAGGTAAAAGGGCGCCCTCTTTCGTTGGCGCTCCGAGCTCATGGAGTGAAAGATGTGCCTTTACTGCACATTTCCAATAATGCACCCAATACCAGTCCATCCACGAAAAAGTATGTTTCTCAAAACAAAATTAACTAAATACACCGACTACTCACTTGCCGAAGAAGAAGCAACTGAGTGTAGTTTCTTCCGTGTTGACTAGCACCGATTGGTCCTCCACCGCGATGGCAGGATCAGGACCAAACTCGGCTTCCCCAGCTACAAAAAACAAATCAAGACATGAAATCAAATCATTGAAAACATGATATGACATCAGATAATGACCAATTTTTTTTTACTGGACTGTGGTAAAGTGAGAACGTGATAACATGCACTGGCTGTTTTTATACACAGGCACAGCTGACGGGTTAAAACGTCAAGATTGCTCGACTCACCTCCGGGTGACGTCTAAACATGCTAATCCCTCGTACATACACACACACAGTCAGGTTTACGTTACATACCTTGTGTGGACATTCCTTTGTTTTCGTGTAGTTGAGAAAACTCGGTACAAAAAATAACTTTACTTAAACTGTGAAAACTCTTTTAACCCAATTTATTTTCTATGATTCCCTATAGTGTTTCTCTTCATTCTGCTACAAATAAAACTAACCCAAAAATGCCTCTAAACCTGTTTTCCAGAAAGGGCAAAACGTTATGTGGACACGGCTTAGTCCACATAACGTTAACACAACCTGCATTATGTGGACCTCTTTTGTTCACAAGTCCACATAGGGAATGTAAGACAAACTCACACACCCACGTGTGTAAATGCCGGCAATCGTGGACGCCCCATTGTCCCTAATCCTCTTTCCTTTGTTTGTACTCAAACTTTTTAGCGACAGCTCTCATTGGTTTTGTACACGATTTGAGATCGTGGACGTTCGGTCAATCGTGGACGTATTGTTTGCGCCCCAATTCTTTTGTCCTACGTCCACGATTGCCAGTGTTTACATACTCACAATGTCACGCAAGTCTGCGGAGGCAGACCGTGTGTTGTTCTATAACAGGCCGTTGTGCAAGGCCTGTTGTACAATTTACGCTCCAGTGCACACTCCTGAGTACTGTAACATATGAGGTTTCGGCAAGAAATACAGTACAAATACTGTTGATATGACTCTTGCGAATAGGTATTTCTGGTGTTAGGTTGTATATATATCAGAAGTTAGCTGGATAGAAACTTTTGCCTTTTGCGAAAAATAATGCCAGCCCTAAGTGGCTAACACCTACTTGCAGGCCCGGCTGTGACCTGGAACGAGTCGCTGAACTTTTGGGCTGAGGAACCACCGCCGGTGTCGATGGTGTTGAGAGCGAAGCATTTGTACTCCCCGCCATCAGATTCCTGGAAGTTGGCAAAGCAGAGCTGTCCGTCCATTGTCGTGTGGGTGCGCGACGTCTGCAGAATGGGGAACGGACCGTTGTACCAGAAAACGTTGACTCCTGTGGGTATCAACACCAGACAACGGGTGAGCAACACACAGTACAGCCAACAGAAATATTTGTCACCTTTCAGAGTCTGTTTTATGAGATTTGAAGGTTTGCATGGTGGAAAGATACTAAGACAAGATAAGTTTGCTGTAGCACCACGTGAGTAAATCTCTTTTGTGAGTATGTGTGGTTCTAAAACCGCACCGCACCCATCCTTATAACATCGCATCATCGTTGGAATCCCTCATTCTCCTGACGACGGGCAGAGCATTCTGTTCGAAACGTTGAGTCCCTCCGGTTCTTTTCAGAACCACACATACTCACAAAAGAGATTTATTCACATGGTGCTACCGCAAACTTATCTTGTCTTAGAGTCTGTTCTGTTAGGCATGACATAGCTTGCGAGGTCGTCGAGACCTCTTCATTCAGTGTTGTGGCTAAACTCCTCCACTCAGAGTACAACCAATGACTGTGAATTTATAAAAGCACCAACAAGGTTTGAGGGGATGAAGTGCGAAATTACAGGTCCCGAGGGATTGATCAATGTGAAATATCAGGAACTAGTCACAGCTAAGGCCAAAAAAAAAAGTCTCCGGTTTCTGGTATGGAGCTTGCCCAAAAAGTGGTGTGGCGACGCGGCTTTTTTTTTTTTTTTTACCTGATTTTTTTGCTTCAAATGTCGGCTGATGACTGCAAATGGTGCCCGACTAAACTTAGTGCAAATATATGGGAGTCCAGAGAGGCCACATAAAGCTTATTCTCGACCATAACCCAATCTAAAAACACGTTAAAATTGTGCAGCAGCAGGATTCAGGTCAAACCAGTGAGTTTGGCGGTTTTGAGACATCATCTTTCATTGAAAAAAAAACTTTTTCATTTTGCCGACGCGCATGGCTACGGCGACGTGCGCGCATACCAGAAACCGGAGACTTTTTTTTTGGCCTAAGATCTTAGTAATTTTGCACTTCTTCTCTGCAATACGTAACGATTTGCTATTTTACTCCTCGGAGGCTCACACTTAATAAGATAAATGCTCACCTGGGAAGTGAGCTGGTACGTCACACGATATACACATCCCCGTGTTGAGTGGTATTGTCATGTCTGGTGGGCCTGCCTCCGGAAAATAGTTAAGGACTGTAAAAAAGAAAAGAATTAAAAAGACCAATAAGATGAATTGTAAAAAATTATGCAGACATGATCACAGCACATTCCGATTTGCACTTTTGCACTTCTAAATGAAGACAGCTAAATTTTAACATTAATCCTAGCTTGCTACTGAGTTTTATCAAAGGGAATGTACATCATTGGCTTTTGCTGTCATTTTCAGAAATGAACTATTTGAGGGGTTAGTATAATAGATCAAATATTGTTACACTGACATTTTTGAAGTTTTGTGTTCGAAAAGGTTGGAAAAACCAAGAAAAACAAAAATGTTCAAGTAGTCTGGTTCCCTGACTCCACAAAAGATAAAATGGGTCAATTTATAGATGCCAGAAAATTGTAAGGTAAGGGAACCAGTCTAGCTGGCCTGCACCTGTTCGTGAACATGTAACCAATAGCAAACAAAACTTGGACTAGAAAAAAATGGTAAATTTGGAGCAGTAGTGGAAAAATAGTCAGGTTTTTCCAACGGTGGTCGGCCGACCACCGTTGGAAAAATGTATACAAAAATATCATTTTCTTGAAAATGACTTCACACCAGGTGCGATAATTTTACAGGATGCTTTCGACTGTCATTTACCAACATCCTAGAAAGGTATTTCTTAAAAACTTGATAGTTTCATTTTTCGATGTTTGCAAATGTTGTACCGTATATTCCCTTTAAGAAGAATACCAAGTCCATCAAAAAATCCATCACTGACTCTGCTTTGAACACACAGTGCCTCGGAACCAAATCTGTCGAATCCCACCACTGGCGGATTTTCATGGACTTGGCACACACGGGCTTTACTGCCACGGTTCCCCCAAATGGCAGAATGGATTTTGATGGAGTTGACCTTTGTGACCTTTGACCTCTTGATTTCTCTAAACTTTATCCACTGCCACTTTCTAAGTTTTTTGACAAGGCATTCAAAGAAGACTTTTTTGGGGTTACAAATCATCACTGGGAAGTCAGGTTGGCGTAGCGGTGCTTTCCTCGCCTTCCACATTTGTGACCCGGGTTCGAATCCCGCCTGGGCCAATATGTGGATTGGGTTTTCAGTCCCTACCTGATTCCGTGGGTTTTCCTCAGAACATTCCCCTGGGATTTTCCTCCCACATCTAAAACTGTCATTTCTTCTCATTGTCTTCTCTCTACAGGTTTCTTCCGGCTTTTGAGCTACAGTGCTTAGGACACTTTTGAGGAATCCTTGGTTTCATTACCGGAAAGCAATGAAATAAATAAATAAATAAATAAAATCACCATTTTCAACATGAGATGGGACTCGTCAAGAACGAGGTTACATCTTTCCGAACCAGCCAACCGATCCCGTAAGCTCGGCGGTCAAGTGGTAAGACCTCTGCGCTAGAAAGCAGGAGGTCGTGGGTTCGAGTCCCACACAAGTTTTTTTTTTTCCAACTTTCACTCGGGGGTAACACACTGAGTATACAGTGTATATACGTCAGTGAAGGGCAAAACTAAAATTGAATTTCCATCGTTCTGTGAGCAATCCTTTCTAAATTATTCAGCTACCGGTAGGCACATTTACTCACAAGCAAATTCCAATTTGGCCTTCTTGCTCATGACGGTTCCGATCTGGTTGGAGGGAAAACACTGGTAGCTGCCCATGTCCACCGTCCTGTCCGGCTCCGTGATGGTCAGCCTGCCTCGGGACAGCTGGTACCTGGGCTCAGCGTCGGTGTCAACTTCTTGGCCGTCGCGTCGCCAGGTGTAGGTGGGTCTCTCGTCTCCGTCCGCCTCGCAGTCCAGGTACAAGGAATCGATGTTGCTGTCCTCATTGAAGACTGTGTCAAGGGGCTCCTTCACTATGTGAGGCCCAGAGCCAGCCAGTCCCGTGTATTCTGAAATTCAGGGGGAAACTTGGTCACGTCATTGGAGAATTTTTCTAACCATTTGTAGACCGGTTCATACAAAGCCAATTTGATGTAACAAAACGTTCTCGGAAAGGGGTTGGAGTCGAACCCCTAACCCTCCCAATGGATCCGAGTTGGCCCTACCTTACCCAGATACAACACAAGAAAAGGGGCTAGCTTCGAACCCATAACCGTCAGATCTCAATGGATGGGGTGAGTTGGCCTTACCTAAAGATAAAAACAACACATTCTTGGACGAGGGGTGGGTTCGAACCTGTAACCCTCCCAATGGTTAGGCGAGTTGGCCCTGCCTTACCCACCACAGACACACCACAAGGAAAGAGGCTAGCTTCGAACCCATAACCCTCAGATCTCAATGGATGGGGGGCGTTGGCCCTAAAGATAGAAACAACACATTCTTGGACAAGGGGTGGGTTCGAACCTGTAACCCTCCCAATGGTTAGGCGAGTTGGCCCTGCCTTACCCACCACAGACACACCACAAGGAAAGGGGTGAGATTCGAACCCATAACCTTCCGATCTAATTGGATGGGGTGAGTTGGCCTGGTCTTACCTATAGAAAAAACACATTCTTGGACGGGGGTGGATTCGAACCCGTAACCCTCCCATTCCAATAAGATAGAATGGGTTGGCCCTGGTTTACTCACAGACACTTAACAAGGAAAGGCATTGCATTCAAACCTATAACCCTCCAATCTAAATAGATGGGGTGAGTTGCCCAGCTTTGCCCACAGACACAACACAAGGAACATGGTTGGAATCGAACCATAACCCTCAATTCACAGCACCAACACGTCACGCACAACAAACTCACCCTGTGCATTGCATCCAATGACTGCAACAAGGAGAAGCAGTAGTCGCCTCATGTTGCCACGCCAACGTACACTACAAACTGAAGACGATCGGAGATTATTGCTCAATGCCTGCAATAAGGAAAACAAAATCGAATAACACAGTTACGTTATGTAAATTGCAACTTTCCACATACAGGTACCGTACCCTACATCGAGGCTGAGGTTTTGCAAGCAAACATTAGGCCAAAAAAAAAGTCTCCGGTTTCTGGTATGCGCGCGCGTCGCCGTAGCCATGCGCGTCGGCAAAATGAAAAAATTTTTTTTTCAATGAAAGATGATGTCTCAAAACCGCCAAACTCACTGGTTTGACTGGAATCCTGCTGCTGCACAATTTTAACGTGTTTTTGGATGGGGTTATGATCGAGAATAAGCTTTATGTGGCCTCTCTGGACTCCCATATATCTGCAGTAAGTTTAGTCGGGCACCATTTGCAGTCATCAGCCGACATTTGAGGCAAAAAAAATCAGGTAAAAAAAACCAAAAAGCCGCGTCGCCGCACCACTTTTTGGGCAAGCTCCAAACCAGAAACCCGAGACTTTTTTTTTTTGGCCTTGGACTAGTTTTTGCAATCGGAGAATCTAGTTATTTTACATAATTTGTAAATGTTTTCAAACCAAATAACAGTTATCTGATATCAGAGGAAGTTCCTACTCAGCTCACAGTCATGCCAATAATAAGTGAGAAGTGATCAGGTGTCACATGCAACACCCTCCCAATGACTGGGTATAGTTTGCAGAATTCAATGACCATTCGGCCTGTACGAAAACACTTCAGAGCTGTTGAAAAAAGTGTGTAGGAATTTTCTTTAATAAGTTGAATGGGCAGGCTTTTACCAAGAAGACCACTAGCAAGTGAATATAGTTATATTCAGAGACCTTGGAGCAAGTCGAAGGATGTTTCAGTGTCACAAAAAAATGGAAGACCTAATTTTTTTAAGGATGGTTTCGAATACCCAGGTTTCCAAAATTAAAATCGAAAAATGGAAAATTCAAACTGAATTTTAAAAACATCTGGACTTGATCTGGTCTATTGTTACAAAAAAATATGGAATAAACAGGATTCATTATAATTGTTTTTTAAGGAATTTTTTATCTATTATAAGATGGAATTTTTGCGCCGGGGTGATATAAACCAAATTAGGTTTTGCCCTTCACCGACGTTTTTAAACACTGTATACTCAGTGTGTTACCTCCCGAGTGAAAGTTGAAAAAATATCACTCGGGTGAGACTCGAACCCACGAACTCCTGCTTTCTAGTGCAGATGTCTTACCACTCGACCACCGAGCTAACGGGATCGGTTGGCCGGTTCGAATCTGATGTACATAGCAGCTGAGTATGTTTAAAAACGTCGGTGAAGAGCAAAACCTAATTTGAAATTTTTATCAAAACTGCTGGAGGCTTCCTGAGTTCTAAGAAAAAAAAATAAGCAGGAACTTGAAATCTTGACTATGCTTCAATTTTTGTTGCTGTTGTTGGTTGATTTTAATTATTTTTATTTACATGCATTTATTTTGTTTTTGTATAATTAAACAAAGATCAATTGCGCTAGTCCTTGCTTTGCTACACTCTCAAAACCACTTCAATATTTGCATATTTTGCTTTTAAAGTCAAAGGCCTGTAGCTAGGGTTAATACATTTACTCTTAACCACTTCGCACCGGGATTATTTTTGCCGAAAAATCCGTTTTTCGCAAAAGGCAAAATATCTGATACCGGTATATACACGTACAGCCAAACGCCACAAATACCGATTCGCAAGAGTCGTTTCAACAGTATTTGTACCATACATTGTATTTCTTGCCGAAAACTCATATTTTTCAATACTCCGGGTGTGCACTGGAGCGTAAATTGTAGAATAGGCCATAAACACAACGGCCAATTCAAGACAGTCTCCACAGACTTCACGGACTTTGTGTGTGTACAAAAGGAACAAGGGATTAGCGTGTTTAGACATCACCCCCGAGGCCAGTCGAGGCAATCTTGACGTTTAACCCACCATCATGTGCCTTTGTATAAAAACAGCCAGTGCGTGTTATCACGTCCTCCGACGCGAACTGGTTAAACACATTACTTCCTGCCCCAAACCATCCTGCCCGTAATTCTTAATTTTGCCCAAAAACTGCCACATGTAATGCACTGTACATGTACAATTTGTGTAGCACACTATAAATACAGGTTGTAATGGATAGATACAAAGTTTGGTTCGGCATTCTAGATACAAAATGTACACGTTCTTTGCATACTCACAATTATAGCAAAGAATACCCAAGATGTTGGATTTGAAGAAAATAAAGGTACAAAAAGTGTTCAATACAAAAATTGGTAATTTCAACCGTTTCAACTGAAAAAATTACCTACCAAAAAAAACCCCAAATAAATAAAAATAAACCTTTTTTAAAGTTTAAAACATAAAATCCATTTCACAATATTTCCACTTACAGACAATCCAAACAGTAAGTCTAGACTTCTGACATTTTTATTTTCCGTCTCAGCTAACACGTGAAAAAAAAAAATTGGGCAAAACAGAAGCATGCTGCAATTCCCATCTCAAGAGACATGTCTGGTCCCGGACTCGGTGTCCCAATGCGTACGCATATCTGAATGGACTCCGTACTGGTTTATTAAATGGGCCTAGGGAAATTGATTGCGCAAAGGCGAGGCCAGAGTCGGCATAAAGGCTAGCTGCATGTTTATTTTCTCTTGCCAAACTGCACTGGCTGAGGACAGCATGGCCTTAGGGCGAATATATTATGAAGACGGCCAAATGGCATTTTACATGTTAAGCATAGAAACCAGTTTACATGAAGTAAAGGGGGAAAATATAATTTTGGGGGATGCTCAGGATGGTCAATATGTGCAGAAATTAGCATGTTTGTTAAAATCAGGGTAGTAATAAACAAAACACCGGCCACTGAATCTGTCATGTCAGAAAACATAAAATTGGACACCAAAAGCATTCAAATATTGCATTTGCTGGACCATGTTGATAAAGTTGACCACAGAGGTCAAATTCATGTGACCTTTCCATGTTTCTGTCCATAGTGACATTTGTTTGGAGATAGGTATGGCAAACGATACAATTTTTTTATATTTCTAATGACCAGGGGCCAATTTCATAGAGCTGCTTAAGCACAAAATTTGCTTAAGCACAAAAACGTCTTGCTTAATAAAATCAGGTTACCGGCCAAAACTCCATGCGATTGTTATGCTAAGTAAACAACAGCTAAATACCAGTCACAAGCAATGTACATCACATGGAGTTTTGGCCGGTAACCTAATTTTACTAAGCAATGTTTTTTCGTGCTTAAGCAAATTTTCTGCTTAAGCAGCTCTATGAAATTGGGTCCTGACGAGTAATTTGATTTACTTCTTGAAAGAATTGGGATAATTTATAAGTTTGACCCCTGCGTGATCCTGGTTTGACCTTAGTTGGCCCCTAAGAAAGAAACAAAGGGGTAGGTACATATATTAGGAGAACAGAATGTTTTTGTGCTTTGTATATTGTGGGTTTTGACTTCTGCAAAGAAGAAAACTAAGAAACAACATCCTAGACCGGCTTGCCCCACTGTCTATTATTCACTATTCGTTTCATTTTTCAGATGTTTGCAAATGTTGTATACTATATAGTACCACACAAAACTGCAATAGTTTTGGAGCAAATTAAGATTTCTACAGCACCCGAGTTACTTCCATGATGTATTTTCCAACATTTTCCTAGACACAGATTGTTGCATTATGCATGGGCATGGATCAAGTCAAGTTTATAGCACCAAGTGACTGTGTCATATTTTGATGAAAGTGTGCTTTATGGAGTGCCATCATTCTGCAGGTCAACTGCTGTCAGTGGGTGGATGTTTATCCCTAATGGAGGTCCGTCAGTGATTTATGGCGCACTCTGCTGACTCCACATTTCCTGCTACAACTGTCATGACTCCTTGCCCAAATACCACAATGCAACTTCTGTTTTCCATGTAACCCTAGCAGGGTTTTCTCTACTGTTTGTACTTTTTGTTTGTTATTTAACGGGAATGTACATGTACATTTGTACATCATTGGCTTTTGCTGTAATTTTCAGAAATGAACTAATTGAAGAGTTAGTATAATAGATCAAATATTGTTACACTGACATGTTTGAAGTTTTGTGTTTGAAAATGCTGGAAAAACCAAGAACAACAAAAATGTTCAAGTAGTCTGGTTCCCTGACTCCACTAAAGATGAAACGGATCAATTTATTGATGCCGGAAAATTATAAGGTAAGGGAACCAGTCTAGCTGGCCTGCAACCGTTCATGAACATGTAACCAATAGCAAACAAAATTTGAACTGAAAAAAAAAAAATGGTAAATTTGGGGCAGTAGTTGAAAAATACAAAGTATAGTTAGGTTTTTCCAACAGTGGTCGGCCTACAGGTACCGGTACCACCGTTGGAAATTAATACAAAAATACAACTTTTCTTGAAAATGATTTCACACATTTTCTTGAAAATGATTTTTTTGAAAAAAAAAAAATGGTAAATTTGGGGCAGTAGTTGAAAAATACAAAGTATAGTTAGGTTTTTCCAACAGTGGTCGGCCTACAGGTACCGGTACCACCGTTGGAAATTAATACAAAAATACAACTTTTCTTGAAAATGATTTCACACCAGGTGCCATAATTTTACGGGCTGCTTCTTATACTGTCATTTACCAACATCCTAGTAAGGTATTTCGTAAAATTGGGTAGTTTTGTTTTTCGATGTCTGCAAATGTTGTATTCTCTTTAAACGCTGAAGAATTAATTGGAAACCAAATTCAAATTTATCATATTTCAACATTCAACAATGACAACATCTCCCCCTCCCTCCCCCCCCCCAAAAAAAACGGGCTAAAGAGAAATAACTTACTTACATGTAAATTACAATTAGGAGCAAGGATATTCCAAATCAAGAGGGGGAGCAATAGATTGATTTGTAGTCATGTTCTTACTCACGTTCACGTGAACAAAAACAAAAAAAACAGTACGCAAAAACTACAGGGAGGTTAGGTTCATCATTCGTTGAGAGGTGAAATCTATTTTCCGGGAAAATCTGTTCTCCAGGACATGGGCGTCGCCAGGATTTTTTCTAGAGGGGGGCAAAAAAATGTTTTGCCAAAAAATGCTTGTATTTCTCAACACATTCTCGATTTATCAGTTTTAGAGGGGGGCAGGGACATTTTGCCCCCCCCCCCCAACTCATTAAATTTACACCACTTTGTCTTCGCGCCTCTTTTTTTTCTCTTTTTTTTTGGCTTTTCCAGGGGGCGGGGGGGGGGGGGGGGAGGAAGTGCCTCCCTTTGCCCCCCCTCGCGACGCCCATGCTCCAGGAGAACGGAAAAAGTCCCATTAGAACACTCATCCTTCCGTACAATGTAGAAAGCATAGCCTTCAACACTATCATCATTATATGTAACTGGAATACTACAGTACATGAGCTTATTGAGGCGGGAATCCAGACACCTACCTATTACTTCACCCAGCACAGTCCCCCAGCCTGGGGCTAAATCTGTTCGATATACCGTACATGTATATATTTCACATCCCTTGGATCATCTGTTTACGACTGGAAGAAGTAAACAAGATGGAGTGGGGAACTGGATAATTCCATTGAGAGTTATGAGCGAGGGATTCAGACATACGCCTGGAGACATGAGCAGCAATAGCAAGAGAGTGCATGCACCAGAACATATTTTGGGTAGTGAAAGCACCGATAGTAATTTTTTAGGTGAACATATTTTAAACCCTAATGTTATCTACATGTATAATATTATGGCAGTTGTGCGATTAAAATCAAGATTTTTTTTTTTTTTTTTTAATTTCAAGTTTAAATTTTACTATTCGGTTTGGATTATGGAAACTGGATTTACAATGTACATGTACCCAACCTTTCAAAAAAATTACACCTTTCATTTTTTTTTGTGACACGACCTGTAATGAAAATATTTTTCTAAGGCCAAAAAAAAAAAAATATTCGGTCTCTGGTCAGACCAAAGTTCCGAAATTGATGGGGCGACGCGGCTTTTTTTTAACTTTTTTTTTTGCTTTTTTTTCTTTTTTCAAGCTTGGATTGTACAGACAAGGTGGGGTACTATGTTGCTTTTTTTGGTGTCCTCACGAACATTGGTGTCCTCCATAATTTGCCTTGGTGCCCTCGATCATTTGCCTTGGTGCAATTTCCCAATCCTTGGTGCTCTTTGGTAAAAAAAAAAATTGAGGAGGTGCAGCAATAGAGGGCGCTGTTGGATCTACCGCGGAACATTTTGGGAAAAAAAAGGATTGACGCGCATGATTAAGATCGACGCGCGCGCTGACCAGAGACCGACTATTTTTGGGGGGGGGCCTTATCTATAATAATTAATATTAGTTGTGGGATTAAAACCAACATTTTTTTTAAAATTCAGTTTAAATTCCACTATTCGGTTTGGATTATGGTAAATGGATATTTACCAACCTTTCAAAAAAATCACACCTTTCATTTTTCTGTGACACGACCTTTAATGAAAATATCTTTCAAATCCTCTAATTTTGTAAATAGTCTCTCATTGTATTCAGCATTCACTCAGTTCTCTTCTTGGTTCATACATACGGTAGCCTGCCCATTGGACTGATCAGAGAGTTCCCGCCCATGTTTCAACATGACTGACAGGTCCAGAGTGTTTTTGTAAAGGCCCAGTGGTCACTGATTACCTCAAACTACAGGGCACAGTCCATGCGGCACCTCACTCTTCACTTTTTGTTGGAATGACTGTGAGCTGAATGGGAAGCTTCTGGTAAAACCAGATTAATTTGAACCATTATTCGGTTTGAATAAACTTAGGATTTCATAACCGGATTTTTGAAATCTCTGCTTTCTCCCACCACATCATACATGTAATATCCAATGAAATTTCAGTCACTGGATTATTGTGACAGTTAATTAATAATTCAGTTTGACTTTCAGAATATACTGAATATATGAATTTACACACATGAATGCTGTAGCTCTTTTTAGGTGTCAAAGTGGTTCAATATGGTTTTTTTTAAAAGGCAACTTAGCATAACAGCCCGGGGCTCAAAATACCCACCGAATTGATGGAGCAAGTACCGAGATTTAAGTGGTTGTACATAAGTTATCTGTTAATGGACAACTGGGGTGATCTAGTGGGGGTTTTTCACAGACAGCCGACCACATTTTTGGCATCGGATACTCCCATGCATGTATTAAAAATTCAACTGTGATCTTAAATTTTGTTTGCCATTTTTTCCCCCAATTGTCTTGGTTTTCAAATTTTCTAAAAACTCCTTCTGCAATTCAGATTGCAAAACTTGTTTGGCACCATTCTCATTTAAGGCCAAAAAAATAATAAGTCGGTCTCTGGTCAGCGCGCGCGTCAATCTTTTTTTTCTTCAAAATGTTCCGCGGTAGCTCCAACAGCACCCTCTATTGCCGCACCTCCTCAATTTTTTTTACCAAAGAGCACCAAGGAATGGGAAATTGCACCAAGGCAAATGATCGAGAGCACCAAGGCAAATTCATCATTTGGCTCGTGATGTCGTCACAACCCAGGCGACCCCGACATGATGATGATGATGAAGGCAAATTATGGAGGACACCAGTGTACATGATGAGGACACCAAAAAAAGCAAAATAGTACCCCACCTTGTCTGTACAATCAAAGCTTGAAGAAAAAAAAAAAGCCAAAAAAAAAAAAAAAAAAAGCCGCGTCCCTGCGTCAATTCCGGAACTTTGGTCTGACCAGAGACCGAATATTTTTTTTTTTGGCCTAAACTGCCGTACATGTATTTGTTTTGAGCTACTGTAGGCCAGTACTCTGGAAAATATTTACCTAAAATGTGAGCGCTGCAGACTTTGTATTAGAATGAATACATACATGTACAGTACTACATTTATACCTTACACATGCACAGCAGTTAGGGATAGCAGTTGTTTAAACAGGCTTCACTGTAGCCAAGAGTTCTAATTGCCGCTTGCCACGCCCTCACAGACAGGCGGGCAATGAACACTGTTCGTGCACATGTGTCCTCTAATCTACATTTGGTTTGTCATATTGTCAGCCTCATAATATTAGCAGTATGAACTGTTATAATCTCAATGCAGGCACTTGCTCTGGGAACGCATCCAATATTCATCAGAAAGCTCAAATGATCATCACTGGTAATGCTCAGGGGATGATCATAGAAATCGCCACGGCAACTATTACATATTTTCTCACAATTGTGATTCCATGATGAAGTGGGCCTGGGTCATTACATTTTTCATATCGATATCAACTCTTGGCTTGAGGATCACAGAAATGTATTGTTCAATGCAAGAGAATTGAAAAGGGAAAATTCTGAGTCAATCACTCCAGAAACAAAACAGCATGCATTCTGCAACCTAAAATAATTTTTAAAAATCAAAATAATTTGTTGAAACGTCGTAAAGACGCATTTCTTTCTATAGGCTTCATGCGCAAACTTGTACCCCCTCAATGGTAAGGAAGGGAGAGTTAGGGGAGAGCACTCGGAGTGACATTCAAACGCATTGCCGATGACAGGATGACACCTGAGCGCGATGTGGACACGCTACGGCTTTGTGCACATTCAGTATAAAATTGAGTCTTTACTGGTACCGTACGCACGCAAACCAGTACGTGCACGCAGTGTGTCCTGTCCACTGGGTCTCGAAGGTGAGCGCCCTCTCTTGTTGGCGCACTGCGCCCATACTGGTATGAATTATCCATATCATTCTCTAATATTCTCTCAAAAGTCTGGTTTCAGGCAAAAATTAGCCTTTAGTCAAGTCCCACGCGCCTTTACCCGGACCATCTGGACACGTAATTACGGTACGCATCCCGGATGCTGGCACGTAAAAAGACTAGCACGAGCGGCGGAGCTGCGAGGGCCTTTACTATCTCGTGGAACTAATCACTTATTCATTTATTCACGTAATATAAATCAAGCAATATGAACCAATCATCTAGCAGTGGTTTGCGGTTACCAGCAACAGCAAGCGCGCCATGGCGCGCGTGCTGTCTGGCGCCAGACGACGGCTGATTTATGTTGGTAATTCTGCATTTTCATTGGTCAATTCACAACGGGTAATGCATTATGCATGTCTACCAAATCAGTAGACAAATGTAAAGAAAAAGATAAGCGTTCTCCACGAGATGGTGGAGAACGGTGGAGAACGCTCGTGCTAGTCTTTTTACGTGTCAGCATCCGTTGTGCATCACGTGTCCGGGTAAGCGCGTGGGACTTGACTAAAGGCTAGGCAAAAGTCTGATTGTCTGAATCTCATGTGTCTGAAAAAAACAAATGCAACACAATTACACTGCCCATGATAATGAGTTTCAAGACCTACATGTACATGTACATACGCCCATAATAAAGACATGTATACATACATGTACATGTACACGTACAACATGTATGTACATGTATCCTGTACATGTACATATCCTGTTCATGCTCAAATACCCATTGGTAGTTCAGGTGATAGTCTTCAATCAGTTCAAGAAACAAGTTGACACCTTGACAAATTGGCCCACTGGTCCAGACCAGATGGATGAGCTGGGCCAGTTACATTGTACATGTGCTGTAGACTCATCATGGCTCAATCACCTTCAGGCGTTTCTTCTCTTTCAGTGCATTATCAATGTACCGGTAACTGATTCAAGTCCTTATGGTCATTACAGATCATTACGGAACATTGAGGCCTACCAGAACATTTTTGTTCAACAAACATGTCGTGTAGTATTCTCGTTTTTTTTTATTAAAGGGAATGTACAACATTTGCTTTTGCTGCAATTTTTGGAAATACCGGTAGATGGATTTTGAGGATTTGTTATAGCAAATAATGTTGAAATGACTTGTTTCACGTTTTGGGCTTGTACATGTACATGTAGATGCTTGGAAAAACCATGAAAACCAATCGTGTTCTTGTAGTCTGGCTTCCTGACCCACTTTAGATGAAAAGGAGCAATCATGACTTTGGGAAATTGTAACTTGGTCAGAGAATCAGTCTAGCAGGCTTGTACCCCTTCACATGTGTGCAAACAATTGCAAAGAAAACGTGGAATAACTAATTATGAAAAATTAGGAGCAGTTTTTGAAAAAAAAGCCAGTTTTCTCCAACGCTGATCGGCCGACCAGCGTTGGAAAAATACAACTTTTTTGAAAATGACAGAACACCAGGAGTCACAATATTACAGGATGCTTTAGACTGTCAGTCCCTAACAATCTAGTGAGGTATTTCGTGATAATTTGATCGTTTCCTTTTGTGATGTTTGCAAATGTTGTACACGTATCTTCCCTTTAAGAGAGAATTCACAGATACATGTAAATGACGTTAGTGAACATGTGGGTTACACTTCATATGGTGGAAGCGTGTATGTACATGTACATGTACAAATACATGTCAACAACTTTTGTGCATGCATACAGATCAGGTGGGCATTGCTGTACTTTCCTCGCCTTCCACCGCTGTGTCCCTGGT